CCCCGTGTCTGCGTAGGTTTACTCCGGGTACTCCGGTTTCCCCTACCGCTAAAAATATGTAAAATAGTTCTGGCATGCGCCTCCTGTACTGGCGACCCCGCTCCCATCTCTGTGTGGAGTGAGAGACAAGTGCCCCAAAAAAAATAAAAATAACAATTGTAAACCGCTTTGAGACTCAGCTCTGCAGTGAAAAGGCGGTATATAAATAATTACTTACTTACTTACTTACAATTAATCCCTCCTCTTGGCTAATGTTTATTGTCATTGTAAAAATAAAAATCATACCATACCATACCAATTATTATTTTGAGTGAGAGGTGTCACTTGACTGATCAAAATAATGATTGTGTTTTTTCTAGTTGCATACTATATCTGCACTATTTCTGTGGTTAAAAGGTTGGTAAATACCCTGCTTTTTGATGGATGAAAAGAACTGTTATTATTGGAAAAAAGTGTATTTGCAAAAAGAAAACATGTATGATACATTCACGTTACTCTCGGGCTGTGTAAAAATGTGTGACAACTTTATCAGGAAATGGAAGAACAGCTGACGGACGGCAAACCCATATGGGCTGTCTCCAAATGTCACCCATTTCCAACTCGGAGCATTATTTAGCAACAACAGCAGACAGAGACGGCTCTTAAACTGGACACACCGTATATTAATGAAAGCTGTTAATGTAATGATATTAACTCCAGATAACGACATAATTTTACACAGGAAATGATCACCACAAAAAAATTCTGACCCCATAAAAATGTATGGAAATTCCCTGGTCAGATGTTTGAAGTCAGAATCGGAGCAAACAAATATTTGCTTGATCGAGGCTGAACGCTGAAAAATTGCATTCCCAATAAACTGTAATCTGAATTCATTGATGAGCATTTCCTTATAATCAGAAATATTTGTATTGGCATTATACTGAGTGGAGTTTACGTGTTCTCCACGTGTCTGCGTAGGTTTCCTCCGGGTACTCCGCTTTCCCCTACCACTAAAAATATGTACAATAGGTCTGGCATGCGCCTCCTGTTCGGCGACCCCGCTCCCGTCTCTATGGAGTGAGAAGACAAGTGCCCAAAAATAACAATTGTAAACCACTTTGTGACTCTGGTCTGTGAAAGGCGGTATATAAATAAAGATTACTTACTATACATGACAGTAAGTCACAAACTAGGAATCTGCGTTGGTATATGGTGCAAACAAGTAAAAAATAATGTTTACAACACTATACAAACTTTTCCACCGGGTTCCAGACCCCTCTGTGAAACTGTATACATGTGATTAGACAATAAATTAGGTACAAGGCCTTAACCAGTAACGTTAAAGGCCTGTCTAATACTGTCTGTTGAGTCAGAGAAGTTTTGTGTATCTACAATGATGAAACATCTCTGCAGTAGGTTCCAGGCCGCTTGTTGCTTCTCTGCACTCTGGACTGTGTAGGATTTAGATCTCACGTTCCTGCTGTTGCACTCTGCTGCCCAGACATGAAAGAAGCTAGTTTCGATATTTGCATTTTTACGCCTGGATGTATTTTTCAAGTTGGAATGGAGATGATGTGAAAGGAGTCCCAGAGCTGCTGTGTCCTGGAGTGATTCAGACCAGCTTTTCATCTTCACCTGCTCCTGCTACGCTGCTTTAGACACATCTCTGCCTCTTTGTACATTTTATCAATGTTTCTTTTATGCTGTCTTTTTCTTACCATTTTCAGTTACTAATTAATAGTTATAGCATGAACAATAGCTGTGGGTTTAACTTTTTTGTTTAGTTCTTTATTTGTCACTATAAAAAATAGGACAACACATTATCATTTGCCACAGCCAGTTCTTTGTTCTTGGCTTGAGTTAGTTCAGGCTTGGTATGCATTATTCCACTGTAAGTCTAAGACATTGGGCCACAATACCTTGATTGTCTGTGTTTTGATTTTCTGAGTCTGTTTTGATTTTACTTTTCATTTCGTTTTAGTAGTGGACACCACTTTGGTGGAAACTAATGGGTATCCATACCAGATAAACCAAATCCTAAATCTGAAAAAGCATTGATACAATTTACAAACAGTTCACTGATTTTTCAAATTTTCAGCAGCTTTTCTCTTAATTCTCATTCTGCACGATCTTACCTGAGCATTTGTATCTATATTGGCATCAATAGCACTCCGGTGCTACTTTCCCATTTGGAAAATGTATTTTTATAAACATATCTGCACCTGTTTTCACATATTGATTGTGCTGGAACCCTCATGGACCCTCTCTGTATAAATAGAGATAAATAAATAAATACATTTACTATTGACTAACATAGTATTTTCTGTATTTTGTAGTATTCGAATATTATTATTAGTGCATTTCAAAACCACACATTTTCCCCTGTGGACCTTTCCCTTTATGGTGCAACTCTCTCATCTTGGTTTTTGTCCTTTAGCTGTTTTCCAGATAGTGTTTCCATCTCTATGAAAGCACAAACATTGCAAGCTTAGCAATTTGAACATCTGCAGGGATTCTCAAATTGCATCAGGGCAAATGTGGTAGACAGACTGCACTCTGCTCTGTATCATCTCCTGTTTTTCAATCCCTACTTATCGTTATACAGAGAAGTCATTTCATTTTGATTGTAGGTTACAATAGCTTGCTATGACTCACAAACTAATCAAACAAAAGTATATTTTCATTCACTAAAAGAGGAGGGAACGTTGGTTACTGGCCCTTTTTCTTGGCAAAACGGGAACCAGTCTGTTATTCCAGCAGCTCATGAGCAGAGCATGAGGCGGCAACACTCGCAACTCATAAATCTGACACATTAGGCCTTCACACTGGGCACTTCATGAAACAGGCGACATTACATGGACTACAAAGTAATGATGCATATTTCAACATATATCTGTTTGTTTAAAAAAACAATGGATAAGTCAGAATATAGGATTATAAAAATACATTTTCAGTAATACAAATTTTACATATTTAATTATGTATACATTATATTTAACTATCTAAGTCTTCAAATACATCAAATACTTATATATGATTGCGGCCAGAAATATATATATACATATTATAAAAGTAAACCACTTTTATTCTTCTGGCCGCAATCATCTCTTATGTTTTCCCCCGACCAAATTGAGTTTAAAACCCCCACTTAAGGACATTCAAAACTCATCCCAGACATTAATGGACTTCAACTGTATAAATGTTTCCTTTGAGTCATGAATTAAATTGTTAACTTTCCATTATTTTTCCCTGTAAATGTCTTCACACCAAATATAACTGTCTGATCAGTTTTAACACTACTTTTATGGGCTTAAAGATTAACTCCTGGTCTTAAAAAGGACTACTCTATTAGTTCTGAATGAGGATCAACTTTAAGAACAAAAATGCATATGAATAAATATATTATTGAACAAATCGGACAATTGACAACATTACTTTCATTCATAGACAGAAATGTATTCCACCTACAATATTTAGTGCACCATTTGCCGTCTGGCCTCTGGTTATGGGAAATAATGAAACTGTTGTGAATGGCTGCAGTGATTGATGCGTTCGGCCAACGTCGTGCCCTTGCTTTCTGCATTATAAAGAAAATTATTAGGAAGATTGTGTGACATGATGCCATTACACGATGCAATCATAGACAGACACGGCCCCTCATTAATAAAGGCACCTCGTCGAGCACTGACAACAAGAAGGCTGAGATAAATGAAGAGCTGAGAAGTAGTAATGTGTCTGTGTGTTGAATAAAGCTGGGAGAAGACGGTGGATGGAAGAAAAAACAGGCAGCATGATGACATTGAGTAAACAATGAGGGTTATACTGAAACACAATATGCTGATCCAATAAGTTTTATTCAAGTATATAACTTATTCAAGTATTTATTTGAATATTGGACAGTACATTTCAATCAATGAGTCGGCAAACAGTGTCAACATAAATATGCCGGAAATAGCACAATAGCTAAACTGCATCCATTGTCCTAAGGCAGGTAGAAACATACAAACACACAGCACAAATAACTCAACACGTACAACTTAATGAATTTAAAAGAGAAAGAAGAGGTCCAAGGAAAAGCAGAACTTTATCTATGGGAGCAGGACTGGTTTGATTTCAATGCAGATAAGATAAGATATGCTTTATTGATCTCACAATGGAGAAAGTTACAGGACTGATGTTGATATTAGGTCCCACAGTTACGTATGTGTTCTGGAAAGGTGTTCCATATTGTTTTGGCTCTGATGGACGCCACCATCCATCCATTTTCTTCTGCTTCATCCGTTGCCGGGTTGCGGGGGCAGCAGTCTAAGCAGAGACGCCCAGACTTCCCTATCTGCACACACTTCCTCCTGCTCGTCCGGGGGGACCCCAAGGCGTTCCCAGACCAGCTGAGAGACATAGTCCCTCCAGCGTGTCCTAGGTCTTTCCCGGGGCCTCCTCCCGGTCGGACGTGCCCGGAACACCTCCCCAGGGAGCCGTCCAGGAGGCATCCGGAACAGATGCCCGAGCCACCTCAGCTGGTTCCTCTGGATGTGGAGAAGCAGCGGCTCTACTCCGAGCTCTTCCCGTGTGACTGAGCTCCTCACCCTATCTCTAAGGGAGCGCCCAGCCACTCTGCGGAGGAAGCTCATTTCGACCGCTTGTATCCGCGATCTCGTTCTTTCGGTCATTACCCAAACCTCAGCTCCCTCTTTACCACGACGGTCCGATACAGCGACCACATCACTGCGCACGCTGCACCGATCCGCCTGTCAATCTCACGCTCCATCCTTCCCTCACTCGTGAACAAGACCCCTCCACTTGAGGAAGGACCTCTCCACCACTGGACGCCACCATTTGGCTGAGTTTTGTCCTGCGCCTTTGTACATTACTGCCTCCCCTGGGTAGTGCTCTGGTTCTGACTCCTCTGTTGTTGTTTTTTACATCATATATTTATATATTATATATATTATTTAAAACTTGTGTGGTATCAATTCCTTTCTAATTATTAAACATTTTTCTGTAATTTTCTTTTGCAGGAGTTTTGCCAGAACGACAGTTCAGTGGAACCCAGTTTGTGTGCAGCGTGGTCGCATCTCACGTGAGCCACCAGCCTTCCACCAGTTTTAGTTTTGTTTGGATCGCTCCGCCGCAGGGAACCGGCTGTGTCAACTTTCTGTAAGTACTTTTTATTTATGTTTTTTCTACGATTATGTGTGTATGTAATATTTTATGAATGCGTTAGTTTTATGTATGTTTTTTCCTGTGTTGATACACAGGCCAGGTGATGTTGAGTTTACTCCCATTTGACTAACCTGGATACATTTTGAATAACACTATCAAAATCTACCTTAATTGGGTGTGGTTTAAAATGTACATTCTTTTGTAGTTATAACCACTTCATGAATCCAGAGTACGTAACTTTCTGGAACAACAGTTTATACATTTGATGCCATCTTGTTAGAATATAGCCAAAGAAACACAATGTCCTTGGATGTAAACGAGACAAGAACCTCTTATGAAGCAAAAATGATGCAAGCTTAGACACAGTTATAGTATATACAAATATTTTTACACTTTTATTAATGCATTCATTCAAAGTACTAATAACTACTACTTGTCTACTTGTCAGCTAAAAGTTACATATCATGGCTTTAAGTATGCATTCTGAAGCAACAGAAACAACTTTTTTTCAATGGTAGTTTCCATATTCTCATTGGAAAACATGTAAGTCGTAGCCGGGACCCTCCCATTCCCTCGGGACGGGCGTAGACTGTGACACAGAGTCTGGGTCACGGTGCAGTCTGGTGGTTATTGCACACGGGGCCCCTCTGTGTTCACTTATAACGTGTAAATCAAATCTGTCACAAGTCGCTCTTACGTCAAACAGTTTAAAGTTTCTCTCAGCTCCGGCTCTGTCAGGCCCTGTTGATTTCTATCTGCATGGTTCATTTGAAACACCCTCTATCTACCCTTCCCCTTTGTCAGACTGGCTGGAGATTTAGCGACTAGCACAGATAATTTGTCAAAATGCAATTAACAGCTGTGCCGAGACACTAGATTAAATATGTAAGCAAAGTCACCACAGCAAAGTTCTCAAAATCCCAAGTTTCCAATACGTTACACCATTACATCACAGACTTGGCATCGCCTTTGAAACATTGCAAACACACAGTTGTTATTTGCTGATTAAGTACGAGCACATACAAAACTAACTTGTGCCTTTTTTTGGCAGCGTTTACAAAAATCATTAAATTCCTTGAGGGACGCAATAAACTATGAGACAGACTTTTAGAGAGCAACAGAAGGATTCAGTGGGGGAATTCACTAAAGTGGCAATGCCATTTAGACAATATCCACCGCGGCAAGCAGATTTAGTGGCCCTATGTTTGCCAGAAAACATATTTACTGTGGCGCTCATGTCCTTTTTGTGGGATTGTGGGTTCGTGTTGTCCATTATTGTGTCTTTGCTGTAGATGAGGGACAGTTTGCCGGCGGTGATTACGGCCCAAAGCTGGCAGGGAGCCACCGTTCTGTGACAATAGGGCCCACGGCTAACCTTATCAAAGTCAGCCAGTTATTCTGCATCTGGCACCCACTGCACACAGAAAACACTGATGCATTACTCGCAGGTCCTGGTCTAGTTTGGAGCTTCGACGTGACCAGAACAAGTCTGTATAGAAGAAGTCTGTAAAACAAAACTAATGTGGTTTGAAATGTATAGATAGATTGGGTAGATTGATCCTTCAAGAGGAAATTCCTATTAATTTGTTGTACTTTACAGCTTGGTTTGTTGTGCTGATTGATCTCCCTTTGATAAATGATGTGATGATAATAATAATTTTTATGTATACCCAGAAAACATGCTAAAGATAGAGACTTTATACTTCTTAGCATGCTGACGTCAGAGATTCATTATGCTAAAGTTGGAACTTATAGATTTGCTTCCTTAATATGCTATAGTTAGAGATTTTATAATTGTATTCTTTATATACGCATGTATTAGTTATTGTTCATCTATCTTCCAACTATTCTGCAACCGGGGATGCAACACTGACATTTCTCCTCTCCGGTACGAATAAAGGGTCTCTTAAAAACCTCAATAAAATTAATACATAATCATTAATTGCACAAAAATAGTTTCACGTTGGACAGAGTTTGTCCTAATTTGAGATGAGTAAACTTTGTGGGTGCAGTCCTTGTCTGGTCCAGTGGCAGTAACTGTTAATTTCACAGCACACAGACAGTAGTCTACCCTGTGTCCTTCATAGTTCCATTTCTGCCTGTACATTAATATTGGCCGGAGCAGTTTTATGGGCAATACTGTGGGAGTGTTTCTGGTAACAGATCACCACACTCTGACAAAGTGCCACAGCTTGGGCATCCCAAAGAACTCATTTTCAAGGTGGCCGTAAATTTGACACCAAAAGAGAAGTGCAGAGGACATAAGGGGCGTGAGAAATTCAAGATTTAAAAAGGAATATGTCTTTTTGTTGCAAGAAATGTTGTATGTGTCTTTGTTCCTCCGTTTCCGTAAAAGTGGCTTGTTATACATCTCTTCACCAGTGCAAATGTTTATATACACTTTTTTATAAGTCATTTGTGTACATGTATTTCCATGTAAAGACCAACTACATATCTACAACCAAATACATATAGCTGTTATGAGTAAATATTAAACATTGTCACTGCTATAATCCAAATTGTTGCTATTAAGGCATTTCATCTGTTGCTGTTCTGAATATGACAAGAAATTGCTGCTGAAACAGAATTTTTGTATGCTACCATTACATTAACATGTATGAATGTATGTCCAAACCTTTGTATAATGATAGACAACTCCTTAGGTCTAACTCGAGTCAAGGGTCGTGGGGGACACATCAATCAAGCCGTGACCTATATATCCAACAGTTCATTTCTCCCGGCCCCAGTAGCAGTCATTGATTTACTATTATTTCTGTCAATCTTTGAGTATATTTCACCTTCAGATCAGTAGTTAATGAGCTCCGCCTTTCTAAGACCCCACTGATCTAAGCTGGCGTGACAGGTCTGCAGTGAATGCTGCCGCTCAGAACAGAGATAATGGCCTTTTATATACAGTACAGTACTGGGTATGGGCTAGACACCTGATTCATGGCACAACAATACATTTAAGCTTTTTTGTTTTCAAATAAGGTATCGACTGGACTGCAAATCTAACAGTGTGGCCACTTTTACACATTGTCATGAATTCACAGGGTGGCTATCTCTTGCTGAACAGTTTTGTTTCATGCTTAATTCAATTTTAGAATTGTTTGTCAATTTGTATAGACGCTCATATAGATTCATTCGCCAATAACAGCATCTGGCTTATGCTTTGATTATATATTAATTTGCTTTAAATAACTGAGGATATTCAGATATACAATACAGATGAGTTTTTTTGTGGTATGATTGTGAAGTCAAGTAAAATGGTAAGTAATCTTGGTACGTGGAGACATGTTTGGGAGTCATTGCAACTACATATTTAAGAAAGATAAAACTAATTTATTTCTATCAAGCCCATTCCTAGCTTTACCAAGTGAGACCTTTCTCCTGTTGCTTTATACATTTATAATATTGGTTGATTGTTGCTATATTTCCCATGGGACATTTTTGACCTTAGCAATGACACACTTACAAACATATGTATATTAAGCATGTGTGGCCTGAGATCAATACTGCTTTAAAATGTCCACATCACATTTTGCGGGGTCGAAGCCACCTGCTGTACTGGGACCATCTATTCTCAGTGAACTAGAGCGTGGAGATGGAAAAAAAGACGTTCATATAAATTCAACAAAATACTCACGGGAAATGGGGGATGCTCTTCTGAATTCCAGCTCAGATGATGTTCCTGCGAATACACCCATAGTGGACAAGATCAGTAGAGTCCTGACTTGTTGAAATAATTCTGTAAAAATAGTCCGCCGTGTCCTCACCTGACCATGAAGAAAGATGTTGTATTTTTCCTCTTGTATTTAGCAACTAAATAAGGAAATAAGGAAGCATAAACACAATTTGCATTCATAGCTCTAATCTTATTCATTTCCTAATTGTAGTCAAGGTCAGTTTCTTTCGTCTTTGAGGCATATCGCGGTTCATCAGCCGCCTGCGTTCAGTGCCATAAGTCTGTGTGGCCTGATGTTAACAAGCCGATCATTTGCCAAACAATTCCCAAATCCCTTCTTCGTGCTGCATCATTAAATTTACATGTTCGCTAACAGCCGTTTTAGACTAATGTTTTTGAAGGAAAATAAAAGAAGGGGCTCAAGCAAGTCAAGTATAATCTATAATAATGCTGAAAACCATTCAAGGGTTTTCAAAAGTATTGAAAACCAGATCATCGATTTGATACCACCCTTATAAAAACTAGATACTTGTTTGAGAAAATATTGAGACAAAATTTGAGAATCTTCTTTGAACAGTTTTTGAATTATGCTGTATACTATACCCCAACTTGTGTAACATCTTGTGGTTCCATTAGAAGTATAATGTTGTTGTTAAATATTGCTTCTATTTTTTTTCCTTTTTTTTTTGTTTAGCTAATTGTGAAACAACAACACAAATTTGAATATCACCTTTGTATCAACATTGGTATTGAGTCATTTTCTTAGTATGTGAGTCAAGTTTGTTATTTTTGTATTGTGTCATTGTAAGTAACTGACAGATGCATTAATAAAGGCGTTCATAATTTCGCTATTATATTGAAATATTACTTTTATACAAACACAAATTCCATGCATCAACCTTCGGCAAAGCAAATAATTGTTAAAGCAAATATTTAGTCAAAGCAAAGGCACAAAATTCAAAAATACTAATTAATACACTTTAATTAATTAACTACACAATTCAGTCATTTTATTGGTGTCCACAGTCTGTTGACTTTGCCCACTACATATGGTTAAACGGACCGTGTTGTCAGCCTGGTTCCGTGGGGATACTTATGGCCGACAGCTATGTGTAATTATCTCACATAGAAGACATGTTTGGTAATTACCCACTCACTCCGCGGCCTTTTGGGAGCGCTCTGAGTGACAGCCTGTCTCTGTGCATGTATGTTAAAGCGCATATGAAAGCATGCATCTCTGCTTTTACTCAAATAGACTTGAGGCTTTGAAGGACAAGGCCATCCAACCCTCCACTGACCAAAACCACCACCGCAGCCCCTTCCCCCACGCATTATTCAATTTTTTTCACAGTTCTACAACCTTTTTTTTCTCAGTCTTCCGCCCTCGTCTGGACTCTAATGAAAGAAGGGATGATGAACGACTTTTGATTTCTATTTTCACCTCATTGCATTTTTTAGAAATTAACAATTAGAATAAAATTGGTGAATATACTGCATTTGATTTATGACAACGTTTTATAGAAGTGATTCAAGTGTGAAGACAAATATTTATGTTGTGCACTGATCGTACTGCTCTGACTGATGATCACAATGCATTTCATCCAAATGTTAAATGCCCACACGGGTGAGAGTACGCTTATTATTTATGATTTTAATTCCTTTGAGTTGCCTTGTGCATAAACTGTGCTGTACATATAAACGTCTTTTCTAAGGGTCGTCAACTCAAATTGCCCAGAGAATGATTTATTTTCTCTTTTTTCTTGAACAACTACATCTACTCTGCCGGCCCACATTTAATGAAATTCTGTCTGAAGTAGGACTCGCTCATATTGGCCGTGATTCTACTTATTTTATTAATTTTTTTGCCTCTGAATAGAAAACCTGACAGAGAGCCAGCCTGTGCTCATGTAGACCTGTTCTATGGTCTGTACTTTGGCTCCAGACTTCCCCTCAGAGACACCCAGAGGCAGCTGCGAGCATCTTCATCTTGTGTTTGGAAGTCAACAGCCTTTTTTGTGTGTCTTTCCCAAGGACACAGTGGCAGTATGATGCTTGGAGTGGAATTCAACTATTTCATTCTTAAAGTTTTAACAGTAAGCCATTCAAAGTATATTCCAAGTGGTAATTTTCTTTTTCTTACTTTCATGTGGAAAGATAATCAAATATCAATCTGTTAAAGTTTGGGCACTTCAGTAAAAAAACTTCTTCTCAGACATTTATTTTTGCTGATTTTCTTCTTTAAGTGCACTTTCCTCGGCCTGCGAACTAGTGTGAAGTGATGTGGAGTAATGTGACGCTCAGAGGTTTTGTTTTGTAAATATTTAAGACCCTTGTTCTCACATAGCCACCCGCTGTTTTGTTAAGCACAATATTTTATTCATAAATACCAAACTCAAATCAGTTTTCACCCATTTCTGAAATAGGAGCGTAATTAAGTGTGTTTTCTGCACAGCCACGAGACATCTTTACAAATTAATGAGAGGCTTTTTATTATTCATATTTTCACATGAACGTGTACATTTGTTAGCGTGCTTTGGAGGTCTGTGGACTAAAGTTACTATAATGAGGAACTGAACAACGCTTGTTTTTTTCATCCGGATCAGGAGTGATGAGTCATTTCAATCATTCACCAAATTGTCGCCGGGATTTGTCAATGATTAACTCGTCTCCATGACCGTCATGCAAAACAAGATCCCTGACTTTTATACTTTGTGATGTTTAAGGCCTATTTTGGTGCACATTCATTCAATTTAATTATGCAAGGAAGGGGTAGGCATTTACTGTAGAAGTATTTTCTTCTTCTGTGTTCTCCTTTTGAGCTCTATATATAGCACTTAAATAAGTATGGTCTTTTTCATTGTATGAAATGTATGTATTGATCTGAGCTCAAATAACCTGAAATTATCTGAAACGAACAGTGTAAAATTACAATAAAATAACATACAAAATATGGAAGATCTGTAAAATTAATCACATTTAAAATTGTGATTCCTATTATTGAATGGTTAAGTACTTTCTGTTCTGAATATGTGCAAATTCCACTCAAAATGTATTAAGTATTATTATTATTATTATTATTATTATTATTATCATTATTATTATTTTACTAATCAGATAATCCACAGTAGTTGATGCTGATGAGCTGATTATCCATCCATCTATTTTCTTCCGCTTCATCCATTGCCAGGTCTCAAGAAATATGTAATCATATTTGTTTCTAATACAATGCGTCTTTGTCTTTTCAGGGCGACTGCTACTCACCGAGGGCAGATCATTTTCAAGGATGCTCTTGCTCAGCAGCTCTGTGAACAGGGCGGTGAGTCACTGTCTCTGTCTCTGTCCAAATGCACTTAAACATATGTATTATATTTGCAAACATCACCAAAGTTCTGCTGTATTTCTTGCACACATCATTAGCGATACACAGCACAATGCTTTTGCTTTCGTAATTCTCCATGACACGGACATTTCTGTCTCCACTGAATCCAGCTCTCTCCGTCTGATATTTGGATGTCCTATATTGCCAGCTTAATTTCAGATTATGCTAAACTTTTTTTTTCCTCCCTCTCTTTCCTCTCTTGAAGATTTATGCTTTGCAGGCAACACAGCTCAAATCCACTTTCTGCGTCAACCCCAAGAGCTATTGATAGACAGTTCAGGCCTTCTATGCAGACTGAGAGTGTATAATTGCATGTTTACACGAAAAAAAAAAAAAATACTCCTCTTTTTTGAATAAATACGAGATTAATAGTGAAAATTGAGGACTTCAGGAGGAAACAGCCACTTCACAGACGCAAATGGAAAAAATACCTTTTATCATAAATGCGCCTCATGCTCAACACTGCTAATCGTAAACACTTCTCCGGGCAAATAGAGAGTTGAAATGGCTCGATGCCACTTGGAAAGCATGTGGCATAAAGCCCTCAGTCCAGTTAAAGAAAGTGGCATAGGACAGAGGAGTAAAGGCCTCTTCTTTCTCTCCTTCCCAAGAGCTCATCCCATGCCTGACACACTGCCCCAGTGTTTCCCTGCGGACCACATATCTGCAGCCAACAAGCCTCCTGTTGTTATTAAGAGCCAGGACCCTGCAGCGAGACAATAACTCACTACTCCACCACCAGCCTTAGAGCAGATTTAGACTTTACAAGGCCTTGAAGGAGAGAAGAGAAATGTAGTTTGTGATGCGGCCTGAAATATAACCGTAAGGCTGGATGGGGAAGGGTGTTGAGAGACGAGGGTGAGATGGAGTAACGGCAGTGTTAATGTTAGGCTCACTGATTTGGGGAATTTTAAGTCTCTTATTCTTTAATGACCATAGTATAATAATAATAATAATAATAATAATACGTCTTTATTCCAGACTCAAGGTCCATATAAAAGACAATATACAAAGACACCACAAGACAAGTCTGACTCATTTTAATAAGACACCAGTTTTCCCAGAACTGAGATATACAGAACTGAACCTAACATTCACCAACACTACAGCGACTTGGTTCTCAAACTTGTTCAACCGACATGAAAACCTGAACATTGCATTATGCAGGACGGATTTCAGTGTACCTTTACTAAGATAAGATAAACTTTGCAACTATACCTGAAGTCGAGTTTTGGGTTAGTTTAGTAGCTAATTTCAAAAATCGGGGCTTGGTAATGCGTGCCATAGCTAAGATTAAGATTAATCCAGAGATCCGCTCCCCGGCTGTTAATAGAATAAGAAGCATGCCAAGATTATTGGCAGTGGGGAAATTTCAGTGTTGCATCATAGAACAGTAGGAATGAGGAGCGCACAACACAAGATAAATGAACAATAACTCTCAAATAAAATACAACAAATATTTAGCATAATGAAGAAGCAATAATTAAGTGTAATGTAATGGTTGGGGGGTTTTAATTGCCGAGGATGAAGTTTGTAGAAGTGAAAAGGGGACGAATTGTCTGATTATGGCAGATGAGAGCGATGGTGGTGTTTCCAAAGAGACAAAAACTCTTTACAAATGCAGTATTTATTAAATAAAAAGACAAGGATAAAAGTTATAAAAGTCCTTCGTTAAAACCCAGAAGCCTCGGATGTGGGGGCTCCGGGGGAATTGTGCCCCAATGGCTGAGGCTAACGTGGGCCAGAGGCAGGTAGACGGCGCTCGTCCCCAATGTGAATGGCGCACACCGCTTCTAGGGGGAGACAGCACACCGGCAGAGCACAGCACATATATGGGCCAAAGGCTGGAGTGTAAAACGTGTCTTGAACCGCTACTTACGGCGCAGGCGGGGTATGAGCCCCGCCGCTGCGTGTAGGTCGCTTCGCGGTACGTCCCAGTGACTCTGCGTCCTCGCTCTTTATCCGGATTGCAGCCCTCCAGCTGCCGCCGCGGATCCCAGGGCCGTAGACCTCTAGGGGAGAGAGCACACCGGAGCAGAACACAGCATACGAATATATGGCAAAGGCCACGGGGGGGTAAACGCGTTTTGAACCGCTACTTACTGCGTAGGCGGGGTATGAGCCCCGCCGCTGCGTGTAGATCGCTTCACGGTTCGCCTCTTTGGCACTCGACGGGTCCCGCTCGTGGTCTTCCTCCGTGGCCTGCTCTCGTCTCCGTGCTCGTCCCGTTCGTCCGTGCCCGTCTCTGCCCGTCTTTGTTAGTCTCCGTTAGTCTCCCGTTCGTCTCCCTTGTTGCTGCTCTCTTGTCGTTTTAAGAGCCTGTCTGCCCATTTAGGCAGGTGTGGTGATTGTCAGGGGCGTCCAGTTGGCTGGTGACAGTAAGGTGGTAGGAGTGGCTACGGCATGCGATTCATTAAAAGCACAACAAACACACAGCAATACAAAAGTAAAATAAAACCCGCACAATGCCGGCTTACACCCCCCCACACTTTTACGTTACCAGTCCCTGGGGACGTCCCATTGTCACTTAGTCATTGTACCGCGTAGGGAGTTGTCCAATGTTCGGCCGGATGGAGCGGCGGGGTAAAACTTGGGGCTCCTCCAACGGTGGTTCTGGTCCAGCAGGAAAGAATCCGTAGACAACTGGCAGTTCATGTCTCTCTATGGGTACTGGGTTGGGCAGTGACACAGGTTCATCAGGGGGCAATGTACAAACTTTCAGGGCATTCCTGTGCACAGTCTGTTCGCGCCCACCCTTTTCAGGGCGCACCGTGTACACGACCCCAGTATCTCCGACAGTGTTCAAAATAACATGTGGTTGAGGATGCCACCAAGTGCTCAGTTTACCCCTGCCTTCTCTTCGTCTATTCCGCAACCAGACTCGCTCGCCAGGTAAGAGAGGCGCAGCGTTAGCACGTTTATCAAACTGTCGTTTCCGCTGGGAAGTTGCACTGTCTGCTTTCTGCTTAGCGACGTTGTACGCCACAGAGAGCTTTCTATGGTGCTCTCCCACCCACCCGGCCAGATCGAACCGCGACTGTTGGGGCTGCGGGCCCAAAACTACGTCTACAGGGAGCCGTAGATGCCGCCCAAACATCAAAAACGAAGGGGCATAACCTGTAGCGCTATGTACAGTGTTGTTGTACGCATGGACTAATTCAGGTAGGTAGTCCTGCCAACGGTTTTGCCTTTCCTCCTGCAGGGAACGGAGCATGTGCAACAAGGTTTGATTAAACCTCTCAACACCACCATTGCCTGCAGGATGATAAGATGTGGTGCGGCTTTTATTTATGCCATACAAGGTGCACAGCTGTTGCATCAGCGCCGACTCAAAATTTGGACCACGATCAGAGTGGAATCTCAGTGGACAGCCAAATTGTTGAATTATGTCCTTCCACAGCATTCTTACTGTGGTTTGAGCCGACTGATCAGTTGTGGGGATGGCCCATGCAAAACGGGTAAACAAATCTGTGGCAACTAAAATGTTCTGGTATGTGTCTGCGGGGCGACCCAAAGTCAAAAAGTCTAATGCGATTACTTCAAGGGGGAATGCAGTAGAAATGGGGTGTAATGCAGCGCGTGGTTCAACGCGGCTCTTTTGAAGTCCGCACGCAAGACAGCCCTCATGAAACAATCGTACCTCCCCCTCCATGCCTGGCCAGAAAAACTGCTGCCTGATGCGGGCGAGAGTCTTGTCTGGTCCAAAATGGGCTCCAGCCTCATGAATCATCTTCCACACCTCTGCACACAAAGAGCTTGGGCACAGATCTGGTGGTGCTCCTCATGGGTGTGTCTGTCAAGCACAGTCCGGCACAATAGTTCATCTCTCACCGTCAGCCTCTGCCACTGTTGCAGTAACTTCTGGGCCCGTGAAGTCAATGCCCGGCGGTCCAGACGGCCTGGAAAGCGGTCCTCCATCACAAACGTTTTGACTGCCTGGATATCGGGATCGGATGCCTGGGCCTCTCCCCACTCAATCGCAGACGTCACCTCCACTGCAGCTGCATCCACCAGCTCATCGACGGGTGGTATGGCCTGTTTAACAGGAGCAGGAAACCTAGACAGAACGTCAGCGTTGATATTGCTTTTACCTGACCGATATTTGACCGTGTAGTTGAATGGGGCGAGTTGGGCCACCCAGCGTTGCTCCACTGCTCCTAGGTGTGCCGTCTGCAGGTGGGCCAGTGGGTTATTGTCTGTGTATATGGTGAATTCAGCTCCTATGAGGAAGTCTTTAAACTTTTCAGTCACAGCCCATTTAAGGGCTAGCAACTCAAGTTTAAAGGAACTGTAATTCGCGCCATTTTTCTCCGTTGGGTGTAGGCTCCTGCTCGCATATGCAATTACACGCTCCTGACCATCTTGATGTTGAGATAGGACAGCACCAAGCCCCTGGTTGCTCGCGTCTGTGTAGACTATGAAGGGCTTATCGTAGTGGGCATAAGCCAGCACAGGGGCCTGGGTTAGGGCATTCTTTAAGGAGTCAAAAGAACTCTGACATTGTGGTGTCCATGTTATAGCCCTTGATGAGGATCTGCGGTCAGCTGGTATACCGGTCAGGAGTCCATTAAGGGGCCTGGCAATTTTAGCAAAACCTGATATGAAGCGGCGGTAATACCCAGCTAAGCCAAGGAACGCTCTAACCTGCTTCACAGTGGTTGGGATAGGCCACTCCAGGACCGAGGCGATCTTCCCTGGATCCGGCCTCACACCATGTCCATCCACCACATGCCCTAGGAAAGTTACTTCTCTCTGCAGGAGCCTGCATTTATCCGGACGCAGCTTCAATCCGTGGCGCCACAGCCGCTCAAACACCTGGTCTAGATGCTGGAGGTGGGCAGAGAAATTTGGAGAGTAAATAATGATGTCATCCAAATAGACTAAAAGGGATTCAGCTATCTGCCCATTTAAGCACTGCTGCATCAGCCTCTGGAATGTTGCAGGAGCATTGCAAAGGCCAAAGGGCATGCGTTGGAATTCATAGAGGCCTAGCGGGGTAGTAAATGCAGTCTTTTCTTGGTCTGCAGGGTGCATGCCGACCTGCCAGTAACCGCTGGCAAGGTCCAGGGTCGAAAACCATTCTGATTGGCCAAGACTAGTTAGGGTCTCCTCGATTCGTGGGAGGGGGAACGCGTCCTTATGGGTTACAGCGTTGAGCCGTCGATAGTCCACGCAGAAGCGCCAGCTCCCGTCCTTCTTTCGTACGAGGACAATAGGGGCTGCCCACGGACTACAGCTCTCCTTGACAACTCCCTTTTCCAACATGCTCGATAGAAGGGTCTTTACTTCTCTGTACAGCATTGGGGGGATTGGCCGGTGCCTCTCTCGGATGGGGGCAGCATCGCCCGTAGGGATTCTATGCTGCACCAGGTCAGTCCGGCCAAAATCCTCGTCATGTACGGCAAAGACCTTCTCCCACCTCTGCAGCAGGGCCTCCAGCTCCTCCTGCTGCACCTCAGACAAGTCAGGGCGCGTTTTCAGCTTGCTCACCTGGGGGCAACTCAGAGTTAGCCGCCGAAGTTGTGACATCTACCAGGGTTACCGCTACGACGTCGTCTCCCTCAAGAAACAGAGATGGGTCATTTGGGCCATGTACATCTGCCTCTTCAATATGATAAAGCTGCCCTAACCTCGTAAAACGACCTACAGACACACTGTAGGGGTGGGGGTTACAAATGCGAACAGGGACTCTTCCTTTCCTCACCTCGACCAGCGTTCTAGCCACACCCACACCACCAATATTAGCCCCAGGAACCGGCTCTATAAGGGCACAGAAATCTGTTCCACCCCGCCCCATCCGAGTACGACCCCACACCACTATCTCACTATTTGGAGGGACTGAAATGTTATTCTTCGTGGCCAACCTCACGAAACCCATTGACCCGTCCTCTGTGGGGGCTACTTCTATGCGGCTGCAGGTGGCAAACGCCTCCCGCCACACTCTCAGATGTTTAAATTGTGGTGGGAGAGCAGGCATCTTTGACCTCTTAAAGATGTTATCCCAACAAGCCATGATGACGTTCATTCCTATAATTAGAGGGGAAGTACACTTATTGTCTGCAACTATGACCACTCCCCTCTCTGGGACCTTAATACCCTCAACCTCTAGGTTGAGCACGGCGTAGCCAATGTAAGGTATTTCTAGTCCGTTGGCTGCTCTAAGCTGGAATAGAGTAGGAGCTTTTCCTAGTTTATCTTGGGTAAAATGTTCCTTGAATAAACTCTCTGCCATCAAGGTAACTTGTGACCCAGTGTCTAAAAGGCCTTCCAATTGTACTCCATCAAAGCCTATTTTTACTGTAGGACATTTCCCAACAAATGTTTCAGTGGCCCTATTGGGTGGTGGGGTGTTAACTAGCCCTGCAGCTCGGACCTCAGCAGCAGGGTTTAACCGTTTAAAGGCTGCTCTTGGATGGATGTGCCTCTACAATGGCGAGCAATGTGTCCTGCCTTTCCACAGCGGTGACATATAGGCCTACCTTGCTCGTCCCGGTCATTATAGGGTCTCGGTGAATACCGGCGGTTCCACGTGGTGTTGGGGGGGCTTGACTGGGGAGAGGCAGACTGCAGCAGGGGTTTAAGCTCAGCGAGGATATCACGGGACAGCCCCTTCATTTGGACGTTCACCTCCTCCATGATTTCGCGCTTCAATTGCTCCTTCCAGTCCAATCCCTGTGGGGTTTTAGGAGAGTCATAATGTTTTTGAACTGAGGCACACGTTACCTCTGGTTGACCCCGGCCGTACTCAGTCTCCAATAACCTGGCCTCCTCACGTAGCTCTGTGAAATCCAGCTCTGGGTGACGGCGAGCATAGACCTTCAGAGCTTGGGCCAGTGGGCTGTCGCTCAAGCCTAGCAGCAGTTGATCTCGCAAGGCACTTTCGGAGGGGGGTTTTCACGGTCTTGGCGCCTCAATCTAGAATAGAGTTCACGTAGCCTCAAAATGAAGGTTAAGACAGGTTCATCCATTCTTTGTGTACAGCCAAAAAATTGTGATCTCAATACGGGTGTTGGAGTCTTCTCACCATATACTGAGTCTAGATAAACAAAAATCTTCCTTGTCTGGTCTCGCTCATCGTTTTCTAAGACAGTGATTTGCCGCTTAGCCTCCCCAGCTAGTGCCCCTATAATAATTTCAACTTGTCGTGCCTCTGTTAAATCTTGTGAACCCAAAAGCCCTTTTATCTGTTCCTTCCAATCAGAGTATTTCAAGTCACTGTCTGGCCCTTTAAATTTAGGTAACCACGGCGCGCCCGCAAAAATCGGCATCATCATCATGTTTGTCCTTTTTGGAAACACCAGCTCTCAGAATTGTGTATCCTGCCAGCAACGCCAAGTTATGTAATGGTTGGGGGGTTTTAATTGCCGAGGATGAAGTTTGTAGAAGTGAAAAGGGGACGAATTGTCTGATTATGGCAGATGAGAGCGATGGTGGTGTTTCCAAAGAGACAAAAACTCTTTACAAATGCAGTATTTATTAAATAAAAAGACAAGGATAAAAGTTATAAAAGTCCTTCGTTAAAACCCAGAAGCCTCGGATGTGGGGGCTCCGGGGGAATTGTGCCCCAATGGCTGAGGCTAACGTGGGCCAGAGGCAGGTAGACGGCGCTCGTCCCCAATGTGAATGGCGCACACCGCTTCTAGGGGGAGACAGCACACCGGCAGAGCACAGCACATATATGGGCCAAAGGCTGGAGTGTAAAACGTGTCTTGAACCGCTACTTACGGCGCAGGCGGGGTATGAGCCCCGCCGCTGCGTGTAGGTCGCTTCGCGGTACGTCCCAGTGACTCTGCGTCCTCGCTCTTTATCCGGATTGCAGCCCTCCAGCTGCCGCCGCGGATCCCAGGGCCGTAGACCTCTAGGGGAGAGAGCACACCGGAGCAGAACACAGCATACGAATATATGGCAAAGGCCACGGGGGGGTAAACGCGTTTTGAACCGCTACTTACTGCGTAGGCGGGGTATGAGCCCCGCCGCTGCGTGTAGATCGCTTCACGGTTCGCCTCTTTGGCACTCGACGGGTCCCGCTCGTGGTCTTCCTCCGTGGCCTGCTCTCGTCTCCGTGCTCGTCCCGTTCGTCCGTGCCCGTCTCTGCCCGTCTTTGTTAGTCTCCGTTAGTCTCCCGTTCGTCTCCCTTGTTGCTGCTCTCTTGTCGTTTTAAGAGCCTGTCTGCCCATTTAGGCAGGTGTGGTGATTGTCAGGGGCGTCCAGTTGGCTGGTGACAGTAAGGTGGTAGGAGTGGCTACGGCATGCGATTCATTAAAAGCACAACAAACACACAGCAATACAAAAGTAAAATAAAACCCGCACAATGCCGGCTTACAGTAACATCTCTGAGGCATTACTTTAGCACAATAATTTAGTTGTATCAAAATGTTCTTATTTGAGTATTTTCTGGGGAAAATATTAACATTAAAGCTGGGATGCCTCACGTTTCGGTTATTAATCCCAACCGAAAGAGACTGAAAGTCTGAAAAATAAATAGTTTTAACAAATCATACAACGTTATCTTTTTGCTACGTCTTTGTTCTGTCTGAAAAACCTGATCCAAAGATGTGACAGAGGCCATGTGAAAACTAGAGATGCCAAACTGTTTTAGAACACATTAGGTGGATTTTATTACATCTACACTTGAAATTGTAATTTTGGTATTGAAAATAGCCTCAAACAAATGTTACTTTGACCCACGAATATTTTACTTATTAACATTTCAGAATATACAGCTGAAATATATTTTTTGCCTATTTGTTAATAGTTTTTGGCAGTTCTAAGTTGAAAAATATGTAAATCATTCTCAAGTTCACTCTCTTTTGATTATGGTTTTAAAGAAAAGGCGTTTAAAGCGGGATCGTGATAAGAAAGAACAGAGAACGTTAGCGATTAGCCAGAACCAATCTATCCAATAAAAGGCAAATCTTAAGAGGTGATTCACAGAGGCACACGTGGGAAGATTATCGAGCAAGTAAGAGAAAGTTTGACCATTATTCAACTTTCAAAAAACTGATTTGAGTGTGACTATGTGCTTCCAATTTTCATATATGACAAGACTTATATATTTTATCCAGTTAGATAAGTCTTGTCTTTTTGAATGCCAGAGGTCCGCTACCCGACTGTTAATAAAATAAGAAGCAACTCATTCAATTCAAGGTATTTATAGACACAATGCAAGAAACAAATCGTCATCAACACAAAGCATCCCAAGTAAAGGAAACATCCTCGGATCCTCGATGATAGAAAAGTACACGTTTAGAAGCAATGCATTTTAAATGTAATCTTCTCTTTTTTTCTACTTTTATTTACACTTAAAACATTTAACGCAAAAGATCAAAGAAAGAGAAACCAGAGAGAGAGACCAGTAAAAGAGAGACCAGAGAGAGAGACCAGAGAGACCAGTAAAAGAGAGACCAGAGAGAGAGATCAGAGAAAGAGAGACCAGAGAGAGAGAGACCAGATAGAGAGACCAGAGAGCTAGTCCAGAGAGCTAGTCCAGAGAGCTAGTCCAGAGAGCTAGTCCAGAGAGCTAGTCCAGAGAGCTAGTCCAGAGAGCTAGTCCAGAGAGCGAGTCCAGAGAGCGAGTCCAGAGAGCGAGTCCAGAGAGCGAGTCCAGAGAGCGAGTCCAGAGAGCGAGTCCAGAGAGCGAGTCCAGAGAGCGAGTCCAGAGAGCGAGTCCAGAGAGCGAGTCCAGAGAGCGAGTCCAGAGAGCGAGTCCAGAGAGCGAGTCCAGAGAGCGAGTCCAGAGAGCGAGTCCAAAGAGCCAGACCAAAGAGCCAGACCAGAGAGCCAGACCAAAGAGCCAGACCAGAGAGCCAGATGTAAATGTAATCTTCTCAATGTTAGGCATAGAACTCGTATAAGTATTTTTTACCCATGTGCCGCTATAAAGAGGCTGTCAATGCCTGGATAAGAGTGGGGTCTTCAAGTGCAAGGGGTGCTTTTGGATCCGTCCATCAGCCGTTAGACCTGCTCCTCTCATTTCCACTATCAAGATAAATCAAGTGTTTATTGAGCGTCTCAGCGCCTGCACCTCAGATGGATTATTAAATGCACTTATAACTCAGAGAGGCCACTGGTCTCTAGAGGAGGGATTGTCTCAACCTACTCTTGACTTGACCATGATTGCCAATAGGCTTTTCCCACTGCAGAGTCGTGTTCTTCGACACAGTGTCCAGGTCTCCCTTGAAAAAGAGGTTCTTAATCTTAATTGGTCTTTCCTGGTTAAAGAAAGGTTAAATAAAATGAAAACAGTGCTGAAATGACGTGTCGAGCCTGGGCGTTGGGAAAGGCATGTTTTTGGACGTTTGTTTATCTCCACAAGGAAGACAGGAATGTGTCAAAAACATCCAAAACATTTCTAAAGCAGGGGTGTCAATAAAAACCATAGGAACTGGTCGGTGGCCGAAAGAATAGTATTTCTTTGTAGTAGAATATTTACATTATGGATATATTATGGAAACTCATTTATTTGACATGAGTTTCCCTATTATTTTCTGGTTTAATTTTTCTGAAAACCAAATTCATTGTTTAGATTTAACTAAAACTGAACCAAATATAAAATTAAACACATTGTTTCATATTCAATGATTTAACTTCTAAAGATATGTTCAAATAAAAAACATGCCTTGAAGTTAATATTATTTGAAAATCATATGAGGGGCCACTAAAAATGGTCTTGCGGGCCGGATTTGGCCCACAAGCTTGTGTTTGGCAAGACTGTTGTAAAGTCACAGCTCAGTGTTACTAGGGCCCCAGGGAATAACAATATAATGCACTCTATATCTTCTAGCAATTTACTATTAATAGGAAAACTATTGCCTCTATAAATTAACACAATTTAGACCACACCCTCTGTCTGTATTTCTTCAACAACATCTCTTTGTATTTGTATTCTCCAACTCATTCCAAAACCGGACCCCCGCCAGTTTTTGGTCAACATTCATGTGTTTTTTTTACCCAGTTAGAATGAGGCTTATCATGTTTATTAATGCACGGAAAGACTATTTTTTTCTTTACCCTGATTAAGTTGCATCTGATTTTTTCTTTTGCATATGATCCACTCTATTTTTAATAACCAAACAAATAAGCATCACACAACTTTATGACGGTGTCTTTGTGGCTTTCAACAAGTCATGTTTCTGGCTCCTGTTGGATAATAGTTTGGCAACCAGCAAGACGTCACTTTGTAGTCATTAAAACAGGAAAACCACCATGGGAGTTTCTAATCATTAACACGCTCTTTATAAAAGAAGCTTGACACGGTTTACACTACAACAAATCAGAGTGGATGGACGGGAAACGGACTCGAGTTAAACATATCGAAAGTCGCTGAAGTTTTGTAAGAAGCTTGAGATTAAAAGACCAGGAGATTGATACAAGAAATGTGAATTGCTCTTGAGATGCCTTGAGTATGTCAAAGCTTATGCTCTTTTGGCCTCCTTCTATCACTCCTGCCTTGCTCATCAGCTCCAATCCATTACGATGTATTACGGACCCTATCTATTCTCGAGCGTTCTGCGTGTACATGTGGAGCCTCGAAGTGGGGTGTGCGTGTGTCTAAATCCCGGCCCCAGCGAGATACGAGCATTAGCCGAAATGAACTGCTAATAAAGGAGGCCGTAATTGAAGTCTTTAAGCAAGTGAGAGGGGATTAATCCAAGCGGAATGAGCGCCAATGTCTGCTCTCCCGCCACACTGCGGGGTTAGGCACACAGACGCCGAGAGAGAAGCATGTAGAAAGAGAATTGTAAATTAGGCTTTTTTTGGGAAGCTCGTAGGGATTATCCACCAGCAATAATCTTCAGGGCCTTACTCAAGCCAAATGGTTGGACCCTAAAGTCGAGAAGAGTATTGCGTCAGTCTTAACTGTTTGGATTACAGGAATATATTTCTACGATTTCTTTAAGGATAGCACTTTCAGCATCCGAAACGATCCCTAAAATGGAATTGTATTAAATTACCTGCAATACAAATGTTCAAAAAATAGTTTATATGTGGAGGGAGATGGAACAGCTTTCTAAACATGTTTTGAATCAGCAAACTTTGGAGGATTAGCCAGCGAAGGAATGCACTGTGAGGAAGAGGAGAGCTCTTTGATCTACATTTAATGGTTTTTTTTTTCGTCAAGTCGAAAACTTTGGAGCGGCAAAGGCCCACCAAAGCAGGCAGTCGCGCACCATCACCGTCACTGAACCAGCTCGCACAGCCAGATAGCACTCTAATACCTCAACTCCCGTCGTCAGCGCCTACGTTTATAGCCACTTTAGCAGCCTGGAACCAATTTTTGCATTCTTCAGAGGCCAATACAATAGAAGCAGTGAGGATGTACGTATGTTTATGGGTTACCACAGACAACTCCATTCTGTTGATCTCATTTCTTTATACACGAATGGATAGCAAATTACTTAAAATCAACTACTGTAAATGGACTCTTCACCAGATGATGTTATAATGTCTTTTTTTTTAATCACAGCTAGGTATAGGCCTGTCCAGAAAAATAGAGTGCAACTATACCCACCAAGTTCTGTACTTTTTAAAAGATAATGATCTATGTGACTGGCACCTCCTATGCATGTTATAGATTTCCTTTTATACTTTTTTAGTCATTTTCAATCAAATCCGCCATCTCACAGACTTGGAGGGTGCATGCGGGAGGATTAAAGAGGCAAATATTCACTCAGGTCAAAAACCTCTCCGCTCAAGATGAACTGATGATGAAATACTGTAAAACCTGGATATGCAACCCACTGAAACTTTCATTAATTCAGGACAGAGAGGATGGGCACATTTAAGGTAGAACTGTGTTTCTGCTTGCAGTGGTAAGGAGAGACAAAATATGAGCTCTCTTCCTGTGTATCTCATTGCAAGAGTTTTCTGAGAGGGTAAGACAGCTCCACACATTTGGCTCAAAGCATAAGAGACCTGCTGCTTAACTGCCACTGAACTATTCATCTTTGCCACCTGGCTTGCATTCTTACAAGGAATTATCATCATTAGCCATTGCATTTGTAAAGCACTTTTATGTTTAGTTTAGTACCTGATACTGACATCTATTTTGTTGCTTTTTCAGCTCCTACAGAGTCACCTTTGAGGCCAAGTCTTGGTGAGTTTTCAATGCAATTGTCATGATTTCTATGTCTACTGCTGCTGTTTGTTTTGTTTTTGCTTTTCAAAACATTGACATTTCAGATTCAGATCTTGATCCTTTTAATATGAAGAGTAATATAGAAAGATATTTTTGTGTTTTTTTTTAGTTTGTGGATTTTTTTCAAGAGCATATACTTTTGTTAGTACTGTAATCGCTACAGTACTAACAAAAGTATATGCTCTTGCTCCATGATATCAAAAATATTGCACCACTAGGCCCACAAAGGTGCACAGATTACTGTCTGTGCACATGGCTGAGTGCGTAAAGTTTGTTCGTGTTTCTCCTTGTGTCTGGGTGGGTTTCCTCCAGACGCTCTCGTTTATCCCTCAGCACCCCAATACCGCACCAAAGGATTATCCTCCAGTCATTCTGACCACATCTGCACATCAACATTCAGACAGGAGTCTCTAAATGCTGCACTATAGCCAAACGACTCTTGACAGGTTGCTCCAAGAATGGGTTATTGCTGTATTAACTGCAAATGGCGTAATAAATAGTTTTGCAAAATTGCACAATTGCACTGATTACATATTAAGAAAATATAAGACCATTTGTCCCACAGTGGAGAAATTGTCATCATTGCGCACATAAAATAATGAGAAAATAAGAGCACACATGTCGCATACATCAAACAGGATCTGTTATTTTAGATAATAGATAATACAATGAATTACGATAATGATAATATAATAAAATAATTATTTGGATCTATAATTTAACTTGGTTCAAGGATAAGTCACTTGTGGAGTACACACTGTAGTCAGCAGCAGCAGGAGGTATTTACAGATATTTATATTCTACTTTAGCAGCAGAGAATATGACCAGAATAAACAATAATGAATTGAATGTGTAAAAATGTAAAGTGGATCATCAGAACAGGTGAATGCCTAGTTTGTACCTCTGGTCTAGTATTTGGACATGACTGAGCGCTTTACTTATTGAGAACTTCAATGTTGTGTCTTTGTGCAGTTGAGCTCCACGGTAAACACGCCATCCTGCGAGACGACTTTGACTCCAACCTGTCTCACGCACAGCTGGACCCCAGTATTTGGTATGCGCTTGTTTTGGAAAGTCTAACAGTTAATTATTGGTTCAAATTCTTCTAACTACAATATTTCTCTCTGCGTCAGGTCCGAGTGTGCCAACTGTGACGTGGGCGAGCAGTGCGGTGCGCTGATGCATGGCCGAGCCGTGACTTTCTGCGAGCCCTTTGGAGAGCGAGAGCTGGTAACTCCCGTGTTTAACCACACAGAAACCACTGCGTATTACACACACCATTGACCGCGCACACAAACCTGGCTCTTTGAAGCCACAACCACACAATTATACTGGCTCTGCTGCCGTTCACATATCTGACTTGTACATTGCAAAAATAGGTAATAATTGCTTGAATTGAATGGTTTTAATCTTAAATTGAGTATCAATAAACAAGATTTGCCAATGGGACAAAGCCATTTAGTCTTATTTCTTTAACTGTTGCTTTTTAAGAGTGACATTTCCTCTATCTTTGCCAATGGGGTGAGGCAAAAATATCTTGTTTTTACACAAATATCTTGTTTTTACAAGATATTTTTGCCTCACCCCATTGGCAAATCTTGATTTAAGGCAGGCCAAATGTGCTCAAATTAAGAAACATTTAGCCAAATTTGAGAAATGTATTATTTTTCATCACTTTTTGGAGTGTAATCATTGCTTCACATAACATCTGTGTTTTGGAATTGGCCAAATTCCAAAAGCCACCTTTTTGTCAACCTAAAACACCTAAAAAAGTCCTAGTAGGTCGTAAACAATGTATAATTTATGTCAATCCAAAATCTTGTTACGATGCGTATCTTGATACAGGGGATTCAAATGGATATTTCGTGATTCATTATGTTTCAGTAAAAAAAAGAACCCTAACTCTAAGGCTTTTGACCCTATTTTAACAAAAATACAACACTATTGAAGCAATTCTATTGAATGTATTGAAGATGATTTATTAAAAAAGTATAATCTATAAGTAAGTATAATATTTGTATTAAGCCAAACAACATCTAAATAAAAATATCATGTTACTTAATGACATTGATCTAATTTTAAAACCAATCAATCAATATTTATTTAAGCATTCATGTGTGAATGTTTTCTCTGTTGACAGAAGTTTCTTAACAATGATAGTTTAATCCTTTCATATTCAAATTGCTCAAATTACAATGGTACACTTTTTATTCCTTTTCCATCTCACTTTCATAATGTCGGGGTTGAAATGCTGCCAAAGATGGAGACATGTTTAGCGACATGATTCTGTTTACTCCTCTGATAAGCATTTGCTTTTTCTGACATTGGTCCAACTGACGCAGCTTCCTGGCAGTTCTTGTTAAAGTACAACAAACATATACATCCTGCAGACAACAAAGCGTTTACATTCATTGATAGTGAAAGTGCTCGTAAATTCATACTTTTTCCCACACTGTGCTAACTCAAGCAGGTTATAGGTAATTTGGGACATCTACAGTTTATACGTTTTATTTACTTGATAAACCAAGATTATTTACTTATTGGCAAATGTTTCTGACCATTCAAAACATATTTACAAGGACATGGTTAGCACGATCGTTGGTTCATATTGAGTTATGAAGGGTTATCGGAACAGGACTTTCTCATGATCTCCCTGTGTCTGCATAGGTTTTCTCTGGGCGCTCCGGTTTTCCCTACCACTGAAAACATGTACAATTGGTAAAATCCTCCAGTGAAAGTAGCACTGACCTAGCAGAGTATCAACAATCAACAAAATATTTCTTAATCTTATTCTATGGATCTTTACATTTATTGTGCTCCGTCAGAAATGTATTTAAATCTTCAAATCAGTTCTCAAAACCCACCTGTTCAAAACTGCCTAAACTTAACTGTTTATTTTTAGCTTTTTATTTGTTCTCCTCTAAAGCCTCTTTGAGTGTCCAAAAAAAGCGTTATATAGAATGGTGTGTGTGTGAATGGTTGGTGGTGGTCAGAGGGGCCAATGGCACATACAGTACTGGTTGCCTTCTGTCAGTGTGCCCCAGGGCAACTGTGGCTACAGTAGTAGTTTATCACCATCGTGTACGGAGTGAAAGAATAATGACATGTGACCGTCTTTGAGTGTTCAAAAAAGCGCTATTTAAAACCGGTGCATTATTATTATTATTATTATAAGTATGATGTATTATTATTATTATTAAATCAATAAATATAATACATTCATCTCAGTAAAAATACAGTGTAAAAAATAAACAATGTTTTGCATAATTCAAATGTGATTCTAATTAAAGTATGCCTCAGTCAGAAGTTTAATGTCCTACCACAAAATCTTACAGGGAAAGTAAATACATTATCAATGGGGATAATTAGGTGGCAGATGCTCTATAGCAAAAAATCCACTTAGTGTGCATAGATACACTTTTAAATGGTTCTATGGTTTGATTATTTATGATTAATTTCTAACTGTGCCTATGTCCTTTCTCAGTCCACAGTGCCTCTGAACACAAGCACAGCGTCGGTCCTGCAGTTTGCTCTTGGTGAGTACTGTATTACACCAGCCTATATGGAAACATAGTGCCCCTTTTATACCTATATTAAATGTCTTGCAATGTCATCTGCGAGGATACACGACCCCCCCTTGTCATCAGCCGGAACTATATCATTTGTCTCACAACATGTCAGTAAGTCTAGCGGTTTACACAGTTCCGTCGTCTCTCTTCCACTCTAGATAGGCGAGCTCTTTTCTCTATATAATGAATATTTAAATATGTTCTTGAAAGACACCCTAAAGGCCCTTGCAACGTTTTAAAAGTACTGTATTTTTCATGCCCATTACTTATATTGTGTTTTCCACCAATTTGAGTATGCAGAAGTTACACTTTCGAACTCTCAACATCAAGAACTTAGAATTTGTCTCGCCATGATTTACAAGACTCAAAGATGATTGAGTTTGTGCGTTGATTACGTTAATTCAGTAGGTGCACTATTGAGATGCAAAGAAACACTAGGTTAATGTACGGCTTTGTCCAGTGCAGTTACATCGGACTGAAGTAGTGAGTGTTTGAATCATTAAGAGGTGAGCGAGAAGAAGAGATGAAAGGCTCCATTTTCCATTAGTAACCTTTATACGTTTGTCTCTATATGGCCAAATATAGCACTAAAATACTGCCGATGCATCTGCTATTCAGCTGATGGCTTGGTCACCCGGGTCAAAGCCTGTAGATGGATAGATAAATATATACTTTATTGATCTCACAAGGTGAAATTCAAAAGATTATCCGATTTACAGTTCATTCAGATAATTTGCTAATATGTTTTGTTTTGTTCACAGGTTCAGGCTCTTGTCGGTTTAGTTATTCAGACCCAAGCATCACTGTGTCATACAGCTTAAGCGTCATTGGAAACAGCAGCGACAATGAGTGGATCACCATGGAGACGATCAGGTCTGTCACTTATTCATCTTTTACAACCTAAACCAATGAGCAGACTGAGCAGTAGCTTCTAGTTAGCCCAATCCCTTATTGTCGAGGATTTGTCCAAACTCCAAATAGGTTCAAAGTCAGTCGTGAAAGTTTTGTTTGAAAATAAGTTTTTGTTGTTCTTTTAGGAGAAATCACCTTTTGCTATAATCTCCCATTTTTAAGATAAGATAAGATAAGATGTACTTTATTGATCTCACAAAGGAGAAATGTACACTTTCATTAAACCCTTTTTATGCAATTAAAAACATAATTTACCATCAATGAAATAAACAAGTCCATAATTTGATCTGTGCTTTAAGATTCACACCTTCCTTCCCTTAAACTTTGGTTAAGGCCGTCAAAGACTTATCAGATAATTAACTGAAGATAATCACATGAACAGTTAATTTTATCTTTCTGGTTGTATTTAGGGTAGTAATATTTTTTTCAATAAATCTTGTCTAAATGCGTAAAATGTACAAAGTCAATATTTGTGCCGAACATGGGGAGAAAAAATATATCTTTTATCTTGGTATAATATCTTTATACCAATTCTTACTTGCGCAGTCTCTAGTAAGTATGCTGTATATAATTGATGTGTTTTGCAGAGCTCCAACCAACAGCAGCACTGTGGTCCACCTCCTCCCCCTGCCCCCACAGTCCCGGGCCGATGGTGTGCGCCTCCGCTGGTCCCAGGATGCTCCGGAGGGTCCTGAAGGTTATGAGTCGTGTTGGGGCCTGGACAATGTGCTGCTGGTTAATTCTGCCCACAAAACTCCACTAATGGAAGATAACCTGGACCCCCCCGACACGGCCAACTGGCTCTTCTTTCCCGGATCTACTATCAAGGTTCAGCTCTGTTCTCTGTGGTTCTATTGCTTCCTTATACAACTTGACAATATGCTTTTCCTACCCAGCATGCATGCCAGTCAGAGGGCAATGCTCTGTACTTCCATGGGGCTGAAGGAGTGGGCCACAGCTTTGCCACCACCAGAGACATCGACTTGCACCGAGAGGAGGGGAGAAGTTATTGGGAAGAAGATTTTGAAACTCCACCATCAAAGTAGTCATTTTATTTACTCAACTCTTCTTGCTCTTGCTTATTGCACTTGTTATCAATATTAAATTCACTCAAGATCAATCCAGGGGCTAATCTGCCGGTGCAAAGTACAATAGTGTGCAATTTTAGTGGTTTAGTTCTATAGGACATCCATGATAAATTAGTTTGCTCCAATGCTAAAGGGTACTAATCATTTGTGCACATGTACACACACCCTTGATAAATATACCCCAATGAGTATTGACATTTGATAATGATTGAAAAGAGTTATATTGAAAATGGCACACAGGTGTTATTCAAGGCAGCAGCCCGGGTGTCAAAAATAGAAAATAATAATGGGGAGAGGAGACTGAGAAAGATGGAGGTGAGGATGAATGCAGGAGAGAGCTGACACACTGAGTTAACTTCTGCCGATGCTAATCAGTAGTGGCTTTCCACTGAGCTGAAATATGTGTGCATAAGCCTTTTCAGGTGATTTGTGTCACATAAGTGGTATTCTCACATTTATTCATTGAAACTATAAGTAATCATCAGCCTATTTGATTTTTGAATGTGCTGATTTAGAATATGTGGCAGGAATTTGAAGTTCATTTTTGCTTTGACTTTTTAGTTGGGACATTGATGGAGCAGTTTATGGAACGGCGTGTGGAGAGATTGAATCAGGATTGGCTTTAGTGTTTGAGTTAGAGGGACGCCGGAGAGTTTGCACCCCCTACATAGACACTACAACTTATGGAAACCTACGCTTCCACTTTACCATGGGTAAGTAACTGCTCACTATACTATTCTCAATAATACCAAACTTGTTAACAGTTGTTAATGTCATTATTTTTGTATTTCATGGCCAGGTGGAGGGGATTGCCATCCAGGACAGTCCCACGAACATGATGTCATCTTGTTTGGACGATCTGAAGGCAGACGTGAACGAGTGATTCTTGACACTCTTCCATACTCCTCATACAGGGTAAATCAGTGTTGAATTATTGTCCATAGATTTCTTTGTTCTAACCAACCTTTACATCTTTGATCTTGCAGACTCCTGCTGTAGTTTCAGTGGGCCTGCCGACAGAGCTGCAGACACCTGTTACTCAGTTCTGCTTGGAGCAGCGCTCACATGGGGGGGCCAAGCGCCATGTTTGGGCTGTGGACTTCATGCAGCTGCTGCCTGTGCTGCCTGGCACACATACACACGTCACTCAGTTCTCCATCAACCTGGGCTGTGGCTCTATGCAGCCGGCCAACAGGTGTTCTTTTCTCTACAAATCCTAAAAAAAAAACTGTCAAAATTAGACATTCATGGATTATACATAAATATGGCAGTGCATTGTGTGTAACTGTCATTGTTCTCTTTTTGCCAGTGTCTCACTGGAGTTTTCCACTAACCAGGGCCGCTCCTGGTCCCTTCTCCACACAGAGTGTCTTCCAGAGGTGTGTGCTGGACCACACCTCCCACACAGCACCATCTACTCCTCTGACAACTACAGCGGGTATGCAGTCGTTGACGCTCCGTCTAAACAAGTGTGACAATGTATTCACTGTAGCCACAACTGTTCTTTCTCTTCAGTTGGACCAGAATATCTATCCCTTTGCCCAACGCTGCCCTCACAGAGACCACACGGTTCCGCTGGAAGCAGTCGGGTACTGGAACAGGCAACATGTGGGCCGTAGACAACGGTAACATTGTGCTCACAACGATGGCTCTAACCATTGTTTTTGAAAGCACAAAAAATAATGCAATATGGTTTGTTTTAGTGTATATTGGACCAGCCTGTCTCCGTTTCTGCTCTGGACGAGGACATTGTTCCCGCACAGGCTGCAAGTAAGCACTTTATTAAACCAAATCAATCTAATGCCTCCTCTTCAGAACGAGTCTGCTCATTATCCGCTAATGCCCTGCGGCACCAATTACCATGTGAAATTAATCACATTATATTATGGTTATGATTTATTAATGAATTTCATAATCTCCCGTAATCATTTTTGTCTCATTCTTAGCACAACAGTGTCCTCTATTATTATTTCTTGTGCTCTTGACCAGGTGTGACCCAGGCTTCAGTGGCCCAGCCTGTGAGTTGGCCTCCCAGACCTTCCCTGCGTTTTTGTCAGAAGGTTTCTCCAGCCCTCGGCTCTCGTCGTACCATAGCTTCTCCTCACTGCGGGGAGCCGAGGTCAGCTTTGGATGTGGGGTCCTGGCCAGCGGCAAAGCTCTTGTATTCAACCGGGACAGCAGAAGGCACTTAATCACCGCACCACTAGACAGCTCCCAAGCAAGGTGAACAGAAATATTATTAACCCAAAAACATGTTATGCTTAGTGTAGTGTTGTGTATTAAATTAAAATCATTACCTTTTTACTTCTCTTGATATCCATTGCTCCTACATTTAAAATTGAATTTTCTTAATAAAGCAGTCTTCTAAGAGCGAGAGAAAGATAAGATAATATAACAATTAAGTTTGATCCGGCATCTGTGTTATTAGGACTGTTTGTGCCAGCTCATGACCATATTATTCACGTGTTTTTCTGTCCTTCACCCGGTCTCCATTGCTCTAGAAATGAATCTTTGCACAATCTATATTCATTTATTTATATTCTTTTACTCTGGGAGCAATTCAGTTGATTCTCTCCATTGAAACTAGTTCAAGGACAATGATTCTAATGGTTTACTTTTGTCCAGATACCTTCAGTTTACTCTCCGCCTGGGCAGTCGTAGCACCCTGAGCTCCTGTCCTGCTCCAGACCAGCCCGGAGAGGGGGTCCTCCTGCATTACTCATCAGACAACGGCATCACGTGGACTCTATTGCAGCATTATGCATACCAAGGTTATCACGAGCCGAGGTAAGTCCTTGTCTGTTTTTTATCTGTGAATTTTCACCATTTATACAGAATGAAACTTAGGGATCAATACAATGAAATTACTATAAACTATGGACTTTGATGGTATTTATTTATTGATTTCAATGGGACAATGAATATTTTGATTTTTTTGCAAATGTTTTTATTACATTTTTGTTTTGTTTTGCCATAATAAGTGTATATGTTAGTGCTACAAAACAATGACATATTGTATAGCATATTATATTATATCCAATTTATTTTCATGCTAATAATGTATTTTTCAGGGAATGGTAAAGTACATACTTACAAGCTGCAGATTGTGATTACATGGGTTCAAATATGAATCGCAGTTCACTTCTCACATAACAGTTACTTCAACAGCTTTATTCTATCCTATCCTCAGCTCATTTGCTGAACTCATTTACCATTCCAAAGTAGAAGTAGTAACAGTTAAGTTATGCACATGAAATAATAGATACAGCTTTGTTTTATTTTCTTAGTTTAGTTTCTTAGTTCTTTTAACGTGTATATTTGTATACATATCTACAGTAAGAGGGTCTTGTTTAAAGTCAGTTCTTTCTCTCATACAGGATTGTGTCTGTGGAGCTGCCTCCTGGAGCTCGTAAATTCGGGGTGCAGTTTCGCTGGTGGCAGCCGTATCACTCAGGCCGTGGTCATGATGTGTGGGCAGTGGATGAGATCAGCATGACCTCTGTGCTCTTCAACACCATCAGTCTGGACTTCAGCAACGTCCTGGACGTGACTCAAAGCCTCGGCTTTTACCTGGGACACGTGCAGCCGTACTGCCAGCACGACTGGACTCTCAGGTAACAAACAAGTGCAGTGTTTTCCCTGTCACACACTTCTCAATGGGCAAAAACCACATTCTTCCAAACAAGGCTTGATTACCTCACTGTCTGTGACTGTCGTTTTTGTTTTATTTTTTCCCTAATAACTGTCTAGAAGCATAATTCTGATTCAGACTACTTTATTTATCCCACCAAGGGCAATTCTTTTCAGCAGCACAAGGCATAAAAACATAAAAAACACATAAAACACAGGATATGTCAGACAATAAGCATTATAATATGAAGTGGAGCCCATACAAACATGAACATAATACAACAATACAAGCTCACATTTCTCACAAGATTTTACTTTTAAAAGACTCCTTCAGTTAGGTTTCTCAGTTGTCAAACATTGGATGCAACATTACTAGCCCTGAGATTTCCATTTCCACTTTACAGTTTCTCCGGTGAGCCCAGTCCGGGTTCAAGTATCCGCTATGTGGAGACTCAGTCCATGCAGGTGGGGGCCTCCTACAGCCTGCAGTTCTCCCTGGTGATGGGCTGCGGACAGGAGCCCTCACCGCACATTGACACACAAGTTCGACTGGAGTTTTCCACCAACCACGGACTCACCTGGCATTTAGTCAAAGAGGTGAGGAGGTTCTGTATGAAAGTATTCTAATCAAAGACAATTAGTAATTCTCATGGAAGCCTCTATTATTATTGAAGAATGAGAAAACAATACCACTTTTTCTGATTCAAGATTGTGACTACTTTTCATCTTATCATCAAATATCACTTGAGTCACTAAGTAGTCTGAGATTGTTTCTGATCATCAGTGTATCATAATTATTCATAAAGCTCCCACTGCACATTTCTTTTCTATGAAGCTCAATTGAGTTTAATGACTTTATGTGAAATCCGATCTAATTTGCGCAGTCATTCAAAACATCTTCTCTGTTAGACCTCTCTCAAGGTCTAACAGAGACTTTATATGCACAAATGTGTATTGTGTGTTCTCCATTTAGGCTTGTTTACCAGGAATGCCCAGCTGCTCTGAGTTCACAGCTCCCAGCGTTTACCACCCCTCGGAGTTTAAGGACTGGAGACGCATCACTCTGTCCCTGCCTCAGAAAACATGGTTAGTCATGTCCGTCTACGGTCTATGGCTGGAATGTACAGATCTGGTTATTCTATCTTAACAGAAGCTAGTCTCTCTCGCTCTCGCGCTCTCTTTCTCTCTCTTCTCTCCACACTCCCTGTTTCCTCTCTCTCTTATGTACTGCCAACACATAAACCTTTCAGCTTGTGCAATGGGGTGTCCACCTCATTTAGTTCCTATAGTCCGGCACTAAATAAAGCTGGTTTAATCTGCCCAGAATGTGATAAGGGGTCAGAGGGCCAGGGCAGTAAATGATAATAGTAAGTCTGGACTGGCTCAGTGTGATCAGGAGGTCAACATGGTTTATAGAGGTCATCGAAGCCACAAAATAAGAAGCATATGTACCTTGCGTGTTGTGCCACTCCCGATATATCAAGATCTTCAATTTGCCAGCAATTTTATGTTCCAGAATAAGAGTTTATGCCTCCGCACCAGAAAATATAACATAGTAATTACCAAAGTGATGTTTGTTATGCTCCTGTGGACTCACCACCTGCAGGAGGATCAGTGAGGGGCTGGTGCTAAGTGTACTGGGTGCAGCTCTGACTGCCACCCCCCAGACCCAGAAATGGATTAAAGGGAAGAAAATGGATGGATGGATGGATGGCTGTTTGTTATGTCATGATTGCCAATACCTGGATATTGCTTCAGACATGCCTCTATCTGTTATATAGCAGAGATGGGGACTTGCGAGTTGGACTCGAGTTGGACTTGTCTCCATTAGACCTGCGACGCGACTCGGACTTGTGATTTTGGGACTCGCAAGTGTGAGATTTTACAAATAACATTTGTAGTGTCGTTCTTTCTATCGCTCTCCCTCTGAGCAGCGTCCAGTCTAGAGATTCCAACCCGGGGCGAACGGGCCATAGGTGCATTCTGGAGAAGCACTGAACGGCCGCTAGCTCTGCATATGAAAACTCAACTGCCCTGGTTTAAAAGAACATGACCAGTGCGCAGCAGGACCACTGAGTACACCTTCCTGCTTGTGCGTGTCCAGTACGCGCCACAAATACAGAACTAATGGGCTAAAGATGTGTTATCCGTCTCATCTGAGGAACGTATAAATAATCAGTGTCCTTTAGGGTTATTAAAAGCCTTAATTGTTATGATGAAAAATCTGATCTAAGAGTCACTAAGTTGAAGCTTGGGTGTCTAACTTGTGTCTAACTTTTTCATATGAAGTACATTTTGTTTGTCCAAATCTTCAGAGGTGACAGCGACAGTGTAATGAGTTTTGACCTTTCAAATCGGCAGCCTCTCATTTGATATTTTTATACAAACATCTGTTGGTGATTTTTAGGTTGTACTTAGGTAGGACTATAGATAATACATTATAGATAATCTCTGACACCTGTCGACCATTATTGCACACATTTGAATTCTCTATATCATTAAAATAATGTAATGTCTTATTTAGTCCTGTTGTATCGTTGTTATGGTGGCAATGGAATCTCGGGTGTAAAAATTAAGGTATAAAAGAATAATTAAACAATCACATCAAATTAATTGAATAAGTAAGAAAACAATATTGGGGCAAAATGTGAAACGCAAATTTTGCATGTACATATCTCATTTAACATTTTCAGTACCTATGCATTAGTGGAATATGTATGTTGTGCCTTTTAAGATGAATATGTTGTCGAACAAATGACATGTATCTACACTTAGGTCGAGTGCCACTCGGTTCCGTTGGATCCAAAACTACTATGGAGAACAGGACGAGTGGGCCCTGGATGACATTTACATCGGTCAGCAATGTCCAAATATGTGCCATGGACATGGGTGGTGTGACCACGGACATTGCAGGTTAGGAATTCTGTTTCAAAGATATAAAGAAATGCAAACAAAGTAGCCATTACATGACATCTTCCTGTGTTCTGGAGTAGATGTGACGATGGTTTTTCTGGGTCAGACTGTCAGCCCTCATCACCTTTGTCTTCAAGTGTTCTGTCCGACTTTGAGTCCCAGGATGCACTGCTGGCCATGTGGCAGGAGGTGATCGGTGGAGAGATCGTCACACCAGATATGGGCTGTGGTGTCGTCTCATCAGGCTCATCCTTGTATTTCAGCAAGGTAATTCAAAGGATCTAATTGTACATTGTAATACATATCGATAGAGCTTGTGCACATAATTACTTATTTTTACCACTTGCAGGCAGGTCTGAGGCAGTTGGTGAGCTGGGACCTGGACACAGAGTGGGCAGAGTTTGTCCAGTTTTACTTGAGGGTGGGAGGAGACTGGGCCGAGTGCAACCAGGCAGACAGCAGAGAGGAGGGGGTGCTCTTGCAGTACAGCAATGACGGAGGCATCACCTGGGGCCTGATCGCAGAGATGTACTTCACGGACTTCACCAAACCACGGTAAGTTTCATCCCTGCAATCCCCTACTTACTCAAAGATTGATTACATTGACAAACATAATGGTGTTGGTTCTTATTAAATGGGGAATCAAAAAACATGCATACAAGGAATTCATACTCTAATAATTGGTCCAAGACTACAAACAAGATCAATAATTAATTCAACAATTCTAAATTAACTTAAGAATATACCAACAACATGCAATACCAAAAAGGGTTAGGGTCAGGAGGAGCATAAGAATATCAACAAAAAAGAAAACTGTTTTTCTTTACTGTTATTGTGACTTCTGTAAAAATGTGCTATATAAATAAAGATTACACACTTAGTTACTTTCGCACCTGTCCCTTAACCAACACCCATGAAATCAACAGCTTGGTGAACCACTCGCATTTGTAAATCTTTTTAAATGATTGTAAAGCTGTTTGGTTCTGGCCAGTCAGGCAATAATGCAGTAAAGTTGTTTTCTCTTGTTTACAGTTTTGTCCACTATGAGCTTCCATTGGCCTCCAAAACTCCTTCTACTCGCTTCCGTTGGTGGCAGCCTCTTCATTCTGGCGATGGCTACGATCAGTGGGCTATTGATGATGTTATTATCTTGTCTGAGAGGGAGAAGCACATCATACCGATTGCTAACCCAACTCTACCACAGGTCTCTAATCAGTGTATATTGTCAGTTTTATTCATTTTTTTCTTTGTTATTGCCATGTTATGCTTAAATTAAAACAATTTGTCTTTTGTCCGCCACAGAACTTTTATGAAAAACCAGCCTTTGATTATCCGCTGAATCAGATGAGTGTGTGGCTAATGCTCGGTAATGAGGGCATGGAGAAGGAGAGCAACAACAGCTTTTGTGCCCCGACTCCCTCAGCGATGGTGTTCGGACGCTCAGATGGAGACCGAGTCGCTGTCACTAGAGATCTCGCCCTGCGGCCTGGTTACACACTGCAGTTTAAGGTTTTCTTTAAATACTTTTTTTTACATTTGTGATAATCAGGCACTATCACTATAATTAATGCTGGGTTCACTTATTTTTTTTTTTTTTTACAACAATGCATACTGACAACAAGCTGATCTAAACTGTGAAGGAACCAAACGGATTTAGAGGCAGGAACTAGTTACATGCATTTTATCACAACATCAATTTGTGGCTTGAAAGTGAGGTTGCCCAGCTTTAACTTTCAATTTTTTGTATCTGCCAGTCCTTGTGTTTGTTTGTTTTCTTACACTGAAGATAAGATAAGACAAGATGAACTAAAATATATTTATCTCACAATGGAGAAATGTACATGTTTGGTTTCAACAAAATCACTCAGGGTGTGCAAAAAGACAGGAAATGTGCATGTTAAAAAAGTAAAAACTGTATCTTATGCGCCATAAAGTTTTTTCTGTGGCAATAGCAGGCATTTCAATACTGCCATTAAAACTAAGACTATTTGTCCCATAGTGGGAAATTTTGAGTTCTCCACTATTATTTTGAATCGGATGTTTTTGAATCTACAATCTCCCAGTCGTTCTGAATATTTTTTCCGTGGTGTGTAGCTCAACATCGGCTGCGAGGCTGAGTTCAGTGCCTCGGCCCCAGTGTTGCTGCAGTTCTCCCATGACGCTGGTCGGACGTGGGCCTTGGTGAGGGAGGGCTGTTACCCCGGGTCTCCAGGAGTGGGGGTCTGTGAAGGCAGCGGTCGGGAACTCCGAGAACCTTCTATATACAACACCGGAGACTACGAACAATGGACCAGGGTCACTGTGGTCATCCCGCGCCATGTGGCTGCCAGGTAAAGCATTTGTCATTGAATTATCACTTGTTTTATCTCTGTATTAAATATGTGTGGGTATTTATTATAGAATTTGCCAACAACATGGCATTAATCAAATGTATATAGTAATAGTTATTGAAAACAATTTACATTTTTGTATATTCTCTTACACAAACACAAAAACTGCAAATTTGGCTTCCTTTCGTGGATACATTTGTGTGATGATGACAGATAGAGGGGTAGAACTAAGACGTTTATTTTTATTTTATTTAACATCATCGATCCCGCAAATGGCCACTTGATTAGTATTTTAAAATGTATTTCAAGATTATAAACATGTATTTCAAGCTAATTTTTTGAATCAATTTAATTTACATTACATACATTATACAAACATTTCTCTTTGGGATCCTGGTCTGAAAGGCAGTGTGTAAATAAACTTTATTCACTTACTTACTTACATACATTTTATGGAATCCTCAGTTGATGCCAAACCCCAAAAAGTAGTGGGAAGATTTAGAACTTATAAGCTCCCACCCTATAACCTAAATTCACCTCCGGTTCATTTCTACAGTAAAACCAGGTTCCGTTGGTTCCAGGAGAGCAGCTTGCACCGAGATGCCCCTCCTTTTGCATTAGATGGAGTCTACATCTCTGAGCCGTGTCCGAATCACTGCGGAGGACACGGAGAGTGCATTTCCGGAGTCTGCTTCTGTGACATGGGATACACAGGTACAACACAAACATATCCGACGGTATAAAAGCCTCAATGTAACTGACATCTGTTTTTCCTCCTTCTTTTGTTTAGTGGAGCAGGACAGCTGTGTACCTTCTGCAGCCAGTCCCACTGAGCTGACCGAGGGCTTCGAGGGAAAGTTGAGTCCACTTTGGCAAAACATAATTGGGGGTCAGGTGGGAGGAGGCTGTGGGATCATTGGAGAGGGCAAAGCTCTTTATTTCAACAGCCCTGGGAGAAGAGAGGCCCGCACTGTTCCCTTGGATACCAGCAACACAAGGTTCTTTTAGTTTACCTTGATACGTACATGTATTAATCCATTACACTTTTAAATTGTGAATGTGGTTGATCCACTGCAGACTTGTTCAGTTTTACATCCGTATTGGAAGCAAAAGTTTGGGACCGACTTGCACCAGACCCCGGACCAGGAATGAAGGTAATGTCAAAGCTGAGGTTTGGGAATAATGTTATTTTGTCATGTGATAATCGGGTGTGATGTCCATGCTCAAAACCACTGGTCCTCAGTTTCTGCCTTTAGTACTTATTGCTCACTTTGTCTCATACCCTCATAATGCTACTATTTACAGATGTTTACATACAACTATATATTTCTTGCACTAGAATATACAGTGTTTTATATTTAAATATTATGCTAAAGCTAGAGATTTTATACTTACTTCTTGCATATTCTTTATGCTAAATTTGGGGATTTTATATTTGCTTCCTCGGTAAGCTCAAGCTCTATTTTTATTTTATATTTGCCTATTTTATGCTAAAGTATAGCTTAGAGTTATTTATTTGTGTTGTGTGCTCCTCATTTTTACTGAAATATCTCCACTGCAGGACGAATAAAGGATCTCTTAATCTTAATTATCAAGGTCTTACATGTTAAACATTTGCTATTTTTAGGTGTTCTTGTCCAGTTCTCCACCAACAATGGCGTCCAGTGGCAGTTTCTGAGGGAACTGGACTTCAGCTCATTCCTGGAGCCTCAAGTTGTAACCATCGAGTTACCATCTGCAGCCAAAGCACCATATACTGTGTTTCGATGGTGGCAGCCTCAACAAGGTTAGTTGCGGGTAAATCAACAGAAACAAGTTAATCCGGCTTTAATATTGTTTCCTTCTGTCACAGGAAAGCACTCTGCTCAATGGGCTCTGGATGATATACTGATTGGGATGAATGACACGTCCAGAACCGGTTTCCAGGATAAATTTGATGGCACCAGCCCTCTGAGGCACAACTGGTACCGTGTCCAGGGTGGAGAGGTGACCGTGGACTGCTTATCGTTGGACACAGTGCTAACCTTCAACTCTGAGGCTATTGACAGTGAGTTATTAAATATGTTTTCATCCAATTGAGTATTTTATAAATGCTTGTTAGAAATTCACATTTAAAAACAACATCATGTCACTGTGATAAATCAGGTGAGTAAGAGCAGGCTCTGCACTCAACTTTTTTATTTACAGATTTGTGTTTGGTGAGAGGTCATCTTAAATAGGGTGGGGCAGCAGCGTCCCATGGGTCACTCAACAAAAAAAGTTACACATTTTATTTGAAGAGTGCCTTTCCTACCCAAGGCAACACAAAGCGCCTCACAACCCATATCACATCAAGCATTAATCATAAACATTAAAATCTACATAAACAAGAAATACTAAAAACATAAAGAATAAAATCACACAAATAATTCAAAACCATAAATTATTCAAATCACACACAGGATTAAAATAAATTGCCACAGAGCAGTAACTGCCAGAGTAGACGCCTGTCTCACATTTTCAGGAAGATTGTTCCTGCAGATTTTAGCTGCATAAATCTAAAACCCTGCCTAAATAAGAATAAAACATGCATTAAATACATGTAGAGTACATATACAATGGATATAGCTGACAGTCAAAACTACATACAGCCATTGTAATAAATCCTGAATCTTGTAACGGTATTTCTCACGTCGACAGATTAACATAAAGAAGTTTAGGTGATGAAAATGCAAAGCCCTCTAGAGCAGACGGTGTAACAGAATCACCCATTCACTGAGACACTTCAGTGTGTGCATTATTGATGAGAGCAAACCTGACTAAACATCCTGCTTGCAATTTATGCTCACAGCGAATGTAGTTTGGCCAATATTACATTACAACTGGACACATTTGTTAAATGGCACGATATCAGCGTCTATTACCAAGCAGCTCAGGTTTGTGTGGGCTGTGGGAACAAAATAATAAGGTTTTGAGATTACACAAGAGTTCTAATTCATGTATATTTCTGATGTGGATGGAGTGGGGGACAAGTGCTGCCACAGAAATAATGAAATAAAGTCATAAAATTGAATGGAAAAGGCAAAACCTGTCAGATTAGAAAACTCAAACTGTGTCATAGCATTGTTCTCAAAGTATTACGCAACAGGCGATCACCTCTAGTAGAGCTTAACATAGACCACACACATACTGAGCTTATTGATATTCTTTGTGCAATTAGTCATTTCAATTGGAAGAAACTTGAACGAAAAAAAAACGGGGTTTTATTAGAATTGTCTCTTGGTCTGACACTACATGAATAAGCACGTACAACTCTGAAGAAGATGTTTGTATTTTACTTTTTTTGCTGCTATGTATAAGAAATGTAGTCACAATTTGGCGCTTAGACCCTGGCAGAGCACTAGATGAAGATTGCAGAAGGGGAAATGCAATTCCCCGTGGCTTAAACCCTGGTGGTAGTAACTAGGAGAAGGATGAAAGAGCTGGTCTGGCCGACGAGACGGTGATGGGGAGGAGGAGGGTTGGGGTAGGACTTGAGCGCAGAGAGCTTAGTTCTTGTGTTTTCCAGACTGAATCTCTGCTATAGATAGATAGATAGATACTTTATTGTTCCCCCATTGGAGAGATTCAGGTGTCCAATAGCAGCATGAACACATCCAACCATACAAAAAAAAAAAAACATATTTCTATAAGTACTGTATCAAACAATAGTTATAAGGTCACACAGCAGATATGGTGTAGTCGTCATATTTTGCTTCATTTTTCCCGTTTTCTCTTTTCTCCCATGCAGAGAAGCCCAGGTATGCAGAGACGTGGGACTTTGAGGTGTCTGGCTCCTCCTTCCTGCAGTTTGAGCTCAGCATGGGCTGCAGTAAATCCACGTCCTTCTCTCATGGGGTCCGTCTGGAGTTCTCCACAGACTGTGGTCGTCATTGGACCCTCCTCACTCCGGAGTGTGTGCCCCCCGCCATCGGCTGTGCGGCGTACACCCAGAGCTCTGTATACACATCCACACAGCACAAGCACTGGAGGAGGATCACTGTTTACCTGCCAAGTGCCGCCAAGTAAGTGAAGCATGACCTCTCCATGAAGGATGAGTAATGAGGACTGTTAGTGAGTCACATTTTAAAATTCTTGTTTGTATAGCCCTAAATCACAACAGTAGTTATCTCAGAACACTTTGCAAAACCATTGAATTTGCCAACACAGATCAGACAGAAAACACATTATTGGTTAAGGAGCAGATGACCAATGTCCATAAATGTTGTTAAATGTTGAGTGTCCTGGATCATCACCACTGTCCTTTTAGTTAGACTTAAAAGAATTAATTGAATTAAATGTTAAAACATCTTACTATGAATCCACAGTTTGCCTATAGCAAAAACCTCTGTCCATTTAGAGTAGAATACAATTCAAGTAGTAATAGACTAGTAATTAATCTGATTTGATTTGCCTTCACTGAGCTGCAGCTTGGATTCTCCTGATATAGAATTGTGTGCTAATCGAGAGGCATACTGTATGTTGCAGTTCCCCCAGAACCCGGTTCCGCTGGATTCAGACTCACTTCACCCCTGGAGCAGAAGGCTGGGCACTGGACAATGTTCTGCTGGCTCCTGGATGCCCCTGGATGTGCTCTGGGCATGGTCTGTGTGACAATGGTCATTGCATGTAAGTTCTTCTGTTCACAAAGGATTTATTCAGGTGTTTTTCTTTCCATCACAATTTATTGTTTAAACCCAACAGATGTGATAAGGGTTATGGAGGGGCGCACTGCGTACCCCTGACTCCACTGCCTTCTGTCTTGAGAGAGGATTTCAATGAAAACCTGCAACAGGAGACCTGGCCTGAGGTGTACGGAGCAGAGAGGGGGACACTCAGTGGGGAGCCTCTCAAATCTGGAACGGCACTAATATTCAAAGGAGTAAGTGTAGTGTACAGTAGACTGTATAGAGTCCTAGTGCAAGTACACATGTTGAATTGGATTGTTTTTGTTATGTGATTATATTTCTTACAGTACTTGTATGTACTTATCAGGACTTATCAGGACTAGAAATCTATGAAGTTTAAAGTTTGCTGATGTGATATGTACCTTGATATAAAGCCCATGATACGATACATGCCTTACTGGGACAATTTCTTGCCTTACTGAATCGCTTCCCAGTAAGGCAAGCGATTCAGTAAAAAAAAAAAGGCTTATGTCCCCAAGCCTTATCCCCTTTAATATTCTTTCAAAATTTGATACATTGACAACTCTATGCCTTTGTTGTTCTCATTAGCCGAAATGTTGTGTCCAAACATTCGCACCTTTAGACTTATTTTGGCTGTAGTAAGGTTTGGATGTGTTAAGAGGATTGTCTTGACAATGAACATTTTGAAGTTTTTTTTTTTCATTCCAAGAAAGACATTTATTGTATCTTTAAGAAATAGGATCATTTTGTCATTGTTAATGCTGTTTTACCCACAGTCTTCCCTGACAAAACCACAAAGACAAAAGACAAGACCTTCCTTTTATTTATTTCATTTTCATTTCATTTATTGATTCAAAGTAGGTGTTTCCACACCTGATCTGGGAACAATAACAATTCCCAGACCAGAACCTTGAATACCATAGAAGACTATAAAAAGCATCAAATGAATGAAGCTCAAGACCTCTACCATGTCGGCTAATAAAACAGGGCTAGTAATACATTTCGAATAGGGCTGTCTAATATTCATTCGAATATATTAATTTTCGAATTATGTTTGAATTTCGAAGTCAAAGCCCTAGTGTTTACCAGCGCTGTAGAGGCTAGAGGACGCAGGCTGTTTGCTGCTCGTTCTGTGAGTGGAGGAGAGCTATTTGCCCGCTAAGTCTCTACTCAGCACTTTTTACGGCCTGAATTCATACACAAGCTGAATCAATGAGCTCAAGTTTTCAATGAAATTATGGATTATAATACAAGGGTTAGTATTCGAGATAAACTCTGCAGGCTGTCCCAGTTCTTTTTATAGCCCTACTTTACCAAAAATACAGCATTATATCAATAAAATATATGTGCATTCCATTTATTGAAGATTGATTGTAGGAGTATCTTCTCAGCCTCTTGATTCTGTTTGAATTTGATTATTACAACATTAAAAAAATATGAATAGCAAACAACTAATTTCTATGTATATAAAACAATATATGCTTTGTTTTTACTCCCCTAAGGTCAGCATATTGTAAAGCGCGTTGTGTGACCTTGGTCTGTGAAATGTGCTATATAAATAAAGATTACTTACTTATTGGTGATTACATAAATCTTAACAAATAATATTGGGGGAATATAATAAATATTTACAATGTAATGTTGAATAAAAGTTTTCTGAACTGTAAAATGAATTCAAGCTCGGGTAGCTTCAGCGACTAAGATGCAAACTTTATCCATGTGTATTTTCCGTCTTTGCAGGACGGCCTCCGAATGATTGTGTCAAGGGATTTAGACTGCACAAATACTCTCTACATTCAGTTCTCCTTCAAATTCATCACCAAAGGTATTACATAAGTCCTGTGTCTCTGCGATGTCTCTATCTGTTTTCATATATCTTTATGTGTTGGCCTTTGTAGGTGTCCCTGAGCGCTCCCACTCAGTTCTGCTGCAATACTCGGTGAACGGAGGGATAAGTTGGTTACTGTTGGATGAGTTCTACTTCCCGGCTTCCACAGACACTTTGTTCCTCCACCTGCCGCTGCCAGCCAGTGCGCAAACCAACGCAACTCGATTTAGACTCTGGCAACCCTACAACGGTGGTACGTGATGTTATTTTTATACTACACGTTTATTCCCAATTATTTTATACTATTATAAGAATTTGATAATGATAGAGAGTATATTTGGATATTTGCTTAGTAAAATTCCCATCCCTTTTTAACTCTTAGTAATGGCAATACTACTGTATATCATTGAATTGTGCATAATGATTACATGTTGTGTTTCTGTGATAGTATTGCTGCTTAAGTTTAAGTTTAATTTATTAAGGATAATGTGCATTTGTTACATTAAAAAGATGCCTGCACCAGATTTAGCACCGTGCTACTGTCCATCTGTAGTCCTTGACAATACAATCATATAACATACATAATAACATTACAGTTCAATTTTTCTTTTTAAAATAGTGCAGGTTACTAAAATACAACCATCCATCCATTTTCTTCCCCTTGATCTCTTTCTGGGTTGGGGAGGTGGCAGTCAGAGCTGCACCCAGTGGCAACAGTAGCTCAGTTGGTAGAGCGTTGGCCTTTAAGCCAGAAGGTCGTGGGTTCGAGCCCACCTCAAGACTATCTCCATCGACCCCCATTGTCTGCTGTCGTTGTGTCCTTGGCAAGACACTTAACCTCTGGTAACACAAGCCACAGTGGGGCGACTGCAGCTGTAAAATGCTGTTGTGTCTTTAGGCAAGACACTTCACCCCCATTGCCAAGAATGAGTCTGGTGTGTGGTCGGAGGGGCTGATGGCACATACTGGTTGCCTCGCTTCTGTCAGTCTGCCCCAGAGCAGCTGTGGCTACAGTAGTAGTTTATCACCACCGTGTATGGAGTGAAAGAATAATGAAATGTAAATCGTCTTTGAGTGTCCTGAAAAACGCAATATAAAACTGATTCATTACACACTGATCCTCCTGCAGGTGGTGAGTCCACAGGAGCCTTGATCTTTCATAAAAAGTTATCAGCAGTCCCATAAAGATAACATTTAGCAGCAAATGCGGAATTATAGTACAGTATTTAACAGCGATATACAAAGTGTGACATAATTTTCAAAAGATAAAGAACAAGGTATTGTGAGTGAGTTATGTAGATTATATGTATATGTTTCATTTTGTATCGTCCTGCAGTGTATATGTGTTCTAAATAAATGAAAAAGGTAAAGCAAAAATATATATATACTGTCTATAATGTGTTTTCTGTCCTTTTTCTGTCTTTCTAAGGTAAAAAAGAAGAAGTATGGGTGATCGACAACCTGATTATTGATGGCGGTTCTGTCCACAACTCCCCTGTGGTCATAGACAGCTTTAAGGAGGACGCAGATGAGTCCAACTGGCTCTTCTATCCTGGGGGGAACACTGGCCTTTACTGCCCCTATCAGAAATCTGGACTGTAAGACGAGAATCCATCCACAAGGACTTACATATGTGTATTATGAAATTGTTTGAATCATCTCTGTTATCTTTGTGCTGCAGAGAGGAGGATGAGTCAGCCATGGTGTTTGTCTCCAGTGAACTTGGAGAACACTCAATTACCACTCGGGACATTGACGTAAATGAGAACACTATCATTCAGTTTGAGGTAAATAAACAGCCTGCATGTCTGTCATATACAGTGATAATACATATTCATTTCAGCTAAATAGTTAACCATGTTTACTATATAATTGATGCTTTTCCAGATTAACGTGGGCTGCACAGCTGAGAGCTCCTCAGCCCACCCGGTGCGCCTTGAATTTTCACGAGATTTTGGAGCCACTTGGCACCTTCTGTTGCCTCTGTGTGCTGGTGGGCCACAGCCATCCTCACTGTGCTCAACTGAGCTGCACCCTGCAAGTATATATTTCCCTGGAACGACTCAGGGCTGGAGGCGAGAAGTCATTCATTTTGGCAAGCTGCGTCTTTGTGGGTAAGAACTAGTGTTATTCAGCCGCTAAAGAGTATATTTTTTTCTACTGTTCTTTCACTAAAATGGGTTTTATTATTTAACAGGTCGGTGAGGTTCCGCTGGTATCAGGGTTTCTTCTCCTCTGGTTCTACGCCTCCCACTTGGGCAATTGACAATGTGTACATTGGACCACAATGCCAGGACATGTGCAATGGACATGGAGCTTGTGTCGCTGGAAGTCACTGCCTGTGTGACGCGGGGTACTCAGGACAAGACTGCTCTGTCCCAGAAACCCCCAACGCAGACTTCCTCAAGGAGGACTTTGAAGGTCTGGACACAATTACTTCAACTATCAAACATGTACATGATTTAATATTTATGTGTATGTTTAATCAGGAGGAAACAAGGATGCAGAGCATTTTACAATGTTGAGTGGAGGAAAACCATCACGAAAATGTGGCATCATGTCCAGTGGAAATCACCTGTTCTTTAGTGAGGATGGTCTGCGCATGCTGGTCACAAAGGATTTAGATTTGTCCAATGCTCGGTAAAACATTTTTCTTCTCAAGTGAACAATATATTATTATCATCCCCCTTCCTAATCAAATCCTTTGTGTAGTTTTGTGCAGTTTTTCCTTCGTCTTGGATGTGGAAAAGCAGCTCCAGATCCTCGCTCTCAGCCAGTGTTACTGCAGTTCTCTGTGGACGGAGGCCTGACATGGGGCCTGCTACAGGAGTTTCTGTTCAGTAACAGCAGTAACCAGGCCCGACTTGTGGCCATGGAGATTCCTCTACGTGCACGAACATCTTCTACTCGCCTGCGCTGGTGGCAGCCCTCTGAGAATGGGCACTTTTACAGCCCATGGGTCATTGACCAGGTAAAAAACTGAAGCTAATCTTTTTTTTTTTTGTGTCAGTGGCAATAAATGTGTTTCTCAGGTGGTAGTTGGAGGAAGCGCAAGTGGCTGGGGACCACTGGAGGATGACTTCTCCTCGATTGATGGTCGCTCATGGCTGCTCCATCCAGGAGGAACCCGGATGCCTGTGTGCGGCTCTGAAGGGCCTGCGTTTGCCTTCATTGAGAAATCCAGCACTCGCTATGCCGTGACCACAGACATCAGTCTGGGCCAAGATGCCTTCATCCAATTTGACTTCTCTGCCTCCTGCTCTGTCACCTCTTCTTGCTACTGTAAGTAATACAAAACTAAATGTTAGTTTTTGATATAAAACTAAATGTGATAATATGATATAATATGTTTTTGATTCTCTTGCAGCTGTAGAATTGGAGTTCTCCCTTGATCTGGGTCTGACCTGGCACTCGCTGGTTAGAGACTGTTTGCCCACAAGTCCAGACTGCTCCTCGTTCACTTTGCAGCGCCTGCTCATTTCAGACACATACAACAAATGGGGCCGTGTGACTATGCCTATCCCCTCTTATGCAAGGTACTATGCGCTGAGTTAATTGTTCCACCAATGTCAACTAAATACACTTATTCTTTTAATATCTAGATCTCCAGCCACCAGGTTTAGGTGGTTCCAACAGGCTCCCTTTGATAAGCAGCAGACATGGGCCCTGGATAACCTGTACATCGGGGATAGCTGTCCTGACATGTGTTCTGGGCATGGACGCTGTCAACAAAGCTCCTGTGTGTGAGTAATCTTCATCAACCAAACTAAATGGTAACTGCCTTTGTGATTGTCTTTGCCCTGATGTCTAATGTCTTTCTGCAGATGTGATTCAGAGTGGGGGGGAGAGTACTGTGACGAGCCCCTGGTGGCCCTGCCCTCTCAGCTGAAGGACAGCTTCAGTCGGGCCCCGTCTCTAAGTCACTGGCATCTGGTGACTGGAGGGAAACTCAGTACAGTGTGCGGTGCTGTGGCCTCAGGATCTGCTTTGCACTTTAGTGGGGTAAATGTGACATCGATTAGAGTATAACACATACAGTAAAATACATACAGTCTAAGTGTACACACCCGGGTGAGAATTTCAGTATTTTGGCAATTTATTCTGAAATAAACGTAAAAATGTAATTTCTTGAGGGCCAATGGTTCAGTTCTGCAAGGGGGCTCCGGAATTTACAGGATTTTTTTTTTTTAAAGAGGAATGGGCCACATTAGAGAGGACAAAGAACCTCATCTAAAACTACCACAGACGAGTCAAAGAAGTCCTAGATGTTAAAACCACAGTCCTCGCTATTGAGAACTGGGGGGGATAGAGACTTCTAATCGGGGTCAGAAAAATAGTTTCTGTTGTCATTATGACTTGAAAATGGAACCCATGAGTGAAAAGAGGTTTTACTTAATTATTTGATATGGATACAGCAGTTGCATTGGACGGGCCAGCTGCAGAGCCTTTAGTGATATTGCAAGACCATGATAATTTTAGGACATCAATTAAGCATTTGAACAACGTTGCTCCGATTTTAGCCAGTTTTAGACGTCTGGTAAATATGTTTATGTCTCTGTGTGTTATCATCTATAGTCTCTGTAATGTAGCCATGAAAACTTAACTCCTGCTTGGGTGTGTTCACTTTCCAGCACTACAGTATAATGGTAATAATTGAACTGTAATAAATAGGAATTCACATTGATTTGTACAGACGTTTTTTTAAAGATTGAACATTTAATGTAAAATCGTGTTTCTATTCCAAAATGAAAACTTCTCGTGTCTTGCAGAGCTGCACTCGTCAGCTGGTCACTGTGGACTTGAACTTGACAAATGCCGAGTTTATTCAGTTTTACTTCATGTACGGCTGCATGATCCCACCCAGCAACCGCAACCAGGGCGTGCTCCTGGAGTACAGCATGAATGCAGGAATCAACTGGCATCTGTTGACAGAAATATTTTATGACCTCTACACCAAACCAGGGTGAGCATCAGTCATTTGTGTATAGAACATTAAAAATAACAAATGCAAAGTGCTGAAAGTTCACCTATGTTATGCTGTTTAACATTTATATCTCACAGTGAGAGTGGTGAAGTTAGAGAAAGTAAGAAATGGATGAATGAATGAAATCTTAAAGCGTCTCTCTTTTGGCTTTCTAGATTTGTGAATGTTCTGCTGCCCCCTGCTGCCCGTCAGGAGGGAGTGCGGGTCCGCTGGTGGCAGCCTCAGCACGATGGCATGGACCACAGTGACTGGGCCTTAGACAATGTCCTAATCGCAGGATCGGACACCCGAGCCCAGATCTCAGACACATTCGGAGGAGCGGGCCTTCCCAACCACGAGAGGACTCCAGCTGACGGGGCCTCGGAAAGAGACACTCAGCCTGGAGAAGAAGAAGAAGAAAGTCAAATAGGTACAGATTGAGTACCTACTTACAAAACAACTTACAAAAACAACACTCAAAGTGTTGTTTTTGTAAGTTGGATTTTCTCATAAAATGTTGCTTTGTAATGCCAAAATAATTATGGTGCGAGTCATGTGAGACTTTTTTCCTTCACCAGGCTTAGTTAGAGGTCGTATCTGCCATTGTAAGATTCCAGTTTTTGAGATGGTTTCATTTTATTACGGCAACACATTCCAGTAACACCAAGCAGAAGACAGATCCCATCAGAAAAGTTTAATTATTATTGTATATATATTGTTATTCTATATATTTGAAGTACACTATGCAATAATAATTTACAATAATACCTCTAAAATATGAAAACTAAATATAGCCGCAGAGGCAAATAATCAGCGTAACACACCAGTACATTACACAAACCTACATATAACTTTGCATATATTTAGGGTATTTGCTCCTACTCTTCTGTAAATACTATTGTTTATCAAATACTGTACACACGCACATTTTTAACAGAGTTCAATCACACTCAAGAATTTGGCCCTCCACAATACGCCAATATCCCAACTTGGGCCCCCAGAAAAAAATAATTGCCACCCCTGATTTAGTTTTGCTTGTCTTGACAGTGAGCGACCACTGGTTGTTTTCTGAGGACTGTGCTGTCCAGCGGTTCTGCAGCTCTCCTGATGGAGTCATGGTCTGTGGCAACGATGACGGGCGAGAGGTCTACGCTGTGACACATGACATCATACCAGAGAAGGGCTGGGTCATGCAGTTCAAGGTAACAGATTTGCCCGCGTGAACAATCATGTGAGTATTCTAGTTTTGAGTATTTCTGTATTTGTGCGGCTTCAGATGGCAGTTGGGTGCAGTGTCCCGGAGCGCCCGGCAGACAGACAGGTGCATGTGCAGTACTCGGCTGACTTCGGAGTGACGTGGAAGTACATAGTGCCGCAGTGCCTCCCTGCAGATCCTCGCTGTGGAGGCCAGGTGTCACAGCCATCAGTGTTCTTCCCTGCAGAGGGCTGGAAGAGAGTGGTCTACCCCCTTCCCGATAGTTTAGCTAACACGTATGTTTTTTTTTTTTATTGCACATAATTAACTACCTTACTTTCTGGACTATTAGGCGCACTTGTATCTAAGCCGCAACAGCAATGTTTTAAGAGGAAGTACATTTGGTCCACATATAGGCCACTCTTGAATATAAGCCGCCGGTTTTCTTGTTGTAATGTAAACCTGCGGAGAGACGACTGTTTGAACTGGTCACAAAATTATTTAATGGGAAGGTGTTAGAGCTTGTGTTTCCTGGACTTCTGTGTGGAGCTCGCATGTTCTCCCGTGTCTGCGTAAGTTTCCTCCAGGTGCTCTGGTTTCCCCTAACCACTTAAAACATGTGCAACAGGTATGAATGTTGTACAGTACATGTGTGTGAAGAGAAAGGAAAAATATCTGAACCCCGAACATTGTAAAGCGCTTTGAGTGACCTTGGTCTGTAAAAATGCTTTGTATACTTACTTAACTGTTAGCTTCCATGCTTATTCAGCTTCATCTATTTAGACAATAAGCATATACTTATATTAGCCGCATCGCTACATTAGCCGCAGGAATCAAAGAACAACAAAAATGTAGCGCTTATAGTCCGGAAATTATAGTATGTTATTTTCTGCCAATGCTAAAACTCAATTACAGACAATACAGTTTGAAAAATCTTTATTTTTTTATTTTTTTGTAGAGCGGTTCGGTTTCGGTTTTACCAGCAGCACTCGGACATGCAGTGGGGGGTGGAGAACTTCTACATCGGACCTGCGTGTGAGAGTCACTGTGGAGGACATGGAGACTGTCTGGACAAACGCTGCCTTTGTGACCCTGGCTTCACTGGGCCAAACTGCTATGCTAGCACGGCCCTCAAGGTAAGTGCTGCTCGTAATTAAGATAATTAAGATATATATATATATTTAAGAAATTAAATACACACATCAATAATACAAAATATGTAAAAGGACCTGGGTTAGCTACAGATATTTTGGTACCATACGGAGTAAAAACAAAGAGAGAAACAAATGAATAATAATAATAATAATGCATCGGTTTTATATAGCGCTTTTTTGGACACTCAAAGACGCTTCACATGTCATTATTCATTCACTCCATACACGGTGGTGATAAACTACTAATGTAGCCACAGCTGCCCTGGGGCACACTGACAGAAGCGAGGCAACCAGGCCCCTCTGACCACCACCAACCATTCACACACACACCAGACTCATTCCAGGCAATGGAGGTGAAGTGTCTTGCCTAAGGACACAACAGCAGTTTGGCACTTTACAGCCGCAGCCACCCCACTGTGGCTGGTGTTCCCAGAGGTTAAGTGTCTTGCCAAGGACACAACAACTGTAGTCATTGGGAGTCGATGGTGAAAGTCTTGAGTGGGGCTTGAACCCACGACCTTCTGGCTCAAAGGCCAACGCTCTACCAACTGAGCTACTGCCGCCCTAGCGCTACTGCCGCCCTAGCAGTAAATTAAAACTTCCCTTTGTCTCTGGGTAAAGGCCGACCACCTAGATTTAAAAATGTCACTTACCTTTCAAGAAATGAAATATAATATGAAACAATATCCAATCCAATCCACTTTATTTATATAGCACATTTTATAAAACAAGTTTCCAAAGTGCTGCACAGAAATAAAATCAACACATTTAAATATGCTCAAAGTAAAAACAATACAAATTTAATAAAAACAATAAAATACCAGTAAACTATAAACATGTGATAAAAACAATAAAATACTAGTTAGCCGATTTAAAAAGAATAAATAAATAAATAAAAACAATAAAACACATAAAACAAAATAAAAATAGGACCACACAACTCACGTGGTGTTAAAAGCCAGATAGTAAAAATGCGTCTTAAGACAGGACTTAAAACATTCCAACGAGGGAGCAGTTTTGACGTGGGGGGACAGAGCGTTCCAGAGCTTTGGTCCAGCCACAGAGAAGGCCCTGTCCCCCCGAGTTTTAAGCCTCGTCTTAGGCACCACGAGGTGGAGCTGGCCCTCGGACCTCAGCGCGCGGGGCGGGCGATAAATTTGGATGAGGTCCGAGATGTAAGGAGGGGCCAGTCCGTTCAAAGCTTTAAAAACAAACAATAAAATCTTAAAATCAATTCTAAAATAAACAGGAAGCCAGTGCAAAGAAGCTAAAACCGGTGAAATGTGCTCACGTTTTTTGGTTCCTGTTAAAAGCCGCGGAGTTCTGGACTAACTGTAAGCGGGAAAGTGCCTTCTGTGAAATCCCGCTGTAAAGTGCATTACAGTAGTCAGGACGTGAAGAAATAAAAGCGTGCACGACTTGTTCAAAAGGTTTAAAGGATAAAAAAGGCTTTGCCTTAGATAAAAGACGAAGGTGATAAAAGCCTGATTTCACGACTGTGCTGATCTGCCTGTCAAAGTTAAAATCACTGTCCATGGTGACGCCAAGGTTGGTGTATACTATATCCCTTACTCAATAACTTTTACCCTGCAGGCTTCACTAAAGGAGAGATTTGATTGGGAAGGGACGTCCAGCCCCCAGTGGCAGGTGCTGGAGGGAGGTCGCCCCTGCACAGACTGCGGAGTGTTGGTGGAGGGAACGGCGTTATATTTTGGTGGAGCTGATGCAAGACAAGCTGTCACGGCAGATCTGGACCTTCGTGGGGCAAAGTAAGTGAATGTATACACTTGTGCAATATTGGAAACCTAAACTTCCAATTTATATGTACTAAGCCTCATGTGTTTGACAGATTTGTGGAGTATTGGGCCAGGATTGGGAGCGAGGATAATTTGACCATGTGCCACCGCCCGACATGTCGGAAAGAGGGCGTGCTGTTGGACTACTCTACAGATGGAGGTCAGGAAACTTGTCCATCCAAGGGCTTTAACAGTATTATAGTATATTGCAGACCACAGTACGCCAACGATAAGATAGACTTTAGTGATCTAACAATAGAGAAATGTTCATGTTACATTTGGCATTAATAGTATCACTCGGGAAATGTGCAAACATGTTTAAAAGTGAAATATCTCTTTTGTGCAATAGCAACTATAGCAGTGAGTTTTTCAGTACTAGTGCAAGTAGCTTGATCACCACACCACCACAAGAAGTGTGTCTTCATCGCAACACGGTGACTCTCAGCAACAAGGTCCTGGGTTCGAATCCCAGTCAAAACAGGGCCTTTCTGAGTGGAGTTTGCGTGTTCAGAATATACGGACTGTCACTCATTTGACATTTTTAGATTAGATTTTTTTTTAATCAGTAATGTATATAGAAGCCGTTTTTCATGTAAAGCAATTGCTCAAATAAGAACATACAAAAAAGTTTCCCAATAGAAAAGAAGATGGAGTAAATAAACCATGGAAGAAGACCCGCCATATTCTTCTAACCCTCTTGCACGCGCTGTGTAATTTATAACAGCACATTTTTAATCTGGAGTCTTCTCATTATTTGCATAACATCTTTATAGGCGTGTCCTGGACTCTTCTACACGAGATGGATTACCTCAAGTATGTGTCGGTGCGCAGAGATTACATTGTGCTGCCCGAGGGAGCCCTGACAAATGCCACCCGCCTTCGCTGGTGGCAGCCATTTACCATCTCCTCTGGACTGGTCTCCCCGAGTCTGGAGCGAGCACAGTGGGCCATCGATAACATCTTAGTGGGTGGATCCGACATCAATCCATCCATGCTGCTTGACACTTTTGACGATGGTAAGTGCCGGTGAGCGAGTCGGCAGACCATTTATTGTTAGATTTTAATTTTGTCTGGTTTGTTATGACTATTAGAAGGTGTTTCTCATGAGGAGAGCTGGAGTTTCTATCCTAATGCGGTGCGAACAGCTGGCTTCTGTGGAAACCCGTCTTTCCATCTCTACTGGCCCAACAAGAACCAGGACAGAACACACAACATTCTTGCCACACGAGAGCTCATTGTGCAGCCCGGCTATATTTTACAATTCAAGGTTGTGGAAAACTTTTAAATCTCTCATAACTTTGTGAGGATTTATTTAGTGGTTATCTTTTCTTTTTTTTTGCAGATTGTCGTTGGTTGCGAAGCGGACATATGCGAGGATCATCATTCTGTCTTGCTGCAGTATAGGAAAGATGCAAGGTATGTGTTACAAGAAGATTTATACTTTATACTTTAAAGTGTTTCTAAATGTTTCACTTTTAACCCCAGGTCTGACTCGTGGCAGCTGGTGCAGTCTGAATGCTTACCCTCTTCGGTAAACAACGTGGGCTGCTCTCCTTTCCAGTTTCATGAGTCCACAATCTACAGCCCGGTCAACAGCTCAACATGGACAAGAGTCACCGTCCCATTACCGGACCATGTCTCGTCTGGGTAGGACAACACCCTTTTTAACCCCTTACTAATAATAATAATGCATTGGTTCTATATAGTTTTTTTTTTTTCTGGACACTCAAAGACGCTTCACATGTCATTATTCATTCACTCCATACACGGTGGTGATAAACTACTACTGTAGCCACAACTGACAGAAGCGAGGCAACAAGTTTGTGCCATCAGCCCCTCCGCCCCCCCAGCCTTTCACACACACACACACCAGACTCATTCTATGTGGGTGAAGTGTTTTGTCTAAGGACACAATGACAGTTTGGCACTTTATAGCCGCAGCCACCCCACTGTGGCACCTGGTGTCTCCCATCATGGTAGTAGCACAGACATTCTTCCCACTAAAAATAAAATTAGAGTTAAAAGGGGAAAAGAGGTTGGTATGGGGTTTATAAAGCACTTTGCAATATAGCCTTGAATAGAATTTCCAAGAAAAATATTTTTCCCCTTCACTAGAAAATGTTAATTGCGCACATTTGGTTGTGTCTTTTTAGGGCCACACAGTTCCGCTGGATTCAGAAAGAGGGTGTTGGGGAGAGACAGAGCTGGGGAGTGGACCATGTTTACATCGGAGAGGCGTGTCCAGGGCTCTGCAGTGGCCATGGGTACTGCACCAACGGGATGGTCTGCATCTGTGACGAGGGCTATCATGGTAGGCCGCCCAAGCCTAATGACATATACAAATAAATGCAAGACTTTTGATTATTGCTAACTTATCTGCAGTTTATTTTTATAAACATAGTCATATCCAATATGGTAAACAATAGTTTATAACCATTATTGCTGATAGCCCACAATTTTATTCTTTTGAATTGTTCAGTTTCCACAGATTTAGATTATTTTTGATATTTTATAGCTATTTATCCTGTTTTATTTGATCTTGTACTGTGCATTGTAAACTATAACAGTGCATCACTGTGGGACAAATAAAACTTCTCTTTATCATGTCTTATACTGCAGCTTACCGAACTTAAAGCAAGGGTACATAACTTTTTCTCAACAGAAAGAATCATTTTGCATTGTGCTCTCTTTATCTTTAATTATTTTCCATAATTGTAAGAGGATGGTTTTCTCTTTTTCCCTTTTCTTTCTGAGAATATCTAAAGTGACAAAGGCCAGAAAAACGTGCACGTGAAACCTAGTGATAGTACCAACTGTTAGAACTTGTTAAATTGATGTTATTATATTTTGAAAAGTTAAGTACCCCAGCTTTGATTAGTGTACTTTCAGATTTTAAATAACTGTTAAATAACTTCATCCATTGCACAGACTGAATCTAGGAATAGAAATTTTTTCTCTTCTGTGCTTCATCAGGTGACGATTGCTCCTTGACCAGCACAGACCTCCCCAGCTCTATAAAGGACAACTTTGAGTCAGGAAGTGTGTCTCCGCAGAGCTGGCAGCTGATTCAGGGGGGCGGAGTGGGCAACGGCTGTGGGCAGCTCTCGCCACACGCCCATGGGGACTCTCTCTACTTTAATGGCTGTAAGATGAGGCAGGCAGTTACTAAACCGCTAGACCTCACTAGGGCCAGGTACAGGTACAACCAAAACATATACACTCTCTTTAACATGCTTTTTTTAATATTACATGGAGAAATAATACATTCTGGTTTAGCAAAATGTGTTTTTATTGCTAACTGTGTTCTTCTCTGTCTCCTCTTAGTAAAATCATGTTTGTGCTGCAGATTGGCAGTGTAGCACAGACAGACAGTTGTAACATAGCACTAGACCAAGCAGACACAGTGGACCGGGCAGTGCTATTACAGTACAGTGTCAATAATGGGGTTAGCTGGCACGTCATAGCCCAGCACCAGCCCAAAGACTTCATAAAGGCCCAACGAGTCTCCTACAACATTCCATTGTGAGTACCGATTACAGTAGTAACAGTATTTACCAGTAAGGCTGTTTTTTTCACTGTTTTTTATGGGTTCTTCACTAAAACATGTAATTGGCGTCTGCAGAGAAGCCCGGGTCAAAGGTGTGATGCTGCGATGGTGGCAGCCGCGGCATGATGGTGCAGGACATGACCAGTGGGCATTGGACCATGTGGAAGTTGTTCTGTGAGTACTTCATTTCTCAACGACCCCAGGCCTCGACTGGCCCCTACAAAGCCTGACCTGCTCCTTTCTGCCTCAAGTAAAGAGCAACATTTTCACTCAAACACAAGGATTTTGACACATGTGTGCAGTAAATGCTTAATCGGCTGCATTGTTATGAGCGTCTAAGCGTTTGTCAAGCAGTGACCAACAGCTCTGGGTTTTCAGTCATGTTTTCAGTGTTTTGTAGAAGTCAAACAAAATAAGGTAATCAACTGTCATACACATAAAACAATTTAAACATAGAAAATAATAAACTGTGGTCTATTCTACATAGCACTGAAAATATTGCTTTCGCCAATGTCTTACAAGATGAGAGCAGTTTGAATGCATTGTCTGCATGTGCTATTGCTTCAATGTTCCAACAATACATTACAATATTCAAACTGTTTTTCCAACTGGCTTTTCAAATGAAATAAAATCAAAATACATAATAACATTTCACATACACATACAGTACAAACACACACAGTAAATGCATTTTGTCCCAATTCGCCTGAGCTGTCCCTGTTAATGTGGTCCTGTCCCACCTGCCTCCACTGCCTGGTTTTCAACAGTCTGCTGAAAAAAAATCACATGATCCTTACACTGTGCTCTTTATTTCTCTCTGTTACCACTCCTTTACCACTCTTCTATTGCTATGGCCCAATTGTTTGATTTGCCTTCCTGCACACTTCCCTTGCTTATTATGCACCACGCTCCTGCGCTTGAATGACATCCACACACCCCGATTTCCTTCTACCTCTTTCTCTCCAATCTTGTGGCATGCCACCTATGGATGCTTTTTTCTTGTCCCCCATCTTCTTTGATTGCTGTCTCAACCTTCATCATACTGTTCTGATGCCTTTCTCCCTTCCCTCCTGACTTTGGCCTCTCTTCTATCTGCTTTGGTCCAGCCCCCAAAGGCCTGGACTCTCTCCCTCTCAGACCTTTCTACGGGACAGCAGTCCTCTTCTGACTCCCCCCTCTCGCGCTCTAACCTCTGCTCTCTTCTGTATTCTGCTCCCTCTGGCATGGCTGTAGTGTCAGGTAAGTTTCCGTCGCTTCCTGAATGCAGTCCTCCATCACCTGATCCCTTTGTCGTCCTTAGTAACCTCCCACACATTTCATTTGTCACAAACCCCCACCTGCTATAGTCATGTTCATGCTCTCGCTTGATCCACGGTCGGCCTGCTGAGCCTCGCTCACAGAGTCCAGGTGGAGGCAACACAGTGACAGCTCTCACACATGTTCTGACCATACATATAACTAACTCTACTAAAGGTCTAACCTGATGTTAGCAGGACACTATTCTGTGTATCTGTACAGTGCATATACTTGTACCATCGAATATATGTACTATATGAATGTGTGATGGAACTATGTTGTCACTTTATTTGTTGACTGTTTGTGAACATGTATCAGGCAATGAAGTAATCTGTAAATACAAGCTATTTAGTAGAGCAAGGCACAGGTTTTCAAGCCTGGTGCTCAGCTCTTTTTGACCAGGCCCACTTGCAGAGAGTGTCTGTGTAAATGTTACCCAAACACCCTGCGTGGCCTTTTGCAGTAGCTCAGTCCCCACTCACTCATGGCTGTCCACAGACAACATGAATGAAGCTCTGGACTAAATATGAGTCAGGTGACCCCTACATCCCATGCGTCCACCTCCTCACATCAGCCATGACACCCCCTGCTTTACCTCGCCCCTCCCAACCTCACACTTCACAGAGGCACCTGCCTGCCCTGGCTGCTCTCCTGGCTCACAGGCGCCGCTCTGCTGGATGGAAGAAGCGATAAAAGGCTAAGCAAGCGCAGGCTCCTGCAGCTATTTAGTATTTTATTTCAACCCCATCCCTCACAGCCCTGCACTTTGATGGCTTCATTTATTTCTTCTATACTATTTAACTTTAGGGAAAAAACTCAAGCCCCAAACACTCATGCCTGAGATGCCCTGGTCTGTGCTAGTTTGTAATGTCCTGTATCTTGTCTGTGTCCTGCAACATTTAGTTTATCCTTTAAAAAACTTGTAACGTGTCTTTTGCTTTTTAGATGCTAGGTGAAAACATGTAAACTTGTGTGTAGTAGAGTAGACTATCATCTTCATATCCCAAAGAGTTGTTGAGTGTTTGAGGTTTTAGCTTCAACCCATCATCTTCATCAAGTAGAAGCATGAGAATAGTTGGAAGTATAAGTTGCATTATTCTGGCTGCATGGCAAGTGCATGAAAACAACTTCAATTTGATTTAATCTCTTGTCTCTAACACCCACTACTGCTCCTTTTACTGTCTCTTTGTGCCTGCAGCACCCGCAAACAAAACTACATGATGAACTTTGCCAGACAGACTGGCCCTCGTCATTATTACAGCCGAAAGAGGCGGGCACTGCGACTGCGTGCCTGAACGTGAGCGAAGACGAGAATTGCCCATTGACCTGCCAATCACCGCAACCCCTGCACATTCTCGTAACTCCTGACAGCACATTTTTGCCCTGCTGAGTCCCGTCCACCAACCGCATCCATCAACAACGATCAGCTGTACCTCTTCACAAATCTCTTCTGGCACTAAAAACATTTCAACAAGTTTACACACCAGCCATTCGCAAGCAACACGGGTCGGTGGGATCACAAATCAAGGGGAGAAGAGTCAAGCGACCATTTTGTTTACTTTGCCTCCATGGATGGTCAGGGTTTGTCGTTGTTTCCCCGAGTGTTGCGATGTACAAACGTCCCTTGGCGGTTTCCCCTTCTGTGGCTTACCCCCGCACTTCTTGTTCCAATCATATCTTCTGACCACACTGTGAATTTCAAAAGTATATCACTGCAGAATTTTTGAACCAGCCAATAGGAGAGCTCCCATCTCCACCGAGCCGCTGAGGGAGAGGACCACTCCACTGCCATCCGCCGGTACTCCGGGTGAATATCATAAAACCGCCCATGAAGTGAAGAAATGGCGATCAAGCTATACAAAAAATATATAAAAATGATTTCTGTGTCGTTGGTGTTTTGTGTGTCTGTGGGTTATTTACGTGCTGAGTTGACTGTGGTGTTATCTTTGTTTGTTTTCTACTAATTCATATGTTTTTTTTATGAAGGGAAGGGTTGTGGGGCTACTGGGTTAAGTTTCCGTTTGAAGCTGGAATGGTTGGATGTATAGGCAATGGTGGTACAAGCCCCACCTCCTTGACAAGAAGGAACTCAAGAATGATTTGCACGAAACATGGAACGATTAAGAAAAAAAGACTGAGAAATGTTTGTTTTCTATCATTTTTTATATATGTTGGCTCCCGAGAATACAGATATTTATGGTAAATGGTTCTTCACGTGACCTATTTAAAATGCACTGTGCGTGAAATCTGTACGTTTTTCTAGTGTTAAGTTATTAGGCGGTCGAGTCCGGCTCTCAGACCGCACTTGTCCTTTTGCCCCTTGACTTCTCTTGTGATGTTTGAAACCCCCCAAGCCCCTCAAGCCCCTGATCTTTCTGCTGATTTCTGAAACCTGGAGGTGAGGCTCTGTTAGTGTTGTTTTTTGAAGTCTGTGTAATATGGACCCTCTACCCTCAGTGTTACTCCAGTATAGCAATCTCCTGTATATATATGTATATCCACTATGGGGAGACCCAACAGCCTTATAAAAGGGAAATAAAGACCTGTCCAAACCTCAAACTGACCCCGCCTCTTTCATTTACCAACACATTTGCACTATGTGTTTACTGGGTTACTTATTGTATACTGCTCATATCACTTCTCTTAACTATCAAACTACAAACCAATTCTACGATTAAATTCCATCTCACTCGTCCCTCTCTCTCAAAATACTGTAGTTGGATTCTATTTCTAGTTTTCACATGCATGCCCTTTTCGGCCTCTGTCACAACTTTAACTCAGACAAAATCAGTCCAAGTTGAAGTTTAGTTGAAGGTATATAAGAGGATTGGATCATCAAGACTATTGGTCCTCCCAATTGTCAATCATTCTGGTGATATATGCTGAAACAAGACCAGAGTTTTGTTCAAAAAGTGGAGAAGGCGGTTATTTCTTAAGAGTTGGGGAAATCCTCCTATACCTTTAAAGTACAGCATTTTTTCTAATATTAGAGCATATTGGTTTGATTTGATCACATTTCACTTCGGAGACAAACAGTGTGAATTATTATTGATGAATGTAGTATGATTTTTTTGACAATCTATGTGTATTGTACAGTTGTGCGTGTTGGCTACAGTCTTTCTCCAAATTAGAATCAAATCCTTTAATGTAAAAAAGGTTTATTAAATTAAAAACAGTACAATCTAATAGTAAATGACATGGTAAAAATTGTTGTCCTTGCCTTCCACATTTGCCAGTGCGGAGGCTGATAGATCAACACCAGTACAAACCGGTGCTGATTCCTACATTTCATTAAAAGTCACAAGTGTCCAGTTTACATCAGTTTTCCATCAGCAGCAGTATCAGAGCAGCAGTACTGATGAACACTCTGATCATAGTGTCAGAAGTGCTGGGACTGGAGTTGCAGTAGTTCCATTCACAGCAGGAGTAGGTGGTGTTGAATATGGCTCCTCTCAGGCTGATCTTTTTCCCCTGGCTGCAGCTCTCGACAAGCATACATCCACGCTGTGTGAGTGTGGCGTGGGCCCCATAGTAGCCCTGGGCCTTGTAGCACACGTGTTTGGGGGGGCACTCGGTCACCACGAGCTTGAACATCCCCTGTGTCTCCTTGGTGCTGTAGGGACTGTAGTAGCAGAGCATGTTCTCACACATCAGTGAAGGGAGCAGGAGGTACAGCCACAACAGGGACATGTGTGCGGCTCCTCGTCTGCAAGGCAAAGATTTACAAAGGTCACTTATTGTCTGTATGACATTTCTGCATTTTAACAAGACCTTTTAATGTCACTCAAGATCTTACATAGCTTGGCTTTTTTATTTAACAATGTTAAATTTGTGACTAAGATTTTTCAGAGGCCTGTTCATTTTACAGTTTAAGAAGTCAACCTGCCTCAGATTATGAAGAATATAAGACATAAGTAAAATAAACAGTGAAAGGTCTAGCCTGGCCTAAATTCCAATTATCCTTTCCCTACATGTATGAAATGAAATTAGTACAATGGTATGATAGTAAGTAAGTAAGTAAGTAAGCTTTATTTATATACCGCCTTTCACAGACCAGAGTCACAAAGCGGTTTACATGATGATGTAAACCGCTATAAGATGGTTTACATATAAGCCCAGTATGATAAGACTGGGCTAGTAAAAGTCATAATTTCTTCCAAATCATGTTGAAAAGGAAAGTGGTCGATGTTCAAGGAAAATAATGTAAAAGGAAATAGTTTAGGGTCACATTTATCTGAATTAGACTGGAGTGCAGTGAGGCCACAAAAATGAGTATTACTTTGTGCCATTTTTCAAAAGGTTGATTCAAATGCTTTGATTTAAAAAATATATTCGTTCAACAATATATATTCAACAATAACAATATATTCGCTCAACAACTTTACAAGGAAATGGGTAGACTACGTGAAGCTTTAACGTTTCCATTTTATTAAAAGAATTTGAAGAGTTAATTGCACAGAATTGAAAACACCCTGGTAGAAAATCAGTCTTTCCAATTACATTCAAGATCATTTGAAACGTTTCACAAAAATGCAGGTAAAACCATAAATGTGTCTTTACCTTGACATTGTATAAAAAAGGGTTAGTTGCAGGACAAATCCTTCAGTTCGTGCACTCTCGGCTTGCACATGCTCCTCTACAATCCTCTTCCTGTGCAAAGACCACACCCTTACCTTTATAACCCTCCACCACAAAACTGCCAATACGGGGAGATAATATTACTGTAGTTTTAGCCAGGAGCGTGGCTGGAAAGTCCACCCTTTTCTCTCTGGAGCACCAAAAACTCCTTCAGTCCATTTTAAATACAGAAATCTGAACATGGTCGAGTGCCTTTGTACACTAGGCCTCTTCCGTTTGTTCCATCTCATTCATTCTTAGCTTTGGACATAGGTGGCGATGTATAATTGGCACAAGAATCAAATGTTTGCCCTTGTAGCCCCGTGATTGACACATGGACCTCGCTATCGAGCGCTTGGATCATCCCCAGCAGAAGTTTGAGGCTGCCTTCAGACTTGGGTCGGTAGTTGCACTTGTCTTCGCAACAGCAGCTGTGACTCACGTCGTATCTGACCCCGAGTTTGGACATGGACTGGTGGGAGCCGCACAGGTCCCGCTTGACGCACCCCTGGGCAGACATGACGTGGAGGGAGCCGGTGTGGCCCCTGGAGATGGCGCACACCTGGTCGGGAGTGCACTGGGTGGTGAAGTTTTCGCACGACTCGGACTTGTCTTGCAATGGGCAAAAGTAGCAGAGAAGCGTGTCCGTGCGTAAAGATGGCACAGTCCGAGCGGTGGTGGTCAGCAGGACGCAGAGGAACACGCAGCCCAGGGTGAGTGCGCAGAGACTAGAAAGACCAGAGAGCAAAAGTTAAACTGTGCAATTCTAAAATCACTATATACTTAAATATCACTTATGAACCTTTGTGTCCCCTGTAGACCCATGTTTTCAAAGTGGAAGATGGAAGGATTTCAGAAGCGAAGGGGAAACAAACTACTGATAATCACCCAACAGAATCAGGTGCGCCTTTTTAAAGCCATTGAAATTAATATGTATACAGAAATAGTTAAATGAATTGTTTAGGCATACACAATGTACTATTTGGTAACCCATGTTGCTTGAAATGTTTTCGTTTATTATGTCTGTTATCCTATTTGATAATGAGACAACAGTGCCACCTGCTGTTCAAAGGATGAACTTGCAACCAAATTTGTCATAAGAAATTATTGTGCTGGGATTGGTATTTGTTGGTTTTGGTATTTTCTATGAATAAATGTAATAACTCAGTAGTTTTTATGTTTGAGAACATTTTAACCCTTGAAGCAGGTTTTCCAATGGAACAAGCATAAATTGTCTTACAGGAAAAAGATAATCCGATGGACAAAAATATGATGTCACTCTGCATTTAAGACAACATGGGCCTCTTGACTTGTTTAGCTATTCTAAAAAATGGTTTGCATTTTTATTTGCTCAAAAATGTCAAAAAAGCAGTCTGTGGTGTGATGTTGGAAGAAAATTATCCTTCTTTTCTTTTCATCTAATTACGCAGTCTATTGATGTTGAGGGCTCGATAATAAAGATATTGAATATTTTAAAGGCAAATATGTCATTTTGAAATTTTAATCACATTGAAATTTGTAATCTGAATGTTTAGTGCAAATATTCTACCATGTATTTTCATGGTTAACTACTCAAGTTGCAGTATTTATCCTACACAATGAGAAATCTGGTTTGAATGCTTTTCCTAAACATCTCGGCTACAATTATATAAAGTTTCAAATGTGACTCTTTACAAGATGTCAAACGTCATAATGGCACCAGTGAGCAGGTGGTGGAACAATAGACATACTGTATATAAATATTAGATGCAATATTTCACAAATGCATGTATTACCTTTACTATTGCCCATTATCTGTATTTATCTGTCCCATAATCAAAACCAACAGAGAGGCGGCCGTATCTCTGCAGTGGCTTCTGTACAAAAAGCAAAGTAAAGGACAATGCCATACAGTAAATAAAACAATGCAGGTATGTGCGGCTTTAGCAGACTCACTTCCACTTCTTGTTCACTGTCGTAGTTTAAATCGTCCTGGTCTTGTTCTGCAGGGTCGTACATATAGACGGGGACCAGCCGGTGCCGCAGCTCATCAGACCTGGACACAAATGTTCTCTCAAAGTTCAGTTTCAACCAAGTTTGAGCCTAGATTTACTCTTTAACTCACCGACGTTTTCTCTTTTTCAAGTAAAACACCTGAAAAAGACAGTGCCACAAAGTCAAGGTCAACCAGATTTCACAAAAATACTATTGAAATCATGCCTGCTAACGTTTTGACTATTGCAATTCTGAAATCTAAGTATAGGCAAGATTGAGGTTCGGTTATATATAATCACTGACCAATTTGGGGCTTAGTAATGATAATAATTTAAAGGTCCACTGCCAATTAAGTGTAAAAGCAGGTGGAGTAGAAGAAAGTTCGCTTTTTGTTTTTATTATTTTGAAATACGGTACTCGCTGGACTATAAGCCTCTACTTTTCCCAAGTTATTTGAACTCTGTTGCCGATATAGCGACGCCATCAATGTATTCATTTTAGATTTTGTTAGAGCTCCCCCTGGGGTGCAGGAAGGGGCATGGCTCCTTCAGCTCTTGATCCCCATATCTGATGACATAGCACACATTCCTGCTTCCCAGTGTGTTTATGTGAACAGCAGCGGGAAAGTGGTGGGAAACAGACAGCACCTGGGTTTATGTGATTAGTGCTACTGTCACAGAGTTTATGGACTTATTACTTTGACTTGGCTTCTTAGTTATTGGGATGTTATTGTTAAGATTGGGTTTACCGGAGGGCGCACAAGGCAATGAGGCATTAAAACACTTATTCAATAATTCATGTTGTGTCCAGTTAAAACGGTCTATCGGCTTTACATTAGAACATGAAAGCCTGCTACTTACATTCAAGTGCGGCCTTTATGCGGACAAAATGTACTTTCTTTTTAAAATGTGGTTTACATACAGGTGCGCTATGTAGTCCAGCAAGTACTGTACATGTTTACTTTTATTTTTTGAAGGATACAATATTGATACTCACGTTTTGTAACTATGTGAAAAAATATGCACATATATCCTGAAATATCGGAATCTGAAATGCAGTGTTTTTAATCGCTGTCTTATGGTTCAATGTGATGCCGTTCAAAGCAGCACTTCACTTTTTCCTCATAAATAAAATAGTGTAATAAAAAAGTCTAGTAAAAAATGTTGTGAACAAACCAGACCACAACATTTGCCTATACGTTTTTAGATTTGGATTTGATTTACCCCAGCTTCAAGTATTAGATAGACAGACATATGTGTAAAAGCATATACAGTACGAGCGTGATCCAAACTTGCATCATCAAATCTTTTTTTTAACAGTATTACAAAACAATCAAAGGTCTATCTCTCTATCTCAGCCCTCGTTCTTACCGTCGCCAGTATAGCCAGTGCGATCAGGACAATGGGAATCAGAATCAGACAGTAAATGCCAGTATTGTCTTTTGACTGCGGTGACGGCGGGGCACCTGTTGTATAGTTCAAATAGTTCTCCATCTATTATTCAAACGCTCTCTCTTTGTGCCCCAGCCAACACCTCTGCGATGCATTTAGAGCATTGTTTGAAGCAGGTAATTCCACCAGAAAACGAAAGTACCACTTATCAACTCCTGACGTGCATAAAAACGTCCTTGATCGCATGCCTTTGGAGATTGCGAAAGCGAGAGAAGGGGTTTTTTCCCTGAACTTAAATTCAGTAAGTGACATTTCCTTGTTGTCGTTTTTTAGATCAAATCCATCGCTTCACGAAAAGCAAAGAAAAACCTGCTCATTGACATTCCAAAGCCAGGAGTGTGCTGCAATGTGATTTTGACATTTACCCTACATATATTCTATCACAAGCCAATTTCTTTGCTTAATTATTACCAAATCAAAGGCTCAGTCTCTTCAGGCCAAGTCTTAATAATTGTTGTATTTATTATGTGTGTATTTTGTGCCCTGTTTCCACCAGCAGGGGTCTTATCTTCTTGTGTTGACAGAAAGAAAAGAGGAGGGACTGTGCGGAGGTGTGGACATGCACTCTGCTCTCTACAAGTCTAACCAGCTGAGCATGGCGGAGGACAGGACCTTGCTTTGTTGTGGTAAGTCTGAATTCATGTGTTTAAGCAATTGGATATATCTTGATGTTTAAAGTGTAACTGATGAAATGTGTATATTCAAAACATTAAAAGCATGGGATTTGTAGGTTTTACTTCCACTTTTGAATGTTGTAGCTTTAGGCCCCTATGTTAAAAACCAAACTTTTCAAAAATACTGTATCTCTTGTTACCTCCGAGAGGGAGAGATGTCCCATTGTCCAGTAAAATTCCTTGAGCGCTTAAAGCTTGTAATAGAGAAAAGAGTGGTTTAATGATTAGCCAAGCGCAGATTCTCCTCTGCAGATAGTGTCAGGAACCGGCAGCCCTTTGTTTATGGTAAATGACCACAAACTCCATATGTTTTAGGAGTGAAGAGCAGCTGAAAGGTCTCCTCTGGACTTATCTCAATAATGTTATAATGGATCCTGCCACGAGGGAATGGTTCAACTCTCACGATGCAGAGATCTCAGATGAACCACTGCCTCTGAGAGACGACCTCGAAGATCAAAGACATTATGAATGTATTGAAGGAAATGATCACATCTATGAACCAACTATACAAGGACACATTCTCCCGTCGAATGAAAAACCAAAACCAAGAAGTAGCAGTGACAGTGCTCAGACGCAGGAGGCCGTCAGAGGAATACAGAGGAACAGGTTTTCGGAATATTTGCCCGGGCGACATGGCATCCCCCCTCCTCCTCTGCCCCCAAGAGGACCTCTCCACAGAGCACAGCCTGCTGAAAACCAAGGGGCCATTCCCAGATTTAACAGGTCGAGGACGGAATGTATGGTAAGTGTTGTTTTCTGGTTACTTGTCTTGAAGAAAGTTGAATTATGCTTTCGGTTGTTTTTAATATCACAGATAATGAGTATCATTTTGCAATGTTTATGGTGCTACTATTAAATTTCCTTCTTCAACCACAGGATGTATGGAATATTTTCCTGGAGGACACTCCACAAGGCAGCACCAAAACACTGGCCTCTCTCAGTTCATCTGTGTCTCAGTAAGTGGCGTTTCACACAATCATGTGAATCACTGGGAAATTCATGAAGCCAGGTATGTATGTATGAGACATGTGGTTGTTCTTTTCCAGGCTCATGTCGTGTTACAAACACACTGAGGAGCACAACACGGGCAGAGTGTGGGCACGACTCTCCTACATCCACCCAGCTCTGCTGCAGCAGGTGGAGGTCACTGTGAGTGTGGCTACAGACTGGGGTCATCACCAGCTGCCTTTCCCCGCCCCAGGTACCATGCACCGTTACATTGAAAGTAGTATCGTAAAATAAATGTTTTTTTTTAGGAAATTTTTAGGAAAGATTGTTAAGTCCCGTCCTATCCCACTGTAAACCACAGCAACAAGGATCCTGTAGAACAGAACAGTTGTATAGATTGACTTACTGTATATACAGTCTTTATTGTTGATGGTGATTTTGTGTGGACTCTGAACTCTGGTCTGTTTGCAGTGAACCAAACAGTCGCCAGTGTGATTGATAAAGCCTTTAATTTACTGGACCTGCCCCGCAGCACCAACGGTCGTTATGTATTAAAACTGTGTAACTCTGAGGAGTACCTCCACAAGTAAGTCACAAACATACAGCCCAATAATACTCTGTTACTCTGTAACAGGGCTTGGAACCTTTCAATCTTGTCTCGATATCTAGATAGATGCTACGGTTAGATACATTTCGATACGATTCGATACATTACGATACTTCAGTAAAAGTACCAGCCCCATTTTTAACAAAAAAGCATTTATATATAAATCATTGAAGATGAATTGTTATTAAAGTCCAAATATCAAAACAATATTTTGAATTATGTTTGAATGTTTTAAAGAATTAGCATAATCCTTGTTTTATTCCTGTGGGACTAATAAATACATGTATTAATTCCTCCAAAGTAAATACAGTGTGAATACATATGTGCAGAATTACATCAGCAGTTCAGCCACGTAAGATCTTAAAACACTTTTGACCATGATGTTGAATAAATGAATGTGCATTGTTTCCTTCTTGTCAGTGAGGAGCTCTTGGGAATGCATGAAACCATCCAAACCTACTGCAAGTTCAACAACATAGTTCCGCTGCGCCTGCTGCACATCAACGACTTCAGGCACGGTCTGGCACGAGACGTGAGTAACCCCAATTATTAACAGTATTTAGTGAATGTTTAAGGTGGCAGATGAGCTGGCGCTGGGCCAATGAGGTTATTATGTGACGTGTTTTACAGCTGCACCCTGTGACTTTCTGTTTACTGTATGTTTATAGTACGTTGCCATTGTTACCATTAAACAAGAATTAAAATTTTATTGATCAAAGTCCAATTTCTTTTCATTAAAATATGTTCTATGTTATGTATGAAATAGTGTTGATATTCCTGCAGTGCGCACAGTTAAAGACCTGTTTTTTTTTTTAAATATACATTATTTATTATTATTATTATTTATTATACTATTTTATACATTGTTTGTCCCAACAGGATGAAGTCTTGTATTAATATCATTTTGTGAATCAGACCAAAGAATGTTGAATACTCTCTCTATCTTTCTTTATTAGAAAACATTTTATCTACATGCATCTCAAAACAATTGATAAAACCAAACTGTCCTAGAAGAAAGGAACTAGTTACAAAGCTTTTTGTTTTCAAAGTTGTGTAACTCCTTTTATATGAAAGTTTTCTTTATTTGTTTAGTTGAACAGTATTATATTCTGCTAAAAAGGAGTGGGTTTAAGCAAAAATCCTACCCCCACCTGCTAAACTCAATATAATCAAACTTTTCACATCACAATAAAAATAATACCGACACAAAAGCACACAAACGCACAACTACAACAACAGTCTTGTTTAAGTCAGACCTCCACAAAGGTAGTGACAAAAGATGACCATACAATTATTTCAGTCACTGACTCCAACAGTACCGATCACCAGCCTGTTATGAAGACACATTCATAATACTAATATACCTAAACTGAAATGGTTCCTACAGTGACGGGGTATGATGTAACCCAACCCTAAAGTCAATGCATTACACAGCTATTTTGATACATCCTTATTTCCTTCATTTAAACCTTAGCCTAAACTTAATTGTTCCACCAGGGGGAGGATGACCTGAGGCCCTGCCAGCTCTTGCTGTTCTTGCGCTCTGGAAGTTTCTTCAACGTGAGCAGGTAGGCGGTCAGTGGGTCACATGTGTTTGCAGAGAAAACAGCAGCAGCTCTGATCCTTCTTTGGCGTTTGTTTAATCTTTACTCGTGTCACAGTGTGAGTCTGCGGGAAATACTCAGTGACTTCAACAAAGAGGTGGAAAACTTCATGAAGAGACAGGTACAGAAAGATGCCGAATGGACACAGCACAATTTGTTGCATTTTGTTATTTTTGCACCACCTGCATAAAACTGCCATATCCAGTCCTAATCCAGGCCTTGGTTAGTGCTGTGATGGGAGACCTATGGGAACGCCAGGTGCCACAGTGGGGTGGCTGTAAAGTGTCAGAATCAAATTTTGTCCTTACTACAGTATACAAGAGTACTAAGTACACACAATAGACAATAGATAGATATATGTAGTGTCCAGCTGCAGAAAAACATCCATCCATAGACTGGTTCTATGTTCTCTGCCCCAGGACAGTTGTGGCTGCAGTAGCATTTACCATCAATGTGTGTGAATGAGTGACTGAATGATGCATCTTTAGGGGCAGTGAAATGCACTTTACATGTACTTTACATGTTTTTTAATTAGTGCTGTCCAACGATTAAAATATTTAATCGCGATTAATCGCATTAATTTCATAGTTAACTCGCGATTAATCGCAAATTAGTCACCCATTTGCGTGCTGTGTGCAATTGCTTTTTTTATTGAAAACAATGTGTAGTGTTATATTACACACTAACATTTTATGCAAAATCATCAATAAATGGATGACAAAATAAATAATTGGTAACAAAAAGCCCCTTCTGTGTGTGTGTGTGTGTGGAGTGTGTGTGTGGAGTGTGTGTGTTTATGGGTGTGGGTGTGTGTGTGGGTGTGTGTGTGTATGTGTGGGTATAGACCATAGACTGTATAGAAACATCATGGTGTCATTATGATGATGATAAACAATTTTTTTGTAAATTTGTTCATGTAAATACTCTATGCTGTTTCTCTGTTTACCTTCGGTATATCTATGACTGTATACTGTTTGCTTGTATTGCCTTTTTTATTAACCCCTCCCCCCCATCTCCCACTTCATGTCCCCCCCCTCCTATGTGCCCTTCTGGGTTTCTTCTTTGGCCCCCTGTATCTCCAACTACATATTGTTTGTAATCTCTGTCTACAATGTATCTTAACTAGTCCTTTTCTTTGTGCCTATTTTTTTTTCTGTATATGTGTTTGTCTGCAATAAAAAGTAACAAATTTTTACTTTTAATAATTATAAAAAAAATTAATGGCGATAAAAAAAATGACGCCGTTAATATTGATTTGCGTTAACGCGTTAATAACGCGATATTTTGGACAGCACTATTTTTAATACTATGATTTATCTGGACTCTTGCCCTCCAGGCCAGTCTGAATGTCCCTGCGATTGTGGGATGCATCCGCACCATGATCAATCTTCTGTACGGAGTCTCCACTCAGGAGCTGGAGGATGCTATTGGGATGATCAACCGCATCAACCCATTCCCCATGGTAGTGACTCAGTGAAACTGATCAGAGACTGCAATTCTATATCCAATCTAATTTGAACTTTTTATATAATACAGAGCCCAGAAGATAAGTCTCAATGTGAAACTGGTGATTGAATGGCAATTTCACAATTCACTCTAATCAGTTTTCAGAATATTAACTGTTCTTATGATTTATAGCTATCCTCACTCTGCACAAGGCCGTGGAAAAACTTTTGCACATATTTTTTGACAACTTCCAGTCTGACTTTAGGCCTCTTGGTGTCAAAAACAATCCTCCAATTTGTGACATTGAAGAAGCAAACGATATTCTTCAGTTCAATGTTGCAGCTCTTTACAAACTACAGCCTGCTTGGATGAGGTATGCTACTTTTTGATTTTGTCCATTTATTTAAAAAACATCCTTTTTAATTGTGCCTCTCCCCCTCTTTAGTTATGAGTGCTTTTGTGTTTATTGTGACCTGTTATACGTAAATACAAAGATTTGCGAGAGTGGCATTTCTGACAACATTAGCCCAAAATTAGCTCTGCACGGAAACAAGATTCAGTGCAACAGGCTGTGAGTGAAATAACGTGCATATTACTACAATTGTCATGTATTTTCTATGTACCACCATTTGCTCTGGTTACATTTCAGGATGGTGTTCCCTATTCAATTAAAGAACATTCCTTATGAGTGCATGTTGAGGTTTCGGTTGATGGGCTCAAAAAAGGGGAAAAATCCTGAGCTGTTGTGTTGGGCTGTGCTGCCTCTCTTCAGTCACGGGTAACTAACTGTCTTTGTTGTCTTTCATATATCCTCAAGGTCATACGCTAGTTTTGGTCAGGGCTACAACTTACAACGGTTAAGCCTAAAACAAAGTCTCTGAAGTTTCCTTGTTATACGAGTATTTTATTTTAATTGTATTGGTTCACGTTATGTGAGTATTTTTGATCAAATGCTTTTATTTAACTTGACTGTTTTGATTTTTCTGAAGAAACTGTGAAAGGTTTGTTTATTGCAGACTGATGCAGCAACTTACTGTTATTATTTTTATTTTGTTCTGGTTTCATTGTTTAGAATATATTAAAGGATCTTGTTGAATTCCTGAGAGTATCGGGTTCAAATGTATAATATTATAATATATTGATGCAATAATAGTCCATATTAATCTTTTGGGCTTAGGGTGGCGCCGTGGTTAGTGGTTGTGCCTCACAGGAAGAAGGTTCTGGGTTTGATTCCACGCGATTCTGTGTGGAGTTTACATGTTCTCCCCGTGTCTGCGTATTGGTTTCCCCCACCACTAAAAACATGCACAATAGGTTTGGCATTAGCCTCCTTTATGGCGACTTCGCTCCCATCTCTGTGGAGTGAGAGGGCAAATGCCAACAACAATTGTAAAGCGTTTAGAATGCGCTATATAAATTACTTACTATAAATACTTTTACTATCAGTTGAAAGGAGCTTTTCTGCTGTCATCTGGCATATTTAAACAGCTGCTATAGGTGTTCAGGAATGTGCATTGTCTATATCAAATAGATAAGTTATAAATGTTTGCATGTTTTGAATATATTTTCCAGTGCCTTGTAACACCACCCCTGGTTGGGAAACACTCCTCAGTCATTGCTAAGTGTCTAATAATCCTTGTGTGCAGGTGCTTGCTGACTGGGACTGTGCTTCTCAGTATGTCCACCCTCCCAGAGCACACTGCGCCTCCTTCCCCCGCTCTGACTGACGCACACAGGGAACCCGCTGGGACCCTCATACAGGTCTGTTTTGTCAGCTCACACTGACCTCTTGTGGCCAAAAAGAGTTTTACATGAACTTGTATCTGATTTTATTTTCATTCTTCATTTAGCTCGACTTTTCACACAAGTTTGAATGGATCATTCATCGCCCTTGCGCTCTTCCAGGATCCCCAATTGTACATAAATCCTGTGTCGATGTCCAAAATAAAATGCGAGAGGTGTCTATGTCTAAGCATTGCCTTTGCTTGTAAGTAAATAAGCAATTATTCAAAGTTATTACAACTGTGTATAACCATGTCCTCTCGCTATGAGGTGAATTAATTTGTGTTTAAATGTTTCTCTTGGCCTCACCGCTGTTAGCCTCACCCCAAATGAGAAGGCGTTCTTGTGGAGCAAACGATATTGTGCGGACAAAGAGAACACATTCCTGCATCTCTTGTTAGGTGGAGTGGAAGAGTGGAATCCTGCCAGTTTAACAGAGATCTACACCGTGGTTGACAACTGGGCTATTCACCTGCCCGAAGAGGCTCTGTTCCTTCTCAGTGACAAGTAGGCTGACAAAGTATATTACTGTATGTCATGTATAGAATGAGAACGACATTGTTTTTTTCCTTAGTTTTCATGACAAAACGGTTCGAAAAGCAGCGGTTCATTACTTTGCACAGATTCCAGACAGTGAGCTGGAAAGTTTTCTTCCACAACTGGTTCAAGTAAGACCCTCTCAGGGGACATTTCATACAATCATTACTATTTCAGTGTTTGATTTCCGTCTCTTTCAGGCTTTGAGAAGCGAGTGGGAGCTGGATGGACCTCTCGTTATGCTGCTCTTGGAAAGATCTGTCAAAAACATTCGCATCGCCCAGCAGCTTTTCTGGTAGGCTTGAAATTAACTTTGAATTCCTCCATATTAATCGTTTTGACCCAAGGCAGGTATTTTTACTTTTCTATAGGCATGTCCATACCTAATTATATGAATATGTCCATACCTTTTAAAGCAATAAACACATATAAAGCACTAGAACTTAATGATATCTAAACTCTCCTATTATACAGCCGTTTTGTTTAGAATATCTATATTTTAGCGCAACCTACTGACGAAATGTGTATGTGACGACAATTGTGAATACACTTTGTTAAAAAAACACGATTCAAATGAAGAAACGTCTGGGATTGAGTCAGTCTAGCCTGCCCTTAGCCATCTGTACACTACGGTTAATCATCATTTCCCGAAATGTAATTTGTACTATGGTGTGGTACGACCAGACTAGAGTCAGACAGACACAAGTAATGTTTTATTGTCTATGGTAGAGAGACACAAACAGAGATTTACACAAGAGATGCAAGTGGATATTATTATTATACAGGAAGAATCCAATCTGCATTTGCCACGATGCCAGTGGCTTCGGCCTTGAGATAACCAAAACATTCCAGTGGAAATGCACCAGGTCTTGCATGTGTTTATAATGATGAATTCAGCTTTAACCACAGTTGCTTCAAAGTATTATCAATTAATTTGGCTGTTATTAATTTGTAAGGGGTTCGGGTTCAATTTTGTTTATGTTTTGTTGACTGCTGTCTGAATGAAAAGACTGAAATGAATAAACTAACTAAACCAAAAACTGGACACGCAGGTTTTTGGAAGACGCTCACAACGATCGCCTTTATCAGAGCTGGTTCAGTAAAGTGCAGGCGGCTCTTCGTCACTGCTGCGGACACACTTTACGGAAGGAGCTGGAGAATGAAGTCCGCTTGGTCTCTCTGCTCACTCAAGTGGCCGATGAAGTCCGACAGGCTGACAAGAGCAAGCGCAAGGTCTGTGTTCGAGAAGGCTGCTCACATCCGCCAACATAACGCTGAGTCCAGGCAGGAAAAGAACATAGACTTGAAGGGAAAAAAGAAGGTCTGAGGCAAAACTGACTTTAAAGTAAAAATCCTTTATTTTTACACTCATTATTAGAAAGACTTTTTACTTTAAAGCAGCAGTATGTAGACATCTAGCCAAAAGTGGTACTGCAACACCTCTCACTCTCCCTGTCTCAGTTGCCAGATATGCGGATTAATCCAGCTGGGACCATAATAACTGAATACACAAGAGTTTTGCCAACAACAATACCGGTATTTATATACCGCCTTTTCACTGCAGATCTGAGTCTCAAAGCGGTTTACAATTGTTAATTTTGGGCATTTGTCTCTCACTCCACACAGAGATGGGAGCGGGGTCGCCAGTACAGGAGGCGCATGCTAGAACTATTAGACATATTTTTAGTGGTAGGGGAAACCGGAGTACCCGGAGGAAACCTACGCAGACACGGGGAGAACATGCAAAGCCCACTCAGAAAGGCCCTGGTCCGACCGGGATTCGAACCCAGGACCTTCTTGCTGAGAGGCGAGAGTGCTATCCACTCAGCCACCGTGCCGCCCGGTGGAGGGCGGGACATCGAAATGAAAACAATAACAAGATTTAGGGACTTTTGAAAATCCAAATATCTTGGTTGAACTGTTAAAGAAGTATTTGAAAAGAACATGATTTATTAATGCCTTTTGAAATATTAGGGACATTTAATGATGACTTGACATGAAATTCTTACATATTGCTACTTTAAAGTCGATTGTGCCTCGGGCCTTATTTTTTCCCTTCAAATGTTACCTATTTCCATTTGGATCCCGAAGAGCACCTGATTCGCATATCCAACCCACAATAGCGCTCACTCTCCCTCTTACCAAAGAACATAAAACGTGTCTCCTCTTTTCTTTAATCCAGCACACACCAACCATTCCACACATATCAGTACTCAAAATTATCGCCATAACTGTCATTGGTCATCTTAATGATACTAATGAATTAATGACCACTCAGTACATTGCACACCCAGTAGCCTTCATACTGTATTTGATTCAATTTTTTTCTTTATAGCCCTAAATCACAACAATAGTTTACTTGGAGGACTTTACACAACCGTTCAATTTGCCAACTCAGATCAGAGAATCAAACCATTCAAATACACAGGACAGAAAGCAGTAGGGGCGACAGTAGCTCAGTTGGTAGAGCGTTGGCCTTTGGGCCTGAAGGTCGTGGGTTCAAGCCCACCGTAAGACCTACTTCACGACTCCCACTGATGACTGCTGTGGTTGTGTCCTTGGGCAAGACACTTAACCCCACTTTGCCTGAAGCTCCCACTGAAAGATCTCAGCTCCTGTGGACTCACCACCTGCAGGAGGATCAGTGAGGGGCTGGTGCTAAGTGTACTGGGTGCAGCTCTAACTGCCACCCCCCCGACCCAGAAATGGATTAAGGGGAAGAAAATGGATGGATGGATGGAGGACAGAAAGCAAATTGGTATTGGTCCATAAGGGGTAGATGACCAATGCCCATAAGTGTTGATAAATGTAAACACTGTATGAGTTATTCTAAATTTACAGACCATTTTAAATAAAGAAAAATGCAAGATTGAAGATTTCTTTCACACTGGGAGGACCTGCTGTTTAGCACTGGATCCTGCGGTACACATCACCGGAGTGGATCTCGAGGTGAAATAACTTTCCCAGAAAAGTAAAACAAAGTACACACACTATTGACCCTCTTTACTCGTAGGCCTGCAAGTTCTACAACTCCAACGCAGCTCCTCTAGGGCTCTCGTTCGTCTGCAGTGACCCTCTTGCCAACAAAGTCAGCGTCATCTGCAAAGTAAGTGCTGTTGTTGTTGTTAGTGAAGTTGTAGGGTGTGGTGAACTTGTGTCTGATGGTGTTATTGTGGACGTAGACCGGAGACAACTTGCGGCAGGACATGCTGGTGCTGCAGATTGTGCGTATGATGGACCGTGTGTGGCTACAGGAGGGTCTCGACATGCAGATGGTCACTTACAAATGCCTCTCGACAGGAAGAACTGAAGGTCCGCTCGCTTTTATTGATGCTTTCTGTTCATTTGTTTGGCTGATTGTTTCATGCAGGGGTTGTACATCCACCAAATATAAAAGATATTTTGTTGTGGCCCCCAAGTTGATTTTCAATTTTTATTAACTTGTAGCATTAGTGGTAAAAGGCATGTTATACCTGCTACATTTGGCCAAACTTGTGAAAGCCAGATCCTCTCAGACCTCTGAATCTGTTCAGGGCAGGGCCTGGTTAGTACTGTGATGGGAGACCTCTGGGAACACTAGGTGCCACAGTGGGGCGGCTGCGGCTGTAAAGTGCCAAACTGTTGTTGTGTCCTTAGGAAAGGCACTTCACCCACATTGCCTAGAATGAGTCTGGTGTGTGTGTGAATGGCTGGTGGTGGTCAGAGGGGCAGATACTGTAGCACACATTGGTTGCCTTGCTTCTTTCAGTGTGCCCCAGGGCAGCTATGGCTACAGTAGTAGTTTATCACCACCGTGTATGGAGTGAAAGAATAATGACATGTGAAGCGGAGTGTCCTGCAAAGCGCTATATAAAACCGATGTATTATTATTACAAAAATGCGTGTTTTTTTCAAAGAATGCTTTGGAAAAAAAATACCAGAAAACATCATACGTCTGAACCCAGGTTAAATAAAAGTAATCCTTTCAAATTGCATATAAATAATAATGGGAACTTTATACTTTCTGCCCTCAACCAAGTAGTTTTTGGATTCATACCTGGACCAAAATTAGTTTGGACACGCCTGGTCTCATCCATTTCCTCTACGTGGTCTCCAGGTTTAATCGAAGTTGTTCCAGACGCAGTGACCTTGGGAAAAATTCAACAGGAGTGGGGTTTGAGTGGCACCATGAGAGATGACACTCTGGAGAAATGGTTCCACATGTTGAACAGAACTCAGGAAGATTATGAAAAGGTTTGCATCTTGGCCGCACTCCCTCTACTGGTGACTGCACGGTACTGTTCGTGACCTTCTCTCTGTGTCCAGGCTGTGACCAACTTCATCCACTCGTGCGCTGGGTGGTGCGTGGCGACTTTCATCCTGGGAATCTGTGACCGCCATAATGACAACATCATGCTGAAAAACACTGGCCACATGTTTCACATCGACTTTGGCAAAATCTTTGGCGATGCACAGAAGTTTGGCACATTCAAAAGGTAGGTTCTTTTTTTGTATATGGGGGTTTTTCAAGGCCAAAACAAAGAATTATTTTTATTGCCATTGTAAGTAGCAGGAAGTCACAAAGAACCTTAACCCAAACAAGTTGTAAGAATAAAAATGGATACAAGGCATGCGTAAAAAAATAAATGATTACTATACACAAGTGCAGTAAGTAGATGTAGATGAACAGGGATGATTAATAGTTTAGGTAGGTTGAAATCTACAATGTAAACTTGTCTCATAAACATGTCAGCCATATCTTTATGGAACAAAACAAATAACAGAAGGGCTCCCATTATGAGGCAACAGCAGAATTGGATGGATCTCCCAGGTTCACAGACGCTGACTTTGATTTTATTCAAATTAAGTGTTTGTTATGACCAAACGAATCAGTTAGTGCTTTGTTTACTGTATGTGCTCAGGCAGTAAGTAGAACTGTGTTATAAAACGACTGCTGGTAGTCCTGCAAAGAGGACTGTGAGCTGTGAGCCGCCTGTTCTGGAGGCTCTTTATAAAACCAGACTTATAAACCTGAGCTCTTAAGATCATCAATAACATTTCTAGCCCCTGAAAAAGCCATGTTCCAGCTTCTTCCCTCTGGCAGAAGATATCATTTGTTAAGATGCAGGACATCTCAATTTTCAAATTGGACTACAGATGGAAATTAGCATTGTGCTAAATCTGGGGCAGCCATCTTTTTAATGTACCTGTCCGTTGTCCTTTCAAATAAATAAAAATAACTAACTACAAAAGGTTTCTTTCCAAAAGCTGTAATCAGTTTAAATAAGAAACTTTAATGATCTTGTCTTTGTGTTGAAACTGTTTTAGTCGATCAATTTCACAGTGACAATCGTTTCCAGCACTTTTTATTCCTTCTCTTCTAAGCTGGTTTTATCTATGTACTTTTCTTGTACACTCTGGGGACTTTTGCAAATGTATTCCAATGTGGTTTTTACTGCAAATGGCAAATACATGAGTCTGAATCTGAGAAGACAAGAAAAAATGTTTTGTTTAGTTTGAGCCGTACCACTGTTGTTTCGACCAGTAGCCTGCACTCAACGTCATTTGAAGAATTAAATTAGTAAAAAGAGGCAACAATCTTGACCACTGATTCCATTTGCTTTTCAGGGACCGCTCACCGTTCATCTTTTCTTCTGAAATGTGTCACTTCATCACTTGTGGAAGGAAAAAGCCTCAGCGCATGCATCTGTTTGTGGATCTGTGCTGCCAGGCCTACAACGCAATCAGGGGCCGCTCTGCTCTCATCCTCAGTCTGTTGGAGCTGGTAAAGTCTCAAGAGTCTGTGGTTTTCAAGTAATCACATGTGTCTGATGTACTGTCATTTGCAGATGCTTCCCTCGGTAATGCCCGAAGTGAAAAGCAAAAGTGTCCTCCAGTTTGTGCAAAACAACCTGCGACCACAGGATACAGATCTCAAGGCGACTTCCTTTTTCACAAAGTAAAGTTAACGTTATTACACGCAGAAAAACACCGCTTCCTTGAAAACAACTTTTTCCAATCATGTTGTTTTGTGTTTGTTTTCTATAATTCACCACAGGAAGATTGAAGAGAGTCTGAAATGTGTGTTTGTGAAGATCATGTTTATGACTCATACCTTTGCTCAAGGGAAAAAAAGTGGAGGAGTGAACAGCGAGGGCGGCGGGCCTTCCAGCAGCACAAATATCCAGGGTGTTGTCGTTCAAAAACACTCGACGGATGCAAAACAAGTGGTATGGCTTTACTTGTGCCTATGGATACTAGAGCTGTAATAAATATGAGATACATAGGGCTTCATATTGTTCCTTTACACCAGGGGTGACAAACTGATTTTGGTAGGAGGGGCAAGTTTAGAAACATGGTTTTTTTTTTCTTATTTTTGCTTGAGTTTGGACAACATTTTCTTGTGGGTTTGGATAACAACTGGGACAAAAATCAGAGACGTAATTGAAGATTCATACTTAAATATATAAAACCCCTTCAAATTACACATCTAATTACCATCTAATCTATTACCATCAATTCTGCAAATTAATGTAATAATGATAATTGAAAATCCTTTCATTTCATATTGCAACTATGCAGTATGAGTGTGTCTGATAACTCTTAAATTCACCTGAACGAATTATTTCTTTTCAGATCTTTGAACTACGAATCGACATTGACGACGGCTACACTCTGAAGAACATGACGTATGCGGAATTAGAACTGATCCATAAACGCATTCAGAAGCTCTTTGTCAATTCAGCGCTACCTCCGTAAGACTGCAAATAATATTTATTTTTGTAGACTTGTAAACCTTTAAACTCATTGAATTTTTTGGGGGGTATTTCTCGGCGTCAGGTTTCCTTCTCGGCTTCAGATTCCCTTCACAGCAAGCAGAAAAATGTCCCTTCTCAATAAGTACTTCCAGCAGCTTTTTGATGGGCCTTGCAGAGGGGTAGGTTTGTTCATTCACTGTGAATACTCATCATACTTTCATCAATAATGGTTCATTTTTGTTATGTCCACTCCAGAATGAATATGTGTGTACTCTATTCACGGATGGTCCTGAAGCGGCACAACAAACTCTAGACAAAGGTCATTTAGTGTGATGTAAAAAGGGTACCCTTGTGCTACCCATGGTTCAAAATGACCCACCACAGATGATTTAAAGTAGAATAAAAATACCCTAAATTAGGATCTAAATCAGGCACGTCAAACTCGGCCTCGTAGACCAAATCCGACCCATTTTTAGTGCCCCCCATAATGTTTTTCAATTATTATTATTATTTCAGAAAAATAACCACGTTTAATTTATTCTAAAATATTAACCTCACAATTCAATTAGAAGTTGAATAGTTCAAAATAAAACAATGTGTTGAACTTTATATTTGGTCAATTTTTGGTTAAATCTTAAACGATAAAAACATTTTGTTTTCAGAATAATGTCAAGATACCTTTTTTATGATGTAAAAAACAATCATAAGAAAAGGAAATCTCTTCTATTCTTTCGGCCCCTGACCAGAATGAGTTTGAAAAGCCCTGGTTTAAATGATCCAGGGCTGGCCAAGTTAAGAGAAGTCATCAAAATTCAGCTTGAAAAAGAAGGATTTAGGGCATATTTTAATCACCGTGGTGGGTAAAGGGTAGCACAAGGGATAAGAATTTGCACTCCACATTAACTCATTGTTTGTACATGTGTTTTTCAGAAACCTGCGCTCAGATCCAGCTCGATGTGAGGTATGAAGACTGCAAGCTCTCTGTGCTGATCAAACACTTGAAGAACATTGTAAGTTTATATTGTGTATTTAATATCACGCATATTAACACTAGGACTCTGGCACTACTTCTAATTCTGAAACTACTAGAACTCCCAGAGCCGTCATTTTGACTGCTTCCATTCAAACCAATGGAATTCACCCCAAAAGCGTTTAGTTTTTCAGTTTTATTAAAAGTAGGTAATCTATTTTGTTGTCAAAGGTTTTTTTTATTTTTTATCTTTACTTACTGGTAAATATAACATGAAATACAGAAATTTAAATGGAAAGGATAATGCTAAACATATGATAAACATTGTGTTGCCATGGTAGTTAGAACTTGCCCTTCTCTGTTGGAAAATAACTGCTCTGAGAGTTAAAGTTATAATTCCTCACATTTCAAATAAAATGATTTCATAAAACTAAACTACATATGATACAGAAAAAGTCACAAATTTAGGAAGATCAAAAATGTAAACACATTGAGTATTTACACAAAACTAAATCCCTGTCATATTTACTGTACACTGCTTTCTGAACAGGTGTCTAGTGACTCCGACATTTATGTGGTCACGCGGCTCCGACCGGATCCACTTCTGTGCTCAAAGAGGAAAACAAAAATGGGTCGCAATAATGGCAACCCAACATTCAACGAACTGGTACGACACTGCATTGATTTGTTTTTTGATTTTGTCCCCTTGAGCTAAACCATTTATTGTGGATACACTATAAGGACCAATATCTCCAATATTGTTCACAAAAATTGTTTAAGTGTTTGTGTACACCCCTCTTTTGCTAAAATAATCCATCCCACCATCAGATCTGGAGTGACTCAATTAAGATTAATAGATTGTTTATTCGTCCCAAAGTGGGGAAACTTCAGTGTTGTATCACTGGTTACCGGGAAAAAAAACCATATATTTGTATCTGCTCTAAAAGGATTTTAAGAAGTTATAGTTATCTAATTATTTATTTTTTATATTGAACTATCAGTCAAAAAATACATCTCTTTTTGATATTTGGCCCAGTTGTGGTTGAATCTAAAACAATTAGAAAATAATATACAAACTTTTAAATACAGTTAATTTGGCCAAAGACAAAAAATGTTTACAAAATTACAAAACCTGTTCATAAAAGAAAAATACTTCTGCTAATAATTCTGGCCCCAACCAGCTCTTATGTTTTTGAATTTGGCCTCCGACAAACCCCTGCTCTAAAGAGTAATCCAAATGACACGCTGTTTGACTTCACAGATCGAGTACGATGTGCCTGCGAATGCTGTCCACGGGATGGTTCTAGAAATCACTGTGAAAAGTAAAAAGAAATTTGTGGGCGCCACAAGTTTTAAACTGGAAGAGCACGTACTGAACAAGGAGCAATGGTTTCCACTGAACAATTGCGAAGTTTGACAGGGTCCTGCACTGTGGAGGTTTGCCCAGCAGGGGGAGCAGCTACACCTGGGGAAGTGGATTCTAAAGATACTGAAAAGGACACTTTGAGTTTATGGAATGCGACCTACTCTCATTCTACAGTTGAACTCATTTTACTGATTGTGACTGTTCAAATGGAGTAGTCTTTTATTTTTTATTTACCGTGTACAATCAAATGAAGACAAGTTCACTTTTTATCATACATAATGCATCACAGACACAATCAGCTTTGTGTTGACATCTGATTTTGAAGAGAGGGGGGTTTTACTCTCCCCTGCACCTTAGACAATCTCGGATGTCATTGTTTTTATGTAATTATGAATGTTTTTATTGTAATAATACATGACTTTATGCACTTTCTAGCTATTAAAACAACAACAAACTAATATAAAAGCATAAAACAAACTTCAAATGTCTGAATGTTTTGTGTGTTTAATGTTAAAACTGCATATTTGTGAGCGGTGATTTATGAAAAGCGAACATGAACAAAAAGAGAGACTGGATCTGTGTCGTTTTCGTCCAAGGCTTGGAGGGGCACCCAGCGGTAACCTATAAGTAAGAAAAGTCTGTACAAGTATGCTCTCCAGTACTGCTGACACACCACATGCTTGTAATACAATATCTGCTCACACAATATTCCCTGATGCAAACCTGAAACCTGTTCTAACCTTGGTTCTCACCCAGAGGCTCACCTTGCATCATGCTGAGAAGAGGCAGGGTGAAGTGGGCCACAGAGACGCTGCTCAAGAGGTTGATGCGCTCAAACAGACAGAAGCGGATCAGGCACAGCTCTGGAATGGTGACGGTGAAGTTCATCACGGTTCCCCAGTACGGCTCCCGGGCTGAAGGGTAAATGTATAGTTATCGCCATCGTATGACAAGTATCCATGGCTAGATTAATACATACTCTTCAAACTAAGAGGTTGGAACTAATTATGAGGCTAAACCATTCGTAGTATCCTCTCCTCCTACTTTATCCGTCTTCATTATGACTATTACAGCTGTAGTCTGTTCATTACTATTCACCTGCTGTCCTATTGTTTGTCTCATGACACAATGACGGGACCCCTGAATGCAGTCTCCTCCATCGGCACCTGTGGACTGTCTTCCCCGCCCAGACCCATGGGCTGCCTGAATCGCTCGGCCCCGGTTCTCGTTCTACAGCCTCAGTCCTGGATCTGTGGGACCGGATCCCTCCCTCAATGTGGGTCTCCCCGAGGTTTCTCACTTTTTCCCACTGTTTTTTTTGTTGTTGTCCTGTGCTCAATGCAGGAGAGTCTAAGGACAGTGGTGATGATCATGATGACATTTAAGAACATTTATGAGCTTATATTAACATTTACGGACATTGGTCATCCGCCCCGTACGGACCAACGGCTGTGTTTTGTTGTTGTTTTGCAGTTCTTGTGTTTGAAATGTTTGATTTGCTGATCTGTGTTGGCGAATCAACGACTTTGTAAAGAACTCTGAGATAACTACTGCTGTGATTTAGGGCTATACAAAAAACACATTGAATTGAAATATAGAATAAAATCCATTCTATTCATTATATTGCAGAACTATTGCTTATCTCAATGTAAAAAGGAACTTCTTCTTCATAAGCTTAAAAGATTCTTTATAAACTTTTTGTATTCTGTCATACTTACACTTGCTACTTACAATTGTTTTTGTTTGTGTGGGTTTTGTCCGTGCTGACATCACAGGCCACTCCATGGACCTCCACTTGGACGAAGTAAGCTGGACGTAACATTTTGGGCTCATGTGACCCACAGATCACCTGTTGGAAACGGACAGAGGGCGGATCATTGGACTGAGGTTTAGCAGAGGAAGAGGAGACTGCGTGAGAAGAAGGCAGAATCATTATTAATCATAATATTAATGCTTATCATAGTCTTGCACTTATACTGTTATTAAGCAAGCAACATCCACGGTAACAGACTTTCTTCTGTTTCTCCGCAGTTACAACAGTGATGCATTATTTGAAGATTGTCATATTGTGGTGGAAGATATAAAATAGGATGCCTCAGAAATCATTGTTTTTCTGATGCATAATTTACTTTTCAAAACTAAAATAGGCTTAGGATCTCACACCAAATGCTAGCCACGTCTCTGTATCACAAGAGTGCATAGACTCCCCTGAAGTTATCAAACAATAGAGCGTGATGACAAAGGTTTTTATCTCTGTCTCTCTCATCTATATTTAATAGAAGAGCTTGGAGCAACAATCTGAATACGGATCCGGAATTTCTCCTACAGGAAATAAGTATCTGGTGTTTTATAACCACTCCCTGTTTTTATATTGTATATATATATATATATATATATTCTAAAATAAAAACCATTAAACTATTGTCAATATAGTTAGGTATTGTGCATGTAGTATAATAGTAATATTATTGACATCTAAGAAGAGACTAAACATACATTCACCAAGTAATGATAATACATCTCTTTGTATAGCACTTTTCAAAAACGGTCAGCATAAAGCAATAAAACCCACAATATAACATATCAAAAAGAAATGAAGGAGATTAAAGCAGACAGACGACAAGAAGGACAAAACAAAGACAATGTGGAAAAGTGAAATACATGTAGACTTTAAAAACCGATCTGGCCATTCGGTAAAAGTGGGTTCTAAGAAGTGATTTTATAACAGGTTAATGATGGTGTTTGTTTTAGAGATCATTTTACAAGTTATGAAAATGTTATATTATGAAACTCATACATATGTTTTTTCACTGGAAGCTGTGTTTACCCTGGTATGCAAGTTCTCATCAATTATCTGTGCCGTTATAGAGGAGAGAACCAACCGCCCCCAACAATCTCTGCGTACACCCTCTAGTGGTTAAATTATGAAACAACTGAGACTCTTTACAGTTCTATGTCCTCTTTTCATTAATTATGTTTGTACAGCTCTTCAATACTTTTGAGTGTTCTTTCTTTCTAGATCCTGACCGTTCCGACACGGTGTGGTTTTCTGCCCCAGCTGCACCGAGGCTGATTCGGAAGAGACTGGAGGTAATTGATTAATTAAACCGCGGGTATAATTGCATTAGCACTGCCTGCCTTTTCTCGGGCAGAGCGTCTAATTAACTGAAGTACCTATTGCGGAGTTTTACATCATTATTGGTTCATGGGATCAGCGAGGAACAGGGACCTGCGGAGGAGCAACTGCCATTAAGTGAAGGGCAAAAGTATATTTTTAAAAACCTCCTGCTGTTGTCCGACTCAGCAACAATAAATGAGGATTAACAAACACTGCCCGACCTGACCTCACATGTCGTGCATCTGTGCAATAATTTGAACTAATGTCAGAATGTGCAATATGAAACCAAATGTGTGCGCTGTCACTTTGCTGCCAATTTGTCCATACCCTCATGCTGCGATGTAGACATGCAACTACATATTTCTTGCACTAGAATATAGAGCAGATATGTATATATCAATATTAACTTGCAGCGTTGATGTGATGGACTACCATGGCATGTTATGCATAATCCATTTTCTCAGATAAACAACCGCATTTAATTGATTCTAAAATTTGAACCAAAAACACATCATCAGAAGTAGTACATAAAGCCATCTGTTTAACTTCATATTTGATCCAGTTTTGGTCGAATCCAAATAATGAACACATTTCAAGACAAATAAAAGTAACGTCAAAATACCTTTTTTATAATGTAACAATCAATTCTAATGTATTCGTTTGGCCCTGACCGGCTCCTATTTTAGTTGTTGCTCGGCCCCTGACCAATATACAGTGTCTAATACTTGCTTCTTTATTATGCTAATTATAGAAACTGTATGGTTATTATTATGCTAAAGTCTTGAGATTTTATACCTAATTTCTCGCTTCTTCATTATGCTAAAGTTGGCGATTTTATATTTGCCTAATTCTAGTATAGAGTAATTGCTAATATATCTTGTGTTGTGTGCTCCTCGTTTCTACTGTTCTGTAACCAGTGATGCAACACTGAACTTTCCCCAAACCATCTCTTCATGTTGTATCTAATTATGCCATCTTGATACAAACACACAACTGAACTCTTTTTACCTGTATTTGCAGCTGTCTGGGCCTCGCATCATGGTATGGTGATGCCGGATCAAATTTACGACTGGACATGAGAACCTCTGGCTTCAGGATGTAACCGCAACCTCCATTGTCCAAAAAACGGCCATTATTGAGGTCAATAGCAAGGTCGCGCGACTGGAAATTAAGGGCCACTGAAAAACACAACACAAGTCTGAGAGCCACGTTGAATATGATCGGCGAGGCTTTGGTTGGATCACTTATACAGGGCTGGATAATTGGTTTAAAAAAGTGTATTTCTAACACTGTAGGGCTAGTCTCGCCCCAGTCTCTGCAGCTGTCTGTGACTCAGTGTGAAGATGAGGTGCAAAGACAGAAGTGTTGCAGCAGCAGTGGCACACACGTCAAAGACCAGGGCGGATCCACTTAAAGGATGAGAGCTTTACTTTCAAGAGATCTGATGTATTGTGCGACGATTAACATTGTGTTACATAATTGGAGGAAGGATCCAGTATATACCTAACACATACTCTCACGTTGGAAGACATTCACGGTCGATTTGAAACAGATTAGACCTTTTTGCATTTTTAAAAAACTGTTTAAAGACATGGAGGGAAGGGAGAGAGGGGTAGGGTCAGAAAGTGTTTGGGTTTTGTGTGTTTGTGTGTGTGCGTGTTGTCTTGTAACATATACAATATTGTATTGTCATGTGTTACTGTTATGCTGTATGATTGTTCGAAATAGTCTCGTCTGTGTGATTCACCTAAGGCTTTTTCGAAACTTATGCAATCATGTGTCTGTGTATTTGTGTTTGTACACATTTTGAAATAAACATAATGATGGATTGAAATGCACTACAGGCTTAATTGTTTTAGTTTAAGAGGAAAGTTTGACATGGCATAAACATATCGTTATTTTTTTAAATTCCAGTTTTTAGGCAATACATTTTTTGTGGAATAATATTCTTTCTGGGGAGATATTTCAGTTTGAATATTTAAGTCTAGTTGACACTTGAATATGCAGCAGATCTATTTCTTACTTATGGCATGCTCCTGGTGAATTTAAGGTTTGTTTGCTTTTACCGAGTTGTGCTCCAACGTTCCAGAACTCCTGTGGGTTGAAGTTGGAGGAGTCTGTCCGTGTAGCTGCGGGGTAGATCCTGCTCAAGAACCTCTGATTGTGAGCAACAAAGTCTGCACCTGAGAACGAGCAGCAACACCTAAAGGTCAGTGACACCTCCAACACAGCCCTCAATCTGACCACAGAATGACTCACACAACTTCCCTGGAGCAGACTAAAACACATTGTCATTCTCTGGTGGTACTTATCTTAAGTAAGGTTTGCACATTGATTTACCAGTAAAAAGATAGAATAATATTAGGTTGCATTCATGTTGTAAAATTCCATTTCAGTTAGAAGGCAGGTGCAAGCACAACTCCAAATAAAATTAAATAAAAGCACTTTTTGAAACAAATCTTGATAAAGAAAATTATCAAATGTTTCCCCAGATTATTTGATGGTGATTAGATTCACAAATCCACCACATTATTCTAAAGTCAGAAAGTGCTTTCTACTGACCAACGCCATCCATGTGTTTTTGATTATTGTCACCACTTCGAGACACCTTTTTATGAGAAAATAATTAGACAAAGAAGATGGAACTTTGACAGTTTTTGTTCCATATGGATTAGCCCAAGGAATGACAGGGAAACGAACTAAGACTAGAAATAGAAAGATCTTTCTGCTGTTCTCCACCACAATGTTACATATGCTACAACTTTGTAATGTTATAATATACATGAACGCAAACTCTTGTGTACGCATTTGACAACAAGGACAAGGCTTTATAAGCTCTATATTTTGTGCGTCATTGGATCCTAAACTTATTTCCTCAGTTTTCTGCTTGTGTCGCTGCATTACCTGCACTTTTGACTAACTTCCTGGCCACCTTCTCAGACATGGATGTGTTTTCAAAGCTGTTCTGGTTGTCCCTGGAGTAACTGAAGCTGCTGAACTTAACTGACCTGGTGTAGATGACCAGATCAGACAGTGCCGCTGCCACTGCCTTTTTCTACTCAGGAGTAAAAATCAGAAGAAAAATATATTATACCTTGGATCCAATACTGTGACAAATGCACTACTGGTTCCCTAGATTAGTCAACTTTTCTTGGATTGAAATATGTTCTGAAGAATGTAGGTAAAAGTCTATAATCAAGGCAGAGTGAGTGGTGGGAGAGAGGTGTAGGGTCAGAGAGTGATTGGACTATGTGTACGATACAAAAAAGCTGCTTTGACCAACCCCTTTTCAAACTGTGTATTTCTGTTTGTTTTGTATTCTTTGTTTTATATTTACTATATATACAACACAAAGTTGAAAATAAGTCTGACTTACTTTCTTCTTAATTCTCTTTGTGGATTTGTGGGACCAGAACTTGACTTTATCCTTGAGTTTTTTGCTTTTCTTTCCATCATCGTCTGTGTCTGTCTCGTCTTCATCGCTCTCCTCCTCATCCGCGTCCTCTGCACTGTCCTCTTGTAATGACTGCCTGGGCTCCTCACTACTGACATTCTGTAGCTTCTTATTCTTAATGAGAATCTTAAACTTGAGATCCTGTTATGGTCATTATGGAAAGCAGGTTTAGTCAAGACACATCAGTAAAAAGACATTGGCGCATTGGGTGGATTACGTTACTTTACTGGCAAAGGGGAAAAGGAGATATTGTCATTATAGAAAGCTACACAATGGAGCCTGAACTTTTGAAAGTAAAATTTACAAAAATGTTCCATTGGGTTTCCATAAAATTGTGAAATAATAATAAATAAATAAAAATCACGCACACAAATTTGTTTTAAAATGAATCTGTTTTTGATCTGAAAACATGAATGTGCCTATTTAAAATGTCTACATTTTGTTTAAAAACTGGGCATCTACAAAGGGGGAGAATGCAAAAAATACATGCAAAAGTACAGATTTGTGTGTATATATATATATATACATATATATGTGTGTGTATATATATATATATATATATATATATATATATATATATATATATATATATATATATATATATTAAAAAAAATGTGTTCACAAATGTTTGACTGGCATTTATGGATTAAATTAATTTGCAATCAGAGGTATTTTGAATAAATCTTTTTAGAAATAATTTATGTTTGTATCGTTGAATCATTATGAGACTGAATCAAATTTGATGCAGGCGTCTATCTCTTTGGAGAAGATGGATGGGATTTGTAGTAGACTATTGAGCTCCGTATGGCATTTAACCTGGACATAAGAACCGATCTGTGCCAAGCCAGAAACAAGCCAGAGACAAGCAGATCCTCTATCAGAAAATGTCACCTTGAATAGATAAAATTGACCAACATTTATCACAAAATCTCCAATGTACGAAGACATTTGTTTACAAAAGCAGACTTCAAATGCTACAAATGATATATTGTACATTCTCATACAGACTTGCTCGCATACCACAACTAAATACATCAATTACAAATATTTCCGTTTATGTGTAGGAGTTAGCATTTTGGCAAACCATGAGACAAGAAGTCATCTCAAATGTGGCACACACAGGGGCTAAGTATGCATAAAATAATTACAGCGCGGTCCATATTTACAGGCCTTTAGCAACCTTTGGCCCATGTAAATTACATATCTCTGTGTCTGAAGGGGCTGTTCTCCCCACAAAACCGGAGCGGGGGATGAGCTCGTGTTGATGCAATTTATGACATTATGAGGTTTCTGAGGAGACTGTAAAATATAGTCCAACGTTATGAGTGGTAAATGAACTGGGGCTCATGTCTAATCCGACAATAACATTGAAAAATTAGCTTGTCCTCCTCCCAGCGCTGGTGACGCATTAGTGAACCTCTGCACGGACAGACGATGGTGCAACGGGAGGAATCCTTTTCGGCTGTAATTTAGATTCTGCTGTTTATCCAATCTGGACGCTGCTGAGACGTAGAGCCGTATGAATGTGATGTACGAGTTCAGGAACGATATGGGAAGTTTGGAGTCCGGAGGAAGCATTTTGCGGTAGGCCATCTGTTACTGCAACTACTTTATCATAATCATTGTTGAGCACGTTACTCTTGAATTGTAAAATAAAATATTGCTTACTGGGATGAAAATGTAATGTATACTGTATATAACAAATATCTACTGTATGTCGTTTCAGGAATCAGAAAGCTTGTTTGTCACATACTAGTTGCATTTACTGTAACAGTGATTATCCTGTTTCTTTTCGTATGATTAATTGTACAGGAGACATACCCAGCATTAAACACTATTCGGACGTCCCTAAAATATATATTTCGATTAAGATTCTTTGCTATACACCGGATATTATAATTCAATATTAATAAGCATTGCCTGTCAATCTACCAACATTTTTTAGGGTAATTTTCTCGCTTTTTTTTCTAAAGCTATACATTGTTTGGACCAAATTCAGAACTTTTGATACATTAGGTAACATATTTTCTAAGAAGTAAAATAACATAGTTGTAGTTTTGTAGTATCCCCCATTGATAGTTTTTCTACTTATCTAAACGGTGCAATTAGTTTTTAAGAATTAAGATTAATAGAAACCCCAGATGAATACATTTCCCCTTTAGGAAGTAAGATATGATATAGTTACAGTAAATATATGTATAAATAAATATATATATATACAGTAGTCAATACAAAAATTAAACAGTTACAGGTGTCAGTCAGCAAGTTCATGACTCCCAGCCTTTGGCACGCTGCTGCTCATATCTTCCAGGACTGTTTCTCCCTCTTATAGTGAAGCTATCAAACCTCGGCAAGCCTAATCAAAATGAACAATTTACCAAGTGCCTGGGGTTTCTCAAACTCAGTCTAATTGATGGGGTTAGATATGAATAGTGACTTAGTTGGGCTGAGTGGGAATACTGAAGTCCATCTTCTGGGGAGAGGGAGGAGCAGGACCCCTCTGAATGATACTAATGAAGTCCACAGTGAGTCCAGTGCACTATAGCAGTAAGAGCCTTATTAACCGCTTCTGCCCCCTCTCTCTGCGCCATTGGGTCATCCAGTATTAACCACAAACGAATATCAAATAAGTTCTATATGCTGCTGCTGGGTCACTTACATCTGGACTGGGCAGGTCTCCGGTCGTGGGGTGAGCCAAGGGAGCGCTCAGCAGTTTGTCCCCGAGAATGGACACCAGGTAGTGGGCCATAACCTCCTGCTGCCTCCTGGAGCAGTGGTTTTCCAGTGATAGAATGAGGGGATACGCAGAAACCTATAGTGGAGTTCACACAGAAGTTAGAATCATGCTCATTAGTGCCTTAAAATGATCCAGAATATTCATTATGGACCTTTATCAACATTTATGGACATTGGTCATCTGCCCCTTATGGACCAATGGGACCAATGTGTGTGTGTTTTAAAAAAAAAAACAAATCCTGACATGAGCCATAAGGATTGACCAATTAGCCAACCAGATGCCTTCGGTTTAGGGGAAACATAGCAACATGTCTGCTCCTGTAGGTCACCCAGTCAGAAACAAATGCCCATACAAGGAAATAAGCTCCAGTAAGTTTATATTGAAATTTGCTTCTTCGCATTCGGCAAACGCTACAGTGGTGTTAGTCCATTAGAGTATACGGTCTATGGATTACACTTATGATGACTTCTGTTGTTGTGTCCTTGGGCAGGACATTTAACCCCACTTTGCTTGAAGCCCCTGCTGAATAATCAAGGCCCCTGTGGATTCACCTGCAGAAGGATCAGTGATAGGGAAGTGGTAGGGGAGGAACCGGAGGAAAACCTATGCAGACATGAGGAGAACATTCAAACTCCACACACACTTCCTCTAGACATGGGTATATGTATCACTAATGAGCAATGAGATGTTTGATGAGAGCAGATCCTTCTCAATGGGAACTGTCGGTGTCTGTGTCTACAAATCGCACCGTGTTACCTCAAAGGCGTGCTGCTCGATGGTCTGGACTACGTCTTTGAACAGGATCTTGGTGGTCAGGGTGTGGCCATGGTACACTATGGGCTCCAGATTGGGCCCGTCCCAGCAGTCGAGCTCCAGGCAGCGGCAGCCGTTTGTCAGGGCGCTGCACAAAAACACACACGGACACACACACAATTTACAGTGAAATGCCTGAGAGGAGCGTGAGGAATGCAACTGTTTATTTCACGACTTTACATTCTGCCCCTGTTCCCTATAGCTACAGTAAATCAAAGCACAAACAGAGCAGAATCAGTTGCCATAAATATTTAATTGCAAGCATAGCAGTCACATGCTATGTCACAGCAGTCACAGCACATTCCATCTGCTGTGATTTAATGCGCAAAATTCAATACAAAGACCATAAATCTAACCACTAAAGACTACAGTAAAAGTTGCTGTACCTGTCTATCAAACCACAAAAACGGTACCGTATGTAATTAAAAATCCATCGCACTAGTTCCTTGCTCTAAAAACAGTTTGGTTAGTTTTCACATTCATCTATTTTGTCCGCTGTCATGTCTCCAGATTGGCTATTTTAGACAGAAAAGCAAAAAGGGGAGGACCACCTTCACTCAATTGTCAATCGGTTCACAGCTCAAACGCAGGACGCAGGGGGGGAAGAGTGTGTGTGTTTGACCAGTATAAATGAGTGATATGAATGTGAGTTTTAAACAAATTGTGCATGTAAAGACTTGTATTTTGGCCAAATGTAAACTACATCCATGAACGTGTGTTACTTTTTAATGTGATATAACATCAGCCTGCCCAGGGACTACAGGTGGAAATTAGCTCTTGAGCTATAACCTGGTACAATGCATCTCTCCTTTTGAGGTTAATGTTTATTGTGCACTGTCCTTGTCATCTTAAATAAATAAACTAAACTAAACTAAACTCAAAGCCTCAAATAATGACTTCCAGGGATATTTCTCACAAGTATTCAAACAATACAGAATATTGCGGCTGGATATATCCACAACTTCTGACTTTACAAGGCTGTTTCTAACTATCTAGATTCTGTCCATGTAAAACATTCATGAATGACAGCCTGTGAACATAAACAGGCAACATGTAATGCCCTCTTTATGATGACATCACTCGTGCTCCATGTGTCATACAACCCTCATGCCTGTGACAAATACACCACATGCACTTCAAGCATTTTTCAAAGCATAGCTCATTTAAAAAATCTTTGTACAACGTTGTAAAAGCAGCTCTTTGTTTCAAAATGTCTCTAACCATCAAACCCTTGTGCTGGATGTGATGCTGGTGTGCTATCATCAGGCTTATTTTGATAGCAGTGCTTCACCCAAACTCCACTCTCGGAAATGACAATGCTAGGGTCATCGCGGATGTTTATTTGTTTATAACGCATGAAGCATGGAAGCCATAGTGAATTGTTTTTCACCGGGATTTTAACATTGTCACAGTAGAAGGCTGTCTCACATTTTCAGAAAGACTGTTCCAGATTGTATCCGCATGAATCTGAAATGCTGCCTCTCCATGTTTAGTCCTGACTCTGGACACCCGCAGGAGGCCAGTCCCTGTGCTCCTCAAAGTCCAAGTTTATTCATATGCCATCGTGGGTTCGATCCCCCCATGAGACACTTAAACTATCATCTATCCCGCTGATGTCTACAGTTGTTGTGTCCTAGGGCAAGACACTCAACCCCGCTCTGCCTGAAGTCTTTTCCCCTGAAAGATCATGGCCTTGTCGTTGCTGATGGACCAGTGGACCCATAATCTGCAGGAGGATCAGTGAGGAAGCCCCCGACCCAGGACTGGACCAATAAAAGGGGATGAAAATGAATGAATGATTGAATAAGGCATACAGCTTCAGTGGACTTCCCTTCACCAGTTGTCTCAACCTACACATTTCTCCTACATGTTTTTATTGATGCATTAAATGATGCATGTATTTACTTCCCTTCTCACCAAGTATATACTGTAAGCTCTCTGTGATCATGAGCGCGCCCTCCACTCTACTCAATCTGCTCTTTCATCGTTCCAACAGCGCCAGTGGCTAGTGGCTTTTGAGGGCTGACCTGCCATAGGGCTCAGCAGCACTTTGCACCATTCAATGGTCGTAAATGCAGCTCTTCTGCAGTCATCAGCCCCTTTTGTAATCGTTCCCATTGTCCCATAAAGGAGCAGGAGTCATTTCCTCTGTCTGCTCGAGCCACCAGTGATTCAGAGAGCAGAGTGTTTAGAGGAGAAGAGCTGATGGCAGAGATGGAGATGGGACACTTCTGTATTAGTATTTAGTTTTTGACTACAGATGGTCTGTTGTTAGTATTCTCAAAACAATTTCATTTTATATGCATTTTTCCCCCAGTATTTATCTCCTGAAATTTACATTAGCAGAGCATTTTGACTTTAGTCTAAAACTGATGACAATTAGTCAGAAAACATATCCATGATGTTGGCCAGTAGAATGAGAATACTGCAGTGGTTTTTGTGAATCTAATCTATGTCTATCAAATATTGATGTGATAAAGAATATATCTGCAACACATTTCTCTTTTTCAACATTTCATTAAAATGTTTAATTTCCATGGAATTTTATTGGCACCTGCCCTCTGACCTGAAATACAATATCACCCTTAATATACATATGTTTGTATCCAACCAAACACTATACTGCTTTAAAATGTATGTGAATAGAAACTTTATTATTTATTCAAAACAGAATCAATGGGGAAAAAGCCCTCATTTATTTGTAACTGGAAGAATATCGCAATAATTGTGCGAGTGCCTTTATTAAGCAGCTCACGTGACTCCAAGTACTATGGATGTTTTTTTGGATGCAGACTTACTTCTCGTAGCTTTTCAGGTTGCTGTGTCCCACTATTTGATTTCCGGCCAGGTATGTGTTGTGTGAGCTGGAGATGAAGTAGCTGGTGAGCGGCTGGCCCATGTCCTGGTACACCTCCTTGTGAGCCTGGTTAAAGAGGGTGCAGTGTTTGGACTCCATGAAGCGCAGGAACCCATCCAACGACATACTCCTGTTGTCTAAAGCAGCAGAGAGAGCAGGTGCATGCAATTATCCAAGCAGTAAATATGCACTCATGTTTCATATTACTCTATAGGTTTAATGAACCACCAGAGGCCTTTCAAGAGGTAGACCTGAGTAACTATGGTACCTGTTGTACTGTAGGCGTGCCAGCGGTTAGATTCAGGCAGCATCTGTTCTGTTGGATCCAGAAATGTGCAGTCTCCTCCTGTGCCTGCTGCCTTTGGGCTCATTTTATTACACCACTGGGGCTCGGTTATGTAAGGAGTCATTTAGCATCCTTATGTGTTGGAGCAATCACAGCCCTGGCACTGCACCGCCGGTTGTCTCTTTTTTGTGATATTCAGAAAGACTTCATATATTTAATGCACAATTAATGCATTTCTTGGTTTATTTTTATTAGGAGTTAAGTCTTCATGTTCAGTTTTTCTCCCCTAACATTTTGACTGAGTGGTAAACTTCAACCAATGTGTCACTTTTTAGTTTTAGTATATTTTAGAAGTGTAATTGTGTTGGCTCTCACTCACTGTTCTCCCTTTCATAAAGGTGGATGATGGCCTCGGCCTGCTCCATGGTGACTGACGGCTCACGTTGTTTTTCATGGAGGAAGCGGAGAAGACCAGACGCAGACAAAGAGGTGGAGCCTGAGGCGTAGGTGTCAAACAGGCGCTGGATATCCTCTCCTCTGGTGGATGAGGGTCTGCTTCTCCACATCTGAACCAGCAGAAGATATGCCTCTTCAGTATATGACCAATGCAATGGATTCATATGAATAATAATAGAATTTTTAATGGCACAGCGAAGCTATTTGTAAAAATGGAACTACAGTTTGTGGCATACGTAAGAATCAGCAACCCTTTAACATTTAAAAGGTGATTTCTGTATAATAATAATAATAATAATCCCTCGGTTTTATATTGCTCTTTTGGACCCTCAAAGACGCTTCATAGCTTTCTTTCACTCCAGACACAACCACCCTGTGGCAGACTGACAGAAGAAAGTCAACAGTATGTGCCATCGGCCTCCGACCACCAATCATTAAAGCACACACCAGACTCAGACTAGGCAATGTAGGTGAAGTGTTGTTACTGAAGTGTTTGTATGTGCTTAGGTCCCTGAGGTTTCCCATCACAGTACTAACCAGACCAAGATTGTATACATAATTTTGAACTTTTTAAAATGAATACAAAAACTGTGGGGTGGGGCGCGCAAAAGTGATTTGAGGTTGGTTGGTACTTTGACTGAGAATCAGATTTATTGTATTGGCAGCAGCATATTTGCCCCATTGAAGCGATTTGGCTGAGTTACGTCTCAAAATGCCCAGACAGTTTTTGACTTTCTCCAAACTCGTCACTTTCTGAAAGGCCGTGACAGATCCTCAGGTGTCTCTCAGCTTGTCTAGTGCCGACTTCCCCTTTACTCAGCATAGGGAAAGATAAAGTAGCCATTCTCTCTCCCGTCTCAAACTTCCATTGGACGCACAGGCAAGCATCGTCTGTGTCAGAATCTAAAGAGTCTCTGCTCCCTTTATATGTGTATGCAGCAGCCTACATACACACAGAGACTGCATGGCTCTGGGGCCTGTCATCACTGCAACACACTCTGAACTCTTCAAAGTTCTACGTGTTAACATTTAATGCAGATGAAATAGAAGAAAGAAAATCCTGTATACTCTGTCTGTTGCTAACAATCATTTCAGGAGTTGCCTATATTTTTGTTTTTCTGAGGAGTTAATTGACTATTTCCTTCGAGACATTTAATCAGATTTCTAACCAAATTTGGAGTTGAATTATGTCTCAAGGGTTCTATCGCGAACCTTCAGCAATATAGAACAATGCTTTTGGGCCAGTACATAAACTGAAAATTATCAGATGGGATACAAAATCAATATAATAATACAAATCAGTTGCTACAGTTGCCATGTGGCAGACTGAAAGAAGCAAGGCAACCAAACTGTGCCATTGGACCCATTGAAAACGACCAATCATTCACCCCAACCCTTTTTAAATGCAATGAGGGAGAAGTGCCTTGCATAAGGACAATACGTCGAAGGCACTTCTCAGCCTCAACTGCCCCATTATTACAGTGGTCTCCCTTCACAGTACTAACCATGCTTCACTCTGCTTAGGGTCTGAGATCCAAGATTTACCGTAGTTGTGACTCAGCTGAATGTGTTAGTACAGTGTTTCTTTACTTTTTGATGTAATTTTTGGACAACATGGCTGATTTCTGTGACGAGGGTTGTTTTTTTTAAAGGTTATTTCTGAAGCTATCATAGGCTTTGTCTTCAAAATTAAGAAATAGACAATAATATTTTATAATCATAATTGTTATTGAAATGCAAAAAATATGTACAACTACGGCTACTTTTTGTGATAGAAATTTTAACCTTTTTTTATTTTTTTATTATTCTTTTAGGGATCTTTCTGCCAACCAACTAGCATCACTAGAGCCCGTTGTTGTTATCATAAATCCATGCTAGAGCCATGGGACTGTCCATACTGAGGTGTCCGACTCGGGATAATAGTTCCGGTTAGCCAAAACATCGATGATTGTGGTCTTTTCAGCAGCATATAGAACACCACAGTTAAATAAGGTATTAATTCTATACATATTGTTCGTAAGCTAACACATTTATTTTCCGTTGTATGCAAGTAACGTTCGCGAAATGGCTATGTTTGAGTTTGTATAGCACGTTGAAGTGAATAACAGGTGCACGTTTACAGCCTGATGTGTAAACGTGCGATCAGCGTGCACGTGCTACGTTAGAAAAAACGTCACGGATTACGGTCTTTTTAGCAGCACATAGATAACCACAGCTAAAGAAGGTGTTCATCATATATAGTATTCGAAACCTAACACATTTATCTTCCGTGTTATGCTAGTAATGTTTGTAAAATGGTAAAGTGTGTGTGAAGTGCGCCGTTTTTCATCCCGCGGAGTCCCGTTATAAGCTAGCGTTACCAGTGTTTACAATCATGTCACACTTTGTCAGGTGAAATTGCTCAGCTGTCTGCCTGCGTGCGCATCGATATTGTTTTCAGTAGACTTACCTTCGATTATGTTTGTGTCTTGTCAAGTTTGTGATTTGGAGGTGGTTAAAATAAATGAAACTTCAGGATTTGTTAACTGCTGGAAAGTTGAGGCAGCTGCGTTGTCATGGAGACAATAAATCAAAACTATAACAGCAGGTTGACTCTGGGCTGGAGATTAAAATAACCACCTGCAAGAATGAACAAGTGAATAAGACTATGTTATTGTTAATTAATTATTTGTTTTTAAGTCATCCTGTAATGTTGCTGATCTGTCATTCGACTGAAACATAAAACAATAACAAAGTCCACTGTTGGTCTAATCCATGTATACCGCACTTATTATTTGATGTAAAAACTATATAACAGAATTTTTTTGTAAAATAATGTTTGAATGGTATCCCTTATATATAGATATATATGATATGTGTTCACAAGATAATTTATTTTTTTGTACAGCCCTACATCACAAAATTGTATAATAGAGGACCAATGTCTGTAAATCTTCAACACAAGAACTTGCACCATGAGGGATTTTTAGACTATAGGTATCCAAATGATTCTGATCAGTGAATAGCATTGTGAATAAATAATGGACTAAAAAAGTGCTTTGGGGTCTGCTTTTCTAATACAAAAGCACATAGACAGATACTATCACAATAGTTGTTTTGAAACTGAAAAGTAGAAAAATTAGTCTTATCTTGCATAGAATAATCTTTAAAACGTGGATCCTGGGGGCCATATTTGGTCTATCATTGGGTCTAGCTTGGCCAACCACAGAGTTCTGATTTAAAGTTTTGACTTTATTATTGTGCGCTGAAAAGTGAATCCAAGTCCATTTGTTTTACTTTAAACGGTGCATAATATGTGAAATAAATGTATAATTTTTTTCCCAACAGACATGGAGCACCAAGAGGTCCCCCCTCCCCTTCTGTCAAAATGCTCCAGTCTCATATCTGGTATGCTATGATGAATCCTTACACTATGACGTCACGTTCAGAGCTGTTTTGTCTTTTCTTTTTCTCTCAAAAATAGTTTGGGAAGTTATTCAGGTGAAATTACACAATTTACAACTGAGTGGCTGCATTTGCAAAAGCATTACTTTTGTTATAAAAATAACTATAAAAACAATCAATAACCATATTTTTTATCCTTTATTCATGTTTATCCATATGACTCTAAAACATAAATTCTCAAAGGAAATATTTTTATTATCATGTTAAAGTTTATACACATAAAGAATTACTACTCACATGTAATTATTTTGGCCCGCTGAGTAAAACATAACATTATCAACCAAAATACATTCGAGAGTCATTTGTTTTAACGATCTTATTGAGAGCCCTCATCTCTCCAGAGCAGACTTGTCCCTTGGCTTGATGGCATATCTGTATTATCTCTCACATATGGAGATTTATATGACTGTGAAATTAAGATTTTTTTTTAAACCCATCGGTCAGTGGAGCTCATGCCCAACAGTACATTCTAGCTGTTTCATCTGACATGGGCGTCCTCAGAGGCCTATGTGGATTTGAATGCCATTGGTTTAAGGTGAAGCAGTGGTGCACAACAATAGTTATTGCCAAGTCACAGTGGAGCAGAGCGTTCCTGTCTGCATCGGTCTGTGATGGCCTGGACCACAGTCTGTCAGAAGCATTGGCAGCACAGGTTTGACGTGATAATTCCCAGGCACGCTTTCTGCATCACTACGCCTCTCAGCAGGGGCCGCTCGGCTGGACACAAACTCAAACAGTCTGTCTGTAGTGTTGGATGTGAGTGTAGCGTTCAGCGGAGAAACTGGGAGTTGGGGAATTGTATAATGCTGTGTTGGAACAAATACAACCAAATATTTATGCAAGTTGGTCAGGATACTGCTACCCACGCAAACACCAGGCATTAGAAATATGCATTCAAAAGTATGAAAATATACATTGAAATATTTGTTATTGCTATGACAATGAATAATTGAAATTCCAGGGTTTTGAAGTCCACCCTACAATCCATCCATCCATTTTCTTGCACCTTTTTTGGGGCTGGCTCTTGCGGGAAGCTGAGAATAAACTCCTCCTCTTCCCCCTTCCCAAGGCACGTCACCCAGTTCACCAGTTCATTCTGAGGAAGGAGCAGTTCTATCCCTTAAACAAACCCTGGATTCAATAATGTAACAATGTGTTCCTTGTCGTATTTCAGAAGTTACCTGAACATTACATACAAATCTCTTTTTTAGTTATGTTGCAAGCTAAGACAGACAGCAGATAAGGCAGTAATTTCATGAAATGTTTAGTTTTTGTTTGGTCAATTATTCTATCTTGCTAATGGAATTAATCATATGTGTAACCATACCAAGATACAGTCATCTTAAATCCTTAATAATGTGGTTGTTGGATAGGTCAAAAGCTGTATTTTCAATCTCTGAGTGATCAATGTAAATGAAAAAAAAGTTTTCTAAATGGAATATTTTAATTTTAAAACATACATGAGATATAAAAACAATTATTCACAGAAAATATAATGAAAAACATGTGCATAGTTTGAAAAGGGATTGGTTGAAGCAATAATCTTATTTTTATCCAATCCTCCACCCACACACACATGCACACCCACACACACACCAATTGAGAAAAGATCAGACCAAGACACACCGACATAGTAAATTGTTAGATTGTGATTGCTAAATTTGTTTCAAAATTTTCTGTGAAAGCTTGCATGCTAAAGGTCGCTCACATCAGTCCTGACCCCACGTGAAAGCGTTGTCTCTGCCTTTGGGCGCCCATTACAACAGCTCTGCGGCTGAGACTCTCATTTAGCATCCTCACATGACAGATGCCGTGCTAATAGAAACTACCCAGCTCTGCAAACTCGTTTCAGATTTTATGACATTCTAACTGTGCTCTTTCCTCTGGATCTGCAGTTTTTAACAAGACCTGAGTGTATTGAGACCACGAAAAATTTCAAAAGCAAAAGCAATCTGATATCTATTCTCCAACAAGTGAGAATATTGCACTTTTTATGGTTGATATAAAGGATGTCAACTCTAGCCTATTTTTCATAAAGGTGGCTAAAGGTCGTAACGATAAACGTGCTTAATATTAGTCGGGTTTGTGACTCAAATAAACAGTCTGGAAAATGATTTGGACATTTTATTTTTCAATATTTCTTTCAAAAATGGCTTCTTTTCCTTAGTTGTTTCTGCACCTGTCCTCCTGGTAGAATATAAGTCTAAAACACAATTTTTGATTTTTGATTTGAAAGATTTTGGATAAAACTATGCCAACAAACTGAGAAGGAGATTGCTAAAACAAAACAAAAAATCTTAAATTCGGTTTCCTGTATGCGCAGAGAGCAATTCTTGGTCACATTATATTCCCGGCTGGTTTCCTCCTCATTTTGTATTCATTGATTTGAAGAGACTTTGGTGAGCGCCGGCGGTAATGCCTGGTGTCGGCCATAACTACAGAGATGTGGGGATCAAAGCGACGCCGTGTTCTACCGAAACACACAAAACTGAACCTGAGAATAACATGGACACTTGTTGCACGCCTATACGATTGTTGAAAGGTCAAGTGGAGCCGGCAGATGGCAGATAATGTTGTGTTTTGTGCAATCAAATACAAGCCTGATTATATAGCAGCTCTTTCAAATGTGATACCTTGTTTATGCCCCCTACAAATGGTAATCAGAACCAGACACATCAGACACACTCATTCTTTTAACTCATAACTACACCTTCATATCCATGAAGAGCATTATTTTCACCAATATAAGATAAGATTTGGCACAGATATAATCACTCAGATTTTTGCAAAAGACAGTGTGCAAACGTGTTAAAGGCAAAAAATATAGTTTGTTCAGGATATATTATGTACAATAAAAAGTGGCAATGATCACTACTGAGAGTATTTACTTTGTTTGTTTTAAACTGTTAAGTTAACATTACTTATCATGTATCTTAAGATATAATTTATGTATCAAGGGAAAGTAATGCTATCGACCTGCCACTAGAGGGAAGTGTCTAATTTGTTATAATAAAAATCTGAAAATTACTATCTGCTACCGTTGCCATATGTTTGCAAAGAACGT